TGTCCTCAGGCAAACCTCTGATGCTGAAAGGGCAGTGCTGATCCGATTTGCTGTGGATGCCCAGGAAAATGCCATGCAGGATTCTCAGGGGTCGAGCGGGCGATCAAAGGCGCTCGTTTGGGTTAGCGCGGCTCGCCAGAATTAAAGCGACCCGACGGCTTTTTCCGCAGCTTGGCTTCGTATTTGTTTACTGTTTCAGAGTCACAGAAGTGTCTTTGAAAGGTGCAGACTATTCTGGATTAATTGCTGAGGGAACCGCACTACAGCAAAGGGGCGGAGAGGCTGGTGAAATGGGGAAGCTAAGAAACAACGCTCTGGTTTATGTGTGGCTCTCAAAGAGAGGAGAGGGGTAGAAAGGTGCCCCCCCCAGCCCAGCTTTTAGACAGACCGGGTTCAGACATCACAGCTGAGTACGGGTTCACTGTGAGTACTCATTGAAACATGTTGTCTGAACCCAGCTGTGCCAAAATGCCATGACCGCCATGGTTGATTGCCGGGTGGTGTGCAGTGCGTCAGCCACCATGGTTTGTTAACTTGGCCGGATCCAGACAACACAAAAGCCCGTATGTCTATAGAAGCCTCTTTCTTTTACCCTTGTCCTTCAAGCCACTTCCAGTCCAAGGGCTTCCACTTTTTCAGTCTGTTCCCGAGTCTGTACCCCCCTTTCAGCTTCCGTTTGCCTGGGACAGCTTCTCTGGCAACCTCACCCAAAACCTAGTTGCCCGGGGCCTTACGGGAGCGTTGATGCCATTTGCCCTTCTCGCCGAGAAACCGGCTCACACACATTCTGTGCGTTGCTCATCCCGCGCGTGGACTGTTTGTGAGCATTCCATGGGGCCGCACTGCCTCTGACTGCCTGTGTCAGACGCTGGTTTCCTTGGAGTCGCTCACCGTACAAAACAGATTTGTCATGTTTGCTTTCAACGGCTATTACTTCTCTGCACCAGCTTCAGATTTTCAGCGCTGAGCAGGGTAAAGGAGCACATGATGTCACATGAATTGTTCAATGCCTGTACCAGTTTTGGTGACTCATGTTCCTTGTCACTCGGCGGCAGAATGTTTTGCGTTGGAAAATCCTTCGGAGTAACACAATGAAAAGGCTTGTGAGGTTGAGTGTGAAGAGCTTCTCAAAAGTAGGATTTTATCAGTTGGAGAACAGAGGAAGCATTCTCTTGATTTCCTTTCTCTGTGCAGGAAAAGAGGATTTCAGAAGCAGTGCCTGTTGCTTGTTTTTATTTTTTTAAGGCACTAAATATAATCTAGGTTTAAAATGTTGCATTGGGGGATGTATAAATCATTCTGGGATTCGGAGCTTTGGGCACTGCAAAACCAAAGTTAGGAAGGGGTTCGTTGCTCAGGCAAAACAGGGAAGGTTATACGGGCCGTCTTGTCCAGAACACAACGAAGAAGCGCCTCTTGCTGCATCGGCTCTGCCTCGAGTGCTGAGGGTTGCCGGTTCTAGCCCAGGAACCTCCTGCAACCTGCCCATTGCTCTCCCCGCTGCTGTCCAGGCGAGGGCCAGCCCTCTGACTTCCCCCAGTCTTCACCGCGGACCAGCTGGGGATGGAAGTGGATCGCTGCAAGCTGAAATGGTCGCAGAGTCCTGCCCGACCCATCACACCCCATGGACAGCATTCCTCCAGGCCCTCCCGCCCGCCACCATCCCCCGGAGTCCCCCCAAGCCCACACCCTCTGCCCCAGTGACCCCATCCAGCCGCCTCGTCCCCTGCCGTCCCCTTCTCCTTTGGCCCTCGATTGTTCCCAGCATCAAGGCTAAATGGCGAACGAGGCGTGTTTCATTCCAGTTCCACCGGCATGGATTGGCTTCAGCTGCCAGACAAATTCATGCTGGGGCAAATGGCTGAGCGTCTGCCCCAGCATGCATCCGTCCTGGGTGGCTCAGGTGATCTGGAGAGTGCCAAGGTTGCCGTGCGGGCGGATTTCGGCTTGGCCCCAGGTCAGCCCGGAACATGTCAGATGCTTCCGGAGGGCGCCGGTCCAGGCCCGTGCCTCGGCAGGTTCGTTTCCTGCTGCAATCAGCACATGGCCAGTCTGGAAAATATATTCTCGTTGAGTCATAACTCTTCAGGCTGCAATAGTGATCTTTATATAATCTTTAAAAGAAGTTTCAATGCCTCTTTCAGTGCAAAGCCATCCTGAAGTGGGTTATATTGAAAGCATAATATCCAGCAATGGAAGGTTAAAATATTGCAAACAGCAATGGAAGGGAAAAAAGAACACATTGGAGCATATCTTAGAAAATACTGTGGCATTTAAAAAATTATCTTCGGGGGCTGTTGAAAAGAATAGGTTAAGGGAGAGAATTACCCAAGGATGAGGCCAATACCAAAAAGTCCGTTTCCTGTGCCCACGACTGACTCACGAGATTCCTTTACCCGATCCCCTAACCACCCAGACTGGCGCATGTCTCCTCGGGAGTTTAGTGCTCTGCATTTATTTCCTGGCAAGCAGAATACAGCTGTGACACAAAAGCCATCTCGTTGTTATTGATTCTGCATCTGCCTGTTTTATGGAGGGATTGCGTGTGTCGATAAACGGATGGATACATGCAAAGACAGAGTTGCATGGAAGCATACGAAAACTCAAGCACGGCTTTCCTCTCGAATTAAATCCCAAATTAAACCAGGCAGCTCTTTAAGCCATTTTGTGCAAATCTGCTGGCTTTGCAGATGTGCTGGCACTTTGAACGCTTTGTGCTGAACTCGCAGCTTGAGTTGAATGTTTAGATTATTTTATTTTTGGCTTTTTGGGAGGGAAGGAAGAGGAAGTAGGTTACCGATCTGGTAGCCTTTGCACAGCCTGCTCATGTGCAGAATCCCAGATTGGTGGCTGCCGCCTCACGGGTCTCTCCGTGTGTTGAATTTCCCAGAATTCTGGTCTGCACATGGCTGGCATTTTGGCAGCAGCCGCATTAAGGCCATGCCCGTGTTTCTAAGCATATTTCTTCTCCAGGGGTTGTGGAGCACTCCTTCTGCAGGCAGCAGGCTGGCTGGCCGAGTTCAGCATTGCCCAGAAAAGCTGGGGAAGATTCTGGACCGATGTTGCTGGGCACCAGATGGGACTGGATGGCTCTCTTGTTTGATTTGGTGAAAGGCGGCATCCTATGTCATTCAGCCCTGTATGAAGGCGAGAACAGTGAGGACTAGAATCTTACTTTGTTTTTAGGGGTGAGACCCTAGCCAGGCAAGACTCCTAGCGATGTATGGGTTTTGTTCAGCTCGTTTCTCCAGGCCTGTCTGGTGTCTTTTGTTCGGTTACTTGCTCCCTGACAGAATCGGGTTTGTAAGGAAGGTAGGAAAAATGGTTGGAAACATCTCAGCAAGAGGATGGCTGTGCACAATGGCAAGCCATAACTGGCTTGGGGTTGTTTGTTTGTTTGTTTGTTTGTTTGTTTGTTCATTGTTGGTCTGTTGTATCCTCTGCACCCTGCCGTGCTCTTTCAGAGTGGAGCATCTCGTCTTTGGAGACCACGAACAGAGACGACTGTCTTTTCCGCGGCGGCTTGGTGTGTCATCCGACCCCCGGCACGAGCTCCTTGTGGGGCGGGAGCCAGAGCCAGAGAGCTGCTGGGCAAGAGCAGCCCGTTGCCACGCTTGCCAAATGGCTGGTGCCACGGGCAGCCGCTGCTTGGCAGGGCTCTATCCTCAAGATTATCTTGGGGCAGCAGGAGGGCGGGATCAGCCGAGCATCGCTGCAGGAAGCAGCAGCACCGCTCCGCCGATTCTCCTGCTGCTCTCCGCACATGTGCTGAAGGGGAGCCGCTCACACATGCGCACCAAAGGGCCAGAATCGCCTGGCCCAACTGGGGCAGCACCTCTCGGCTGATTCCCCCCTCGCCCCCACTTAACAGAGGGGCACCCCCAGCCCCCTGCAGAACTGGGCACCGTCTCCATTTTCTGGCCCCCATCCCTAGGAAATTGCTCCCCCACATCGGCCAGTGTCTTATTAACCTGCGTGTTTGTCCGTGTGCCCTGCCACGGCGGTCCTTCTTTGGGGCTCTCCCGAAGTACATGGTAAGCCTGTGTGAATCTCGAGCAGATAAGAAACAGATGTGGGAAACGTCTGGTCCTTGACAGAAGAAAGGGCTCTTTCTCCAGCACGGGAGGGGTGCCTATGTTGAGGTATCGATGCATTAGATGTGTAGTAGGTGACCTGATTGGTTACCTAGGGTATAAAATGCACATACTGGGGTGCAACTTTGGAGGCACTGCTTTGGGCTGAATGTCCCCTTTTGTCTCCCTTTATTCTACAGTACACTAGAATAAAGCTGCTTTTGGCTCTGAGTCTCGTCTCAGGCTCTGTGTGGCTTCGGGTCTGGGGTCCTCCCGGGTTTGCCCCAGCTGCTGACTGGCTGAGTCCAGTAACAGTTTTCTCCAGGGCAGTCAGACTTCGGTGTGGTGGCATTTTTCCTCTTGTGCAGGAAAAGAGGTCATTGCAGGCGTGCCCGGGAGTAGGACGGCCCGGTGCGGCACAGAGCCGGGTGTTTCTCGCCACTTGGCTGCTGATAACAGCTTGCTGGACAGCGTGTTTACATATTTTCCAGTGTATCATGGATGAAAGGAACCAGCACCCCCCTGGCATTTAATCTGGTACAGGGTAGATGAAAGGAGCACCTTTCCCAAGATGTTAATGAGTGTGGAGATGCTGTGGGGAGGGGGGGGCGCTTAGGCCGGAGGACGGTGTGGCGGACGCATTCCTCTCCATGCACTTTTATCTGTGAAATGGGCTAGCTTGTGCAAGGAGCCTCTGGAGACCTGGGCCCGTAGCAGGCTCGGGTGCAAATCCCTCGGAGGCCTTGCAATCTTTTCTTGAGGTCGCTGAAGGATTCTGTCGCTGGATCAAACACTCCAGCCGGAATGAGCCTTTCCCACTGACAGCTCTCTGTTCCCTGAGTGACGCCTCTTCATCTTCCGTGTTTCACGGTGCACCGGACCCCGTATTAACCGCAGCCGCCTCTCCTTCTTGTCTTCCTCCTGCAGGCGTCTTCTGCAACTGCAGTTCCACCGGGAGCACGGGCCGCAGCGACTGCAACATCACGACAGGCCAGTGCGAGTGCCGCCCGGGCTTCGCGGGCCTGCGGTGCGAGCGGTGCGAGGAAGGCTTCTCCTTGGAGCCCCGCAGCGGGCGCTGCCTCGCTTGCGGCTGCCACGCCGAGAACGCCGTCTCCCCGTCCTGCGACGCGTAAGGAACGAGGCGCCCGGATCGTTGCCCGCCGTCCCCTTTGTCCTTTGTCCGTACTTGGTCATCCCAGAGAAAGCTTGTTTACTAGAAAATACAAGACACTTTTGTAAGACTCTCGTCTTTAGAAAAGAGAGAGAGAGAGAGAGAGGGAGAGAAAAGAAAAGAAAAGAAAAGAAACGAAACGAAACGAAACGAAACGACAGAAGGGAGGGGTATTCTGATAAGGAATATTCTGTATTCCTTTCTGTCAGATTTCAGTGTGAGATTGTGGGAAAGATGTGGCAAGTTGGTGGGTTAATTAACTCTAATGTAGAAAATGGATTTGCGTTTCTTGGCAAACGGGGATCGGTCCCCAGCAAAAGGGGATTCAGGATGCAGAGGAGGTGACTTAAACCTTTGGAGGCCCAGTGCACATAGGACTGTACCAGGGTCCAGAATCAGCAGGGAGCATGGTTGGGGTGTTGCTGGGGCTGTACCACCTCCCGCCAGGCTGGCTGCCTGCCCCTGCCGCCTCCCCGTGAGCAGCCTCGGTGCTGGCGCTCCAGCGGGTTGGCTAGGAGAGCCGCCATTTTGGCTTTGCCACAGTCTTCTGAGCAGCGCGGTGTTGGGGCGGGTGGGGAGCTGGCAAGGGTGGGGGCTCACTTTGCTGAGCTTCCTCTGGAACCCGGAGCCAAGATGTGTGTCTAGAGGGGTTCATCTCCAGCATGACCCAGAAGCCCTTCCAAGCCCTGTTCCTTCCGGCTTTCTGGCTGAAGGCTGGACCTGGGAACTCCACCTCGGTCCATCGCCAGCCGCCCCGACAGACTGAAGCTCTTCTTTTGTTCTTGCATATGGTGAATGACGGTCTTTCCGTAGCTCGGAGATGGAGCGATCCCACGAAGGGCAGCCAGAGCCACCTCAAGCTTCCAGGCAGAGCCAGAGCAGGGCTGCCAGGACCGGGCGCTCCAAGACTGCGCCTTCCCAGGGTGGGGACGCTTGACGGCTGCCCCGTAACGACTGTTTGCTAGGCGGCCTACTTTTCGAGTGTTCTTTCCAATATGGCTGTGACCCCGGGGGCACTGTGGGGTCTGCGGGGGGGTGGGCTCAGGCGCACCCCGCTCACCAATCCAGTCCGCCAGATCTTGTCCTTGGGCCTCTCGCTGCTTCTCGCCACATCTCTTCCTCCCAACGGTCCGCGACCCGCATTGGCCCGGTGGGCTAATGATCGCTGCAGTCGCCGTGGCCGGGGAAGCGTCCGATTGAGCGCCGAGATGCACATTGACCTGACAAGCGGCCGCGGCAAGCGTGTGAGATGGGCGCCCGCGTTTAACCGGCGGCCTTTTCCGCAGACGAATCGTTGCAGGAGCACGACGGGTGGGCGTGTGTGTCTCTCTCTGGGGAAGCGGCTTGTGTCCCGGACAGGTTTATCACCCCGACTGCTCTTGGTCGGTTTCTTCATTTCTTTTCTTTGCTCTTGGGCATCGTAGCTGCAGTTGGACGACTTAGAATGAGGCGTGTTCGTGTTGGCCCAGTCTTGTCTCTCTCTCGTTCTCCCTTACATGATTAAGGGAGCATCTTAAGTGATTTTAAAAATGTCTTTATTTTATTTCTATCCTGCCTTTTTCTCTTCAGGGCACCTTGGGCAGCTCACACAGTTCTTCTCTTCCTCCTCCTGTCCATTTTATCCCCACAGCAACCCTGCGAGGTAGGCTAGGGCTGAGAATCAGTGCTTGGTCCAGTTATCTGATGAACTTTAGGGCCCGTGAACACTTGAACCCAGCTCTGCCGAGTCTCAGTCTGGCTTGCCAGCCCCTGTGCCACACTGGCTTTCTTCCTCGTTAAATATGGGATTTCTTCCTAACCCCACTTCTCTTTATTCATTCGTGGTCAGACGTGGGCATTAAAGGGTTCTGCCGTTGAAATAATTGACTTCAGTGGAGTGTTCTGTTTTATAGTCCATGCATTTCCTGAGAAAGAGAAGGTTTCTGTTGGTCGCCATATAGCAATGTATTCATGTGGTGCCTTGTGTAGAATTTCTGTGAGGCATCATCCAAAACCTTTGATCATGCTGTATACACCAAGAAGCATCAATGAGGCCGGAGAGAAAAGCTGAACTCTGGTACCCTTTGCTCCCCGTTCCCAAGTATTAGGAGGTGTGGACCATGCCCTGGACTTTTGAACAGACCCCTTTCACACAACTAGATTCAAACTTTTAAAATTTATTTCCGTGTGCATTGTATAAACATAATCTAAGGACTAGAGCATGACAGTTTTGGAGGTAAGATTTAAAACGATCTATAGCACTGGTTCCATTAATATAGTCTATCCCTGCCTGTTAGGATGTAACAGGACATGTTATTGCAAAGAATTATATATCATGTTCCACAAAAGCATTCCAAATATCCACGTAACCCTCTGAGTTTCAGGGCTGTGGATCACTGGATTGCTTTAAGCACTTGCTCCCAGTTAGATGGACAGCATTGCTGCGGCTGTTATAAAATATAAGAGATCATCCAAAGTGTGGAGCGACGTCTTCGGAAGAGGCTTTCTCTCCTAGGCCGGAATGCCTCTTCTTGTCATCCCGAAAGCGGCTTCTCAAGAAGACTCGTTTGCTTTCTGCTCAGAGATGCTCTTTGGCCAACATGCGGGCAATGGTTGGTTGGTTGCTCTGCCGCTCTTCGGTGGAGCCGAGTCTACGTTTGTGGCATGTGGTGGTGGGTCTATGCGAGATGCATCTTCTCGCATCCATCACACCTGATGCTCAGGAAACGTGTGGCAGGGTCTTCTCTTCCAAAACTCCTCCCCAGAAAAGGTCACACCTGGCAATATGCACCCGCTGTTAAAGGATCGCCGACCCGCTGGCCTAACAGCCTGGGGTCCGGGTGTCCTCGGTCCAGAACTCGGAGGATCGTTTTGCGGAGGCGCTGCGATGTTGACCAGATGCAATTGGCATTTTGACATTTCGCAAGACGCCTCTTCAGAGCTCTTGAGCTTTTCGGCCCCTTCGGTCACTTTCAGGCAGACGGATTCCATCCACTGGCAGAAAGCGAGGAATGTGGCTTGTACAATGACCCAGTGTTTTCCCGGAATAAAGCTGCTCTTTTTCCTACCGGACAGAAGGGGCTTTGCCGGGATTGCATAACGTCGGCTGGCTGGCTGCAGTGATCCGTGAATGCCGGGCGGAGGGGCTTCCTCGGTGCCATTAAATTTGCTGACGTGCATTTCCGCCTTGGTTTTCCCATCTCCAGATTAATGGGTTAACTGATGGGTTGATTAATGGATTAATCACCGCAGGCAGCAGAGTTAATGGACCGGGGAAGGCCTGGGTGGAGAGGCAGGGCTTCAGTGGGTGCCCAAAACAGCCCCCATGCCATGGTGGAGAGGGTGCCAGGCTGGGGACCCCTAAAGAGACCCACACGTGAGTCCCCCCTCGGCCAGGAAACCCACTGGGTGCCTGGGCCAGTCACAGACTCTCCTCCTCCTCTACCTCACAGGCCGTGGCTTCCTGCACGGACCCGATCCATCTCCCAGCTGGTTGTCCCCTCCTTTTTCTGCCTTGGACTCTCCCCAGCATAATTGCCACATCTCCAGTGATGGGAGTCGGAGCCTCCCAAATACGGAGAAGGGGAGGAATTTGTGCACCCGGGCCTGGCACCTTACCCGGGACGGGGAACAGCATTTCAGGGCAGTTGTCAGCACATGGGTAGTCCTGAACCGTACAACCACACATAGTTGGAGCAAGAAGGGGCTGGAAAAGGAACCCATCCCTCGAATTTGCGTTCAGTGCTCCGTGTTAGAAGAGAGAAGCGCTGGCCTTCCTGCGTCGTTTTTCTTTTTCAAAGCAACCTGGTTCTCCGTTTAACATCACGTGTGAGTGCGGGTGGGGTTGGTTTTGTGCATTTTACTTGTTGACCTTTTCTTGGAAAAGCATTCAGGAAGTCTTCCTGTGCAGCGAGCTCTGAAAGAGGATGTTGTAATCAGCGTTATTCTATAGCTCTATTGATGAAAGGCAGAACTTCTTGCGTTCGCTGAAAGATTTAATTCTTGTGCCGCCCAGGCCATGGTGTCGAGCTGTTTGAATCCAGGGACGTCTTGCCAAAGAGGCATTAAAGCCACATTTCCAGCAGCCGATTTCCTTTTAAAATGTTTAATAACTTCCTTTCCTGCTCTACATCACTTGAGAAGCGTAAAATCAAGGCATTCGTAGAACTGGAGTTTGCCTACAAATGGGAAACAGATTCCCAAATCCCAATTTCTAAAGCTCAGTGGAAAGGTGCCAAATGAGAAGCATGTGAAACTGTGCCCACTTACATGGGAGTAACCCCATTAGATTCAGTGGGACTTCTTTCAGAGATGACATGCCTAGGTTTGGAGTGGCATCCTCATGATTTAGTGGGAATTTGCTGGAATTGAACATCTTTCTCAGAAGCCCATCTGTGGCATTTTGTGTAAAACGGAGATGCAAGACAATTCTGTTATTTCGCGCATTAAAGTTCTTCAAGTGAGGGGTGCCAGCTGGAGCCGGAGGTCAGACTAGATGGCCCGGGAGGCCACTTCTGGCTCGCTCTGTTTCTATGTTTCTAAGTATCCCTGTGACTGGAGAAAATGTGCTGCGATTTGAACATTAGAAGCAGGATCCCACGAAGTTGTCGGACTTTTTTCTGGCTGGCTGGGGAAAGCTGGGAGATGGGAGGGCATTTTTTGGCCCAGAAATACTTGGAAAAGACTAGGCTCTAACACGAGCCTTTTGCAACGTGCTCAACTACGCTCTCCAGCCCACATGGTCACACGGAGTAAAAAGTTCACTCCCAGCCCCCCTTTCCCTTCCTCACTCCCCACTTCACTTATTTTACTCTGATTCCTTCTTGACCCCTTTGGGGTCTGTTTCCAAACAGCTCCGGAAGGTGCGAGTGCAAAGCTGGAGCGACGGGGTTGAAATGCGGAGAGTGCCGGGAAGGGTACTCCAAGTTCAACGGAACCAGCTGCGAACTGTGCCAGTGCGGCAACCATTCTGCGAGATGCAACCGCTTGACGGGTAAGACTGCCGTGCCGCGGGCTCGCGTCTTGCGTAAGGCCGGTGGAACACAAGCGCAGGCGGCAGCGACGTACAGCTGGAACAACCCCGCAGCAAATGTCTCAGCCTCTCAGAGAGGAGGAAAAAGGCACTCCTGCAAACCTAGAATGCAGATGCATTTGTGTTTTACATCTGAGGCCTGAGAAACTGTATTTCCCAGAGGTGTTTTTCAGGTTTTTTGCTATAAGGGATGCAGGTGGCGCAGTGGTTGAAACTGCTGTGCTGCTGGGCTGGTTGATCAAAAGGTCGCCGGTTCGAATCTGCACAACGGGGTGAGTTCCCGTTGCTCCGTCCCAGCTCCTGCCAACTTTGCGGTTCGAAAGCCTGCAAATGCGAGTAGGTAAATAGGTGCCACTTAGGTGGGCAGGTAACAGCGTTCATGCCCCTTGGTGTTTAGTCATGCCAGCCACACGACCACGGAGACTGTCTGCGGACAAGCGCTGGCTCCCTCGGCCGGGAAACGGAGATGAGCAGCGCCCCCTAGAGTCAGGAATGACTGGACTTAATGTCAAGGGGAAACCTTGACCTTTACCTTTTACCATTTGCGGGGGCAGGAAGGGCTGCATTTTTTCAGTGTTCCAAAAGCCCCCTCTCCAGATCTTCTACATGGCAATTAAACAGCGTGGCAGGGAATGGGAGAGAACTTTAATTGGGGGTAGTTATGCATGTTCGTCGAAGGATTTAATTTCTCAGTGATAATTTGGATGGAAAATTAACAGGCTGGCTTTGCTTTTGTGGAAATGTAAGTCAGTCCTAATAACTGTTTCCAAATTTGCTTAATGGGTATCAAGACATGCAGATTTGTCACCTGCTTGGCCGATCTGTTTCCAGGATTTGTTTCATGGTCCCTCTTTGAAATCAGAGGGCAGTTCCTCAGCGAAGGGCCTTTTCAGTGGTAGCACCGCAACTCTGGAATTCATTCTCCCGGGAAGTTCACCTGGCGCTGTCCCTCTATTCCTTTCGGCGCCAGGAGAAGACGTTTTTATTTTCCCAGTATTTTAATAATTCATCTGGGTTCATTCTTGTTTTTATTACTGTTTTAGATGCAGTGTTTTTTGTCGTCGTGATGGGTCCAGTTTTTTTGGTTCACTTTCTGTAAGCCGCCCAGAGACTTTTGTAGTAATTGGGACGGCACACCAAAACCTTAAATAAATTGGAATTTTGCACGAAGATGTGGGGAGAAGAAGCACAGTATTCCACCACGGCTACCTCAGCCACATTTTGTACTCCAAGGGGGGGCAAAACGGCAGAGTGGTAGCGAGAGCACTGGAAGGGGGACCCAGGAGATCTGGGTTCCAGTCCCCATTCAGCTGTGAAGCTCCCTGGGTATATTTGAGTCAGTCACTCCCTCTTGGCGGAACCTTCCTCACAGGTTGTGGGGCTCTCACATGTGGAAAAATAAGTGTAATAATAAGAATAATAGGTTGTTAGGCGATAGATCCCTCCATCGCAGAGCATGGGCCTTCCTGGAAGGAAGCTGAGTTACTTGTGCTCCGTTCCAGATTCTCCCCAGCCACGTCCTGCCGAAAGGCCTTGTTACCATTCGCTGGCTTCCTTCATTGTTTAACGACGCAGAGTTGTCAGGAAGCTTACGTGGGCTAGAAGGCTGGTGTCTTGACCACAGTGGTTCAGTGCCAGTCCACACACAATCCATACACAATCCTGATGTGTGGGTTATTGTGTTGCTTTACTTAGAAGAACATCTCAGATGTGGTTGATGCGCTGGCCGGTTTGGGCTTTGAGCTGGGATCTCCCAGGGTTTCCCAGATACACCGGAACAAGGAAAACTTGCACAGGGCTTCCCAGACGTGGCCGGTCCTTTCAAGCTTTATCGAGGGCACCTGGGCTAGACATCCAGAAGTTTAAAACTGGGATCGTAAGAATGGCACAGAACGCACCACTGACGAGGGCTCACACCTGATCCTTGGGACGGGAAGGGGCGTTTTCGGCACAGGAGCTTTGCAGAAATGGGGGCTCCGTGGCACAGCCGGTTTCTTTTGTGGCCTCGGCTCCAGAGATGTGGGTTGAGTGCCCTCTGGTGGCCAACACCGAGACACAGACCGTGCTGAATGCCTTTCCTCCTCTCTGCACGCCGGCCTTGGGAATCTCTCTGATGGTTCAAATCGCCAGGCACCTCCTTGAAGCCAACACTCAGGCGGTTTGGACTACAACTCCCCTCATCCCTGGCCATTGTCTGTGCTGAATGAGGCTTCTGGGAATGGTAGTTGAGAATCTCTGGAGAACAGTATGTTGGGGCTGGCTGGTCGGTCCAAGGTTTGGAAAAGAACATGCGGATGGTCCCCATGGCCCCAGGGTCAGTTGAGCGGTGTATCTGCTCTGCGTTTCCCTCAGGGACTATCTATCCATAATGTTGGACCCATTCCCAAAACCAGTTCAGCACCACGGGCAGCTCCCATAGAGTTCAGACTGAAACCTGGAGTGGATACCCCACCCCATCAGCACTGGTGCCATTCGCTGCTGCCGGTCCCAGCTTTTGTCTCTGGGCTCACTTGCTTTATTGACCAAAGCGATTTCCTCCTCCTCTTCTTCTATTGTATTTCTGCCCATCTTCCTTCCTCTTGCAAAGACCTCAAGGCAGCTTGGAAGGTTCTGCTCCTCCCCTTTTATCCTCACCGCAACAACCCTGTGAGGTCGGTCAGGCTGAGAGTCCACAGCTGGCCCAGAGTCACCCAATGAGCTTCCCGGCTGAGTGGGGACTAGAACCCGGATCCCCCAGGTCCCCAGACCAACATTCCCACCGCTTTGGCTGTCACTGCATCCGAATCGATGCCCTTCACTACCGCCTCACATCTCCGCTCGCCCCTTCTGCTGAAACGGTCCCTGGAGGAACTTGCGTGGTGTTGGTAGAGATGGCAAGCTTGCCTGCCAACTCGCAGGCTACGGGAACCCCAAAGGAATGTGAGCTAGAGGGGGAAGCCCCCCAAGTTCAGTCCTCGGCACCGTTCCACTTTTGGAGAACCCCAGGCAACACACCTGGGACTCCCCAAGCTGTGCCTGGATGCAGGTGTGCTTAGCCTAACCAAGGAAGCCCCCCATCTGCCTTCGCGTCCGTAGTGGGGGCTCCTCTCCTGGTTCCAAAACTTTTGGGGGAAACGAGCTGGACCAGGGATCGCCTTCCACAGCAGTCGGCTTCACGCAGCCGGGTGCCTCACTGGGAAACACCGCCCCGACAAGGCAAGCCCCGTCCACGGAGCAGAGGCCCGTGGCGAGCCCACGACTTCCAGCACTGCCCGTTGCAAGGCCTGGCCTGGCCACAGCCGATGCTGCCGTCACGTGCCGCCGCAATTTTTGGGCACTTCTTTTCACAGGCGTGTGCCAGGACTGCCGGGGGAACACCGAGGGCCCCCGCTGTGAGAAGTGCAAGGAGCAGTTCTACTGGAACAGCTCTCTCGAGTGTCTGCTGTGCCCTTGCTCCACCGTGACATCTACCGGGACGTGCCACATCGGTAAGCGTCCGAGAGCCTTTGCAGCCGTGTGTGTCCCTGCAAGGGTTTTGACGAGCTTTCCTAACGGGAGAGGTGCTGTCGCAACCGAGTGCCGGGAAGCGCATGAGCGCAGCAAGAGGGCATGCTGTGCCCCGGACGGGCGCAGGCTTGTTTGGAGGGTTGGTGCATTGCTCCATTCCGCCCTCTGTTTGACCCTCCAGGAATTAGTCCCTGGCCTCGAAAACTGGTATCTGGAGGAGAAGAGATACAGGTTTACCTGTCTGCCTGGCATGCTGGTTTTCTACTTGCAGGGCATGTTGCTGGTTGGAGGAATGGGCTGTGGGGGGAGCGTCCCCTTCCCGACTCATTGCATGTTAGACTTCAGGACTGGCGCTTCTCTGGAAAATAATGTCTTGCTTGCCTGTGATGCCCCTTCCCTTTTTTCCAGCCGACCCACCAGCCGAAAGCAGATAAACTTGCTCTTTTCCCTCCTGTTCTTACACCCTTTCCCTTCTCCTCTTCCAGCCTGGACACCATGGTACCATTTGCTCCCCGGACGGGTGCTCAGCTCTGGATGCATATGCACACTCTCTTCCTCCCTCCCCCCTGCTTTTTCTGGTGCTCTTCCTGTCTCAGTGGTGGCCCCATGTGGCGCCTCTGGGACACGGCCCCCCAGAATATCAGAGAGCCCGCAGAGCTGTGTGGGTCGGCTCCCGGACACCCGGAGCAGCGTTTGGAGGGGTGTGGTGCGCAGGTGGCGCTCCTCCGGGCGTCTGGGGCTCGAGGGCCACGGCAGCGTTCTGGCCGTGGTCGTGACCGATGCCGTGCTTTCTCTCCCCTCCCCAGAGCCCGGCCAGCGCACGCCGACCTGCGACAAGTGCCGGCCCGGTTACACCGGAGCCCTGTGCAGCCAGTGCGCCAGCGGCTACTACCACCTGGACAGCATCTGCGTGCCGTGCCAGTGCGGCGGGAACGTCGACCCGGCGCGGTCCCCACAGGTCTGCGAGCCGGACACGGGGGAGTGCCTCGGGTGCCTCTACCACACGGCCGGGCGTCACTGCGAGGCGTGCCAGGAGGGGTACGGCAGGCCTTTGGAAGGAGGCAATTGCACCAGGAAAGGTAACCGTGCGTGTTTGAGACCGGAGCCTGGCTCGCCCTTTCTCGCCCGAGGCTCCAAGATGCAGCGCAGGTCTTTCCTGGCGCTTGGGCTGGTTTGCTGCTGCTGTTTCGTCGCAGAGTCGTGCCCGACCCATCAACACCCCGTGGACAGCACTCCTCCAGGCCCTCCTGTCCCCCACCTTCCCTCGGAGTCCCTCCAAGCCCACACCCTCCACCCCAGTGACCCCGTCCAGCCACCTCGTCCCCTTCTCCTTTGGCCCTCAGTCGTTCCCAGCATCAGGGGCTTCTCCAGGGAGTCCTTCCTCCTCATTAGGTGGCCGAAGTATTTGAGCTTCATCTTCAGCATCTGGCCTTCTAAAGAACGGTCAGGGTTGATCTCCTTTAAAATGGACTGCTTTGATCTCTTTCTGGCCATTAGCAGTCCTGAAAGCCCTCCAGCAAACTGAAAGGTGGCCTCTGCTCATGCACAGAGGGTATGAGCGTTGAACCCAAACAGGGAAGTACTCCTAGCCCTCTCCTCTCGTTCAGAATGTGTGCTCCGTGCTCGGGGGGCCTCCCGCTGGTGGAGGGCTGGCCGGTGAGAGCCACGTGAGCCCTCTGACTGGGCAGCTCCTCTCCCCTGATGTTTCTATGCTGTGGCACGGGGTCAAGGCCAGGCCAGGCGATGGCCCTCCCTCCTCCCTGGGGTCCTTCCCATCTCTTCCAAAATGTGTCTACTCTCGCAGTCAGCCTGGGAAACTGCAAGCAGTGACTTGGTGGGGCTCCACAGGCTGCCTCCCCCGCACCAATAGAAACAGAGCGAGTCAGAAGGGGTCTCCCGGGCCATCTAGTCTGACCCCCGGCTCCAGCTGGCTCTGCTCACGACATGCTCACCTTGTGCATGTCCAGCCTATCCTAGATGGGGCCTCAACTGCCTTCCGTGGAAGCCCATGCCATTCCCCAGGGGTCCCGACTGTCAGGAAGTGCTTCCTGGCATCGAAATTCCACTTTAGCTCCCTGAGCTTGGCTCCGTTGCAGCGTGTCCTGCCCTCCTCTGCAGGGAGAACTGGTCTCTGCCACATATCTCTCCCTTGGGGCCCCCCCACTTCAGGTTCCACCAACGCAGGCCCTGGAAAGTCAGTCAGGCCACCCCCTGCCTGCATTTGCTCTGCTGCACGCACAGCTTCCCTTTCCTGCATATCCCCGCCATCTCATCCTCACAACCATCTTGCAGTAGGTCAGGCTGAGATGGGACTCGAACCCAGACCTCCGGAACCCCCTCGGTTCCCAGCTGTGCAGCTCCAAATCAGCCCGACTCTGCCACACCAGGCCTTCTAGCTGCCCCGTAACGACTCCCCAATTCCTCGCGGGCTGCGATCGAATTAGGATTCTCCTGGGGACCAGAACTCGGGTCCTTCGTATCTTTATAGCGCTTCTCTCCAGTGGGCATTGGCTTAAATATTCTGCTGAAATGGAAGAGCTTCTGCTAATTAGCATCAGTGCTCACACAAGGCCACGTGAAAAGGTGGAGGGCTGGTCCTTCCCGTGCTGTGGTTGTTACCCAGACTGGAATCTGTGCTTGGGGGTTGGCCCGCGATTGAGCTTAGCAACCGAATTATTTGTTTACGCCTCTGTCTCCTTAGCCAAACATCAAATAATGTGCAGAAACACACCAATAGGTGCGCTTGAATAGGTGAGTCAAAGAATCAGAGAAACAGAGCGAGACAGAAGGGGCCAATAGTATTGTGTTACTGGCTTAACTGGTGAAAGTTTCTGGGATTAATGGCTGGAAATACACCATGGGTAACTTTTCATTGATGATCAGAACACAGACCTTTTATCCGTACACCCCGAAGACATATCCGATAGGCCGAACTTGGAGTGGCTGTATTTTGTGCTTTGTCGTAATCACCGAAGAGTTACCACTCTGCCGTCTCACATCCGCTTTTCTTTTTAAACCGAAACGAAACTTGCAGACCTCAGTCCCAGCCCAGCAAGCCGAGGGCTCATCCCTCCAACGCCGAACATCAGCACGCCCGCTCCTACGGCGGCCGCCAACGGCACGTCAGCGCAGACGACGGCGCAGACGCTTCTCCCGGCGGGGCCGTCGGACAACAGCACTTCCGCTTTAGCCGATGTCTCATGGACTCAGTTCAACATCATCATCCTCACGGTCATCATCATCCTGGTGGTCCTGCTGATGGGCTTTGTGGGCGCCGTCTACACGTACCGTGAGTATCAGAGCAGGAAACTGAATGCTCCCTTTTGGACCATCGAGCTCAAGGAAGACAACATCAGTTTCAGTAGTTACCACAACAGCATCCCCAACGCCGACATCTCGGGCCTGCTGGAGGACGATGGGACCGAGGTGGCGCCCAACGGCCAGCTGAGCTTGGCGACACCCATGCATAACTACAAAGCATAATGACCGGCGAGAAGGATGGACCGCAAGGTCTAGGAAGTCCCGCAAACGATTTAGGCTGCATGCTGAGAAGGTCCCCATCCATGGCACCCGTGTCCCACGCGAAGGAAAGGCCTTCTGGTACGTTGAGTGTGGCCAGCGACAAAAAATTGGACATTGGGTGTTGTGATAGAGCAGCTTTCGCTAAGGTGCAGACTGAATTCGATTCAGTGTTCCCCATCATCCCCTCTGGATAGGAATTTGTATTTAAAAAGAGAAGAAAATGGAGCAGCTTGGAAATATATTTTTGTACGAAATGATGGAGGCATACTAGGAAGTCATCTCATCTCTTAACTAAAAGTCACGTCGACACCAGAACCTACTTTTTAAGCTTCTGGTTTGAAAAGTATTCAGTGAACGTACAGGGAGTGGATCTTTATTTTGGAGAGAGGAAACGAAACCTGAGCGTTGTTTCATGCCCTGAAAGAGTTTTGCTATTTAAAAAAGACAATAATTTAAAGAAAATGTTAATGGAATGTCTAAAGATGTGGCGATACAAACTGATAGCAATCCAAGTTTTCTTTTCTCCTCTGACTCTGAGATTACAGGGAAAAAAATCTCATTCCATTTTGGGAGGAAGGGAGAAACGGGGACAGGCGCCACTCCGTCTTCTTTTTTTCAAAACCTTCCTCTCCTGGGTGATCATGCTATTGAAAATATAGGAAGCAGTACTATTTTCTTAGCTTTACTTGAATTCTCCCAAGGTACACTAGAGAGATGAAAGGGGCACCTTTCATAAGTCTCCTGCCTGAAGTGGAAAAGGTGTGGATGCAGAACATAACAAAAGATTTCTTGGCATTGTATTTGTAACTATTTGTACAAAAATATGTCTTATTTTATCCTTTAAATTTTATCTGTACAGCAGTTCATGGCACTGTAAAAACAAAAACCAAATCAACACTGAAAAAAAGCAAGTATTGTATTAAAGTGCTGTAAATTTAGATGGTGATATCGCTGGAGCTGGGTCTCCGACAGAGGTTTATTGCTAACTTTTTCCTCTTCTGATAAAACAAATGACTGGTGACTCAAACTGAACATTTATCTTCCTTATTTTATGGGCATCTCGCCCAACCCGATGCCCTTCAGGTGTTTGCAACTACACCACCCATCTCCCCATGCTGACTGGGACTGATGGGAGTTGTTGTCCAAACATCTGGGGGGCTCTAGGTTGGGGAACCATTTCTGGCAGCCTTTTCTTCCACTTTCTTGAATGAAATCAGTCTTTGAAGACGTTGCAATGTCTGGCAACTGGTTGTAAATTTAGAATGACGTTTGGTTAACACTCGTGTAAAATATAGGACTGCATCTGTGAATTTTGAAAAGCAAGGCTAGGAAGTATATTAGGGTCAGAATATAATATCCTCTCGTCGTCATTGTCAGTGGCTTTCTCAAGCTGAATTTCTTAAGCGCTTGGCTTGCTTCTGGTGCCCCATCTGCCAGACTTGGCAAACCCATGTTGGAAATTTGAGTTTTTTTCACAAGTAAGGGAGAATAACTCCAGCATGGAGAGTACTAGGTATTGTCACTTGGTTTGCACCTACTAGACACCATGTACAGGACCGAATTACCAAATGGTTGTTTTCCTGAGTTTTTCCTCGCGCCGTTTCTGTTTCTCTAGAGAGTTCACATAATCCCGTTTTTGTTTCGCAAGGATGAATCAGCAGTGCAGACTTTGCTGGGGAAAAGCCGCAGGGAGTTGATTGTCCACATTTTGAAAGGAGTCGCTTTTGAGATGCACCATGATGTTTGGACAAATGGACCATACCCCCTCACCTCTTTCGTTCAATGCACCTTTTCCAGTTGTTTTCTCAGTCGGTGCCATTGTAGAAGCATGTTTAATTGTTTAAAAAGATCTGTCCTTTTTCCTAATTTGCACTGTCGTTAACTAGAATGAACCGTTAAAGCACAATGTAAAGACTTGGCTTTCAGACCCCTTGGACGCGCTTCTCTGGTGCTTCTCTGGACGGAAGCATTGTCCCTTGCGTGGCTCCATCTCACAGACGGGTGTGGATGGAACGCCGCAAGTCTTAAGGACCCAAAAGGCGATAAAGGAATGGAAACTCCAAGTTGCATGGAGAAGCAGCTCCTGTGGAGAGCTAACAGTCTTCTGTTCAGAAGCACCCAAGAGCTGCCGCTAGTCCGGAAACCATCTGCAGAGTTGGAGATGTTAGATTCCAAGAATGAGCTTTCTGTGTCACATCATACCTATATTGGAGGCATACCAGTGCTTGTGTTTTGGAGACTTGCCTGACGGACTCAGTGGAGAACACCCTTCCCCCAGCTTGGATCTCTAGATGTGTTGGCCTCATTGATGAACGCCATTTGGACAACTTGGTTACGGTGGATGGAACACAGTGGGAGAGGACCAGCTTCTGGAAGGCTGATGGAGACGGTTCGATCGTCGCTTGCGCATGGGCATGCTGACCCCATCTGAGCTTGCACACCTGTGGGGTGGTCAGGCTTGTCACCTGCCTTGGGTGGTGGCTCACCCTGCTTCTCGGCTCTACTAAATGGACGTCGGTGTTTCCGCCTCACGTTCGGCACCAGCTCAAGGAAGGCTGGTCTGGATCGAGGCATTAAGAGGCGCATACTCTGTGGACAGGATTCGATCAAGGCCCTTCTGTCCCCAAACAACCCTGAAATGCATTCTGCCCATAGGACCACACGCTGTAGAGTCCCGTGCTTCTGGATGCAGGCAGGGGTGGGTGGGCGACTGGCTATATTCATGGTTTCATTTCTTTTAGTTCTGTCTTGGAAACGCAGTGATCCTAGTTCCAGATGCGGCTCCACATCACTGTCCCTCACTGGGTTCTCACACTGTGTGGAAGGTGCATGTACCCATCTGGTCCGTAGCAGGGAGCTGTGTTCTTCCTGGTCAGAATTTCAAGGATGGAAGTTCCTTCTACCAAAATGGAGCCTGCAGGGGTATATTGGGTCGTCTCTTGAAATTTGGCGGTGCTCAAGACCAGGAAGCTTGCGTTGCTCTGCTGCCGTCAGAGAAGGAACGTGCAGGTGTGGTTGTCAAAAACAAAATTCTGGCTAAGTCTGCCCGGCCCCATTTCTCAGCAGCTTGGCCATCCTCACAGGCATGGGGGAGCCACAGTCCCTCCCCCTGAAACCTCTTAAACACTAGCCTGCCCCCAGCCTAGTGCTGTTCCAATGTTTTGGACTGCAACTCCCATCAGCCCCACCAGTGCGGACAATGGTTTACAGTGTAGTCCAGTGTAGTCCACTGGGAAGGCTGCCAGTTGAGAAGGCCATTCAACTCTCTCGTTCTTCCTCCCCATTTGTGAGTGTTTCGTAGCTCCAGCTTTTTGGTTCCAAAGCAAATTCCTGAACTTGGTTCTAGGCACCCGGAATAGTTTCATTTTGCCCTGAAGTATTATCAGTTGGCAGTAATTATATGACAGATGGGCAAATGCCCAGACTGACTTCCTTTGACCAGAGCAGTTAGGTTGGGATGTGGAAATGCAGAACTAATCAATTTAAGAACACCCGTTAGGATGTGTCCAAAAGGATATGTCCAAGTGCAGAGCTTCGTGTAAGAATAGTCACACTTTTATCCAGTGATAAAAGTGTGCCAGATTAATCTGAACCCCAGTTTCTAGCATGTTCTCTCCCCCATTTTTTCTTCTTGGAGTCAGATAATATTTCTCACACCATACTAGTTTGCCATTTTTAAGGCGGCCTTGTCATTTCTCAAAGTGGAAAGTTGACTTAATCCAGAAAGTGAAGGACTTGGCCAACTGGATGGAGTCAGGCACTGGCAGGAAAATGACACTGGTAGGAAAACGGTTGTAAATAAAGTGTTTTCAAGCAAAGTGTCCCGGCAGAGCAATCCAAAGCGCAAAAGAGCAGAGCAGAGCAGACCAGGCTTGTAACAACAGGAAGCCCAACAGACTTGTCTTTTTAAACACAAGAAACTGAGACGGAAAGGAAGGTTGTTCTCGGGGTTGCTAGGCATTATTCCCTACCCATTGTGACCCATGTTCGCATTCATGCATTTTGAGCTGCTAAATCTTAGTGCCCTAAACGACTGGCAGATTCCAGAATGGCTTTTAAACCTCCAGGAACAAATTAAATCTTCAGCTGCAGCTGGACACTCCTTGCTGGTGCTTCCCACGCTCCTGGGATGATGTGACGGCTAAAGCCAAGATGGCTCTCCGCCAGCGTGTGGTGTTATTGCAAACATAAAGGAGCTTGACCGTCATGGCTTCCCTGCAAAGGATTCTGGGAAAAGGTAATAAGCTACAGCTACCTCCAGGCTTGGCTTGTGCGCTCTTTTTGGTGAAATGGTGCAGTACTCATTAGCGTGCGCGTTGGGAATCGTGTTTTTCTTCCTTCTGCTTGGAAATATTGTCTCCTGGGTTCTGCGAGGAGAGTTTCCTGCGAGAGAATTCAGGGGCTGCATTTTGGGCTAGGATGGCTGGCTGAGGTACCGGGTTCTGGAGGTCAGCCCTGCCAGGGTGCCTGGTCTTACCTTTAAAACAGGGGTGTCCAACCTTTTGGCTTCTGTGGGCCACATTGGAAGAAGACAAATTGTCTTGGGCCACACGTGAAAATACACAAACACTTAATGAAAACTGTTGAGCGGAAAAAAGGTCAGTGCATAATTTTCATGCTATCCATCACCACAGCTAAGCAAAACAGCCCTCACATCATAATCCCAAGAGAGCATACATACGTTTCTTTTGTGACATTGTGACACAGTGTTGTCGTCTACAAAGTTCATGCTTGAGAACCACACAATTGAGTTACCAAAAAAATCTCATAAGTTTATGATTTCGCATTGGGCCACATGCATACCATGCTGGGCCGCATGTGGTCCACAGGCCGCAGGTTGGGCACCTCTGCTTTAAACCTGGCTGGCTTATGCATCCAGCGCAGGTGTGATAGGGGCCATGGCGAGTTGTTCTGGATCGCATCTCCTGTAGCCCCTTCTGGCAGCAGACGGAGGGAAAGGCACAGCTTTTCCATTTCAAATGTCCAAAGAGAGAATAGGAGAGCTCTCTTCTTTCCACAGCAATGTCCTTTGCCACTGTGGCACCTGTCCCTCTCCCTAGTCCCTCTTTGTACCAGTAACCGGAGAAAGTCCTGCTTTGTCTGGGCTGGGCCCCCATATGTGTGGGGAGCTATCCCAGTGTGGTGTTTATCTTCGCTGGTTTTCCTGTCCCCTGAATGGGCTCAGCCTGGCCACTGGCCCCTTGTCACGGCAAGAGGTTCCCCAGCTGCTTTTGCAGGGTGGTCCCACGTGGCTTGCTTTGCAAAAGTTCGTTAGCCACTTCTCAGGGTTTTGGGGGATTGAGGGTAGGGGGAGGAAGCCCCCAGGGGGCTTAGCCTGTACTTCTGGGCCCAATCCACACTACTCAAGAGGAGGCGGGACAGCTCAGTGGTTTGCCAAAACGCAATCCTGCAATGGCTGCCGTGCTCAACAGTTTTATCCTGAAATATTGGAATTTAACTTTGGAATATCTGAATATTTTAACTGGAACATTAAATATTTGAATTTGGTCAGGCTGTGAACCCTTTCAGATTCCCCCCCCCCCACCACTTCCAATGGACCAAGAAAAGTATTCTCTTCTGACTTTTAGCAGAACATTCCTAAAGGACCTGACAGACATGTTTAATCTTTCTGGTTCTTTTAAGGAGTGTTCAAGTACATTTTACAGGCACCTTCCTCAACTGGACACTCTCCAGAGAGGACTGAATTACAGTCCCCATCATTCCCACCAAGGGGTTTAGGCCCGCAGGACAAAAGACTGCATCATAATTGACCTGTGCTCTAAAGTCTCTCTCTCTGTGTGTGTCTTGAAACATTTCTCTGACTTCGGAGCTGGGAAGCGGAGTGACCCAGTTGCTCGTCATACACAGCCCGGGGGGGTACAGGGTTCTTCTGCTGAACCCTTTTGCGATGGCCTCCCCAGGGATGCTACGAGGCAGAGGCGCAAGGCAGCAATAGGGTCGCTCTGTGTGCGTGGAGAAGGTGGGTGCGGGCGATGGATTAATGGGGTCTGGCGATGGCCGTCCATCCCATTTCATGGCAGGTGTCTTTTCAGCCTTGCCGTGGAGCGATCCACCTAATGGCCAGTTTTCCCTCCCCAGAAGTCATTTTCGAAGGGCGACGGTTTGTTTTAATGATCGTGAGAAATGGGCCAGCATATGGTGAAAAGGGCTATTGCACAGGCAAACGGGGAGATCGCTCAAGCCCGCCCATAAGCACAGAAGGGCAGCGATTTGAAAGGAGATAGATGTTGAATCGCTAGGAAGAGCCACATGAAATGTAACTGTGCAGAGACAACTTGGGTTCAATTGGGCAGAGCTGTAAAGTGTCTTTCTGGAGCAGGGATGGTCGTTTTACTCTCCTGGTAGCGTGGCTTGCCACTTCCTTTTTATCCCGTATCGCTAGCCTAACTTTTACACCTAGGATATACGATGCAACCCCCCTGAATCAGACAGACAGACAGACAGACAGACAGACAGACAGACAGACAGACAGACGGATTGAGGCCTGAAGTCAGTACCTGTTTAATGCAGCATTCTAAACTTCCGACAAACCTAAAATTGTGTCTCCGATTCTTATAAGCTAGATTAGGGCTTACGACTTGGAAGAAAAAAAGAAAAGTTGTAATTCTGCCCGGTACAACCTGGCAGCTCCTTTACACCCCTTGTCCTAAGCATACGTAGAATGAATAAAATGCATCTGTTTGGAAAATTGTGGGGTGAGGTGTGTGAATGAGCAGACTATATGTTGGGATTTATACTGAAGAATGTTATTTAAAATGAATTAAAATAAAATGTATATAATTTGTATCTACTTCAGCTTGCCCTTTGCATTTGTTAATGAAGGACGTGAATGGGGGCATCCAGCCACCATAAACATTAAAAGCTGGATCCAGTCCATTCGTGTTTCTACCATGTAATTTATTCCTTTAAATGATCTGGTGATGGTTTGTTTTCTAGGAAATTTTACCCTGCTGGAGAGAGAATTCTAGGAATTTGTGTCAAGGTCTTTACCTGCAAATCATCAACTGCAGACAAGTCCTCATTTTTAACCATCTTCCCAAACTTAAAGGGAAAAGGGAGTCCTTAGCAGACACAAGGCGAGGAGAAACTAAACTTCCAGGAAGAAAACAGAATTCGGAGGCTTCCAACGGACATGGAAATGTAAGAAGAGGCCTTCTGGGTTGACCAAAGGCTCTTGTTACCTTCGGTAGTCAGATGTTTGCCTTCAGGAGACTCAGAAGCAGTGCCCCCTTGGGTTCCCCAGCAGTGGTACTCAAGGAGCATACAGAAAAGGCAAAGCTAGAGGTTACATTTCACGTTCTCAGGTTTTGAGAACATGACACCTCTGAACCAGCTGTGTGTGCAAGCAGACAAGCAAGCGGGAGAGAGAGAGCGAGCGAGCGAGCGAGAGAGCAGCCTGAATATACACAGACAGAAAGAACTCTGTTTCTAGCAGAGGTTCTCTGACTCGCTTGCACGTTCAAGCTGGCAGAGCTGTTCCTGGGGGATTTTCTGCCAGCTGAAAAGTTGCCCCGTTGCTTCCACTCGTATCCCGTCGGTACATTTCCAGATAGTGCAGACGCCGCAAAGGCATGGATAGTCTTCTGAGCGGGATGGTGGAAGCGGGTGTCCTGCGACGGGTGTCCTTTTTGGCTCCTTCCCCTCCACTATTCTATGATTTTATAAGCCTGTGCCCCCCCCCCCCCCAAAAAAAGGACCTAGCGGCTTGGAGTGCTGTTTGCTTCTAAGTGGGAAGGGCGCAGCACTGATTCCACAGGCTGGACCCCCCAAAGGTGTTTGGCCACGACTTCAGTCGTGGTGAGAGGCATGACTTGGCTGCAGTAGAGAAGCAGGATCCCCGTGAGACTGGCCGTGCCCCTCCTCCCGAAACCTGGTTGCTCCGGAACATTTGAAGAGGCTGTGCCTACACCCGTTTGCATGCTCACACCTGGATGCACCAAGAGGCCAGTGCTAACTCTGTTTCTGAGATCGTGCCCTCGTAGCTCCTTGTTGGGGTGTAATGTTGTGGCCTCCAGGCATTGTCTGGCAAAAGGGGGCAGGGGCGTGCGTGCAGGGACTGGGCCCGCTTCTCCCAAAATAGAGCATTCCACCGAGTCTGAATGTGAACTAGAAAAAGAAACCAGGTCAGCCTTCCCAGCTGAAATACCAGGGCCAGCAAACTTTACGATAAGCCAAGTGGCTAATAAGAACCTCTGTTTCGGGGAGGGATGAATTAAATAAGTCCCATTCTTTGAGGCCAGGTCGAGAGAACTCTCAAATTCCCAGAGCAGTCCGCTTGCCACTGACTCTGTTTTCTTTTCGGCACCAGGCTAAAACCTTTTTATTCGCCCATTATTTTAAGGTTGAATAGGTTTTACCGTGGGGTTTGTTTTATTGGACTTACTGGACGCTGTGCTTCATTTTATTGTTTTTATCGTAGACCATCCCGAGACTGTAGTAGTCGGACGGTATATAAAAGCTTTAAATTAAAAATAAGTAAAGCTAATTGAATAACGCTTGGCATTCCAGCTATCTGGCCACAAGCAGCTGGAACCTCCCTTAGGGTGGAGCTAACTGTGTGGTGGGGAAGGGTGGAAGTGGTTCCCCTTTGGAATTAAGGTTTCAGCCTGAACAGTTCTCTCTCTCTCTGATTAGCTGGCTCATTAACTTGACGGATGGCTCAGGCCCAGAGGCATTGGTGTGAGAACCAGCTTTCCCCTGCTTCTGTGGGAAACCCCTGAACGAGAGGAGCTCAAAGGGGCAGGCGTCTCATGATCAGTCCAATCATACGGCATCAGATCAGATGGGCAGATGGACTGAGTTTCGCCAGAAGTTCCCACGAGCCACCCCGAAGGTGGACCAGCATCTTTAAGGCAGGCAGGTAGGCGAGGCATAGAAACTGGGAGCACCTTCTCAGCACGAAGCCACGTTTCCTTAATCACCAGTATTCTCACCTTGCTTGTGTCTTTGGTTATGGACCTGAGCAACACTCTTCTTCTGGATCACAAAGCCAGGCTAGCTGGCTAGCTTCGATATAAGGCTTTATTTAGAAAGCTTTTGTCCTGATCTGCTTGGAAGGAGAGGGACGAAGACCGGCCCGCGACTGTGGACACAGAGTCCGATCGGAGCTCTGGGTTTATTCCCTCCCTTTCCCCAGCACTAAATGTAGATGGCAGAATATAATCTTCTAGAGAAAATAGAGGCACAGGTTGTCCCAGGTGTACAAGTCTCCGTCTGCAGCGGGAGCAAAAGGGTTGTTCCTGCATTTTATCCCACCAAGCGATCCCGGGCTGGGCTTCTGGCTAGAACACCCTGCCCTGGTGTCCCCGAGCCCTTTTTGCAGACTTGGGAAACCGCCAACTAGTTCAAGGGTTTAAGAGTCGCTTAATCCCCTGAAAAGCAGGGCTAATGGCGAGAAGGCCAAACAAAGACTTGCTTAATCAGATCAGCATTAATAGTTTCAAAATGATACCGTCTGTCCCATCCCCTCACCTCTTTCCCAGTCTGGCGAAGCCGCCTGCAGCAGGAATGGAAACATAGGGTGTATCGCATAGGTTTGGAGCAGAATCTGCCTCAGCGACTAGGTGGGGCCACCCATCCTGAGCGCCCCTTTCGAGCTTTGCAAGCCTAGATTGCAGTGGCGCCCCTTCTGCAGAAACCATAAGGAAATAAGCTTGAAAAAGCCGCTGTTGCACATATGAATAAAAGTGACGGAAACATAGAAGAGCCTATAAGAGCTTCATAGCCTCTTTCCCTGTATCCATAATATGAGGGTCCCAAAGCACTCTGAACATGCCTAGAGACACGGTGTAAGTTACCAGAGGAAAATAAAAATCTTTAGGCTAAACCTGCCTCACAAGGGCAGTTCCCCAAACAGCCCAATTCAGACTGAGCATCGTGGGGGCGACGGCGGGCTGGAAAATGTCCAGCAATGGCCCATTCGTCCCAAGGCATGGCCAGTTTTTGGCTTTCCCCAAGGAAGGGGCCAGACAAACGCCAGACCCCCTGGTCTGGAAAAGCAGGGCTGGCTTCCAAATAGATGCCAGCACTGCAAGCGTTCTTGTGGCTTTGTTATTATGCCAGCCTTTATCTTCTGAGAAAATAGTACTTTATTGAGATGCTTTGGGCGTGTTTTCACTGGCTGGAGGGAGAACATTGGAGGTTGCTTTGGCAATGTGGATTATTTTAATTTCAGCCAAGGAGGGGTGAGGAAATGGTGCTGTGGTAAGCACAGCTGGGCACAGTCCTCAGTGGAGGGACTGAACTATATACCTATGCTGCATCAATTACGGGAAGAGTGCCTCTGAGCATGTTAGGAATGCTTTAGGATCCTCAAACTAGAAGTACAGAGGGAGAAGCTTCCAAGTTGAGAAGATGGAAAAACGGGGTGGGGGGGTAATGTGCTATTTGGGGGGAGTCAGTGCCATGGACTTGACGTTTTGTGTGTAGAATTTATTTATTTATTAAAAGCGTTTGCACTGTAAGTCCTTTCAAGACTGAGTAGGAAGTAGACCTCATTGAAACTTTACTTCTAAACAAACATGCCTAGGATTACACTGGGGGAATTTATCTCTAATTAATCCCAGCAGGGTGGAACATTTGGTAACACAGTATATCAATGAACACTGTAATTGGGCTACATTGTATATGAAGCAATCCATACATTGGTTGTTTACAGAAATTGTATACATTGGTGAATACAAAGGAACACAAGCGTCCTCCTTGCGTAGAATGGAAATAATAAACATTGCCAAACAAAATACCGGTGCAAGGCATTAGGACATAGCAAGAAATGTCTAAACGTTTTAAAATGCAATAACAAAGCACCATTTTCTCATAACATTCAGTAGAAATGCCAAATAAAAGCAAAATCAAGCTGTTGAGCAAGAGAGTTGCACATAAGGCGTGCTATACATTTAAAACGGGAAACAATTTTTGCAGAAGACGGCACAAAAATTCTTCTACCGGTTCTTCCACCCCAGTCTCTCCCCGCCCTTTGTATCCCGTTTCCGTGCCCCGAGTAAAAATGGCGCCTTCCAGCGCCGAGCCCCGCCGCACGCCTTCCCTCGCGCCAACTGCGCAGGCGCGCCCGGCCTAACTAGGGCGGCCTTGCCGGCCGAGCCTGCCACATCTTTCCCTCACGCAACATGGCGCCCGCCTCGGCTTCCGGGGGCGGTTCCCTGGCGGAAGATGGCGGCGCGGCCGTAAGAGCTGGGCGGGCGGCTGCTCCTGCCCTTCTCTGGGCGGTGTCGGTGGCTTCGCGCGGAGGGCGGCGGCCGCGGCCGTTTGAATTCCGAGCCAGCCGCCGAGCTCACACAACCGCAGGCCGGGCCGCCGCCGGAGGGGCCGCCGCGGACGACCTTCCTCCTCCTCCTCTTCCTCCCGCTCCATCCCGCGGACCCGCCATGGACTCGCTGCCGGGGGAGGACCTCACGCTGCCCTTGGGGTTCAGCGGCAGGTAGGCGCGGGGGGCGGGCGCCGCGGAAGCCGGGGGCGGGGGGCGCGGTGGGGGTTAACCCCTTCCCGCTCGGGACGCTAACAAAGAGCGGCGGAGGGGCTCCCCCTCGCTGGGTGGCGGTGCGAAGTGGGGGGCTCTCCGGGCAGCCTTGCAAGGGGGTGGCGACAGGCGAGCCCCTCTGAGCCTTGGGGAGCCCTGCTGGGTCGGGTGGAGACGCTCCGAGCGCAGGCTCCTGCCCCACTGGGGGACTCGCCCAGCGGGGCAGGGCTGTCCGGCCCATGTGCCCCAGCAGGTGGTGTTCATGGGCATGCTGCCCTTGAGAGCTTTTAGAACCATGAGGACTAGTAGCCCGGGGAAGCCTTTGCTTCTCCTTTGCGTTTGCCCGGCCCGCTTTGAAAGGCATCCGCGCGTGGCTGCTGGGAGCTGGATCCCAAAGCTGGATCGCTCGGTGGGGGAAGGAGTCGGTCTCCTCGTTTGTGCTCATCTCCCACCGCCCAAGGGAGGACCCCTCTCGGGTCTCGCCTTGCAAAGTGGGAGAAGGCGGGCTCTCCGCGTTGGATTTAGGTTTTGGGCTCAGACACTGTAAAGCAAGTCTCTAGCTTAGGGTGGTCGTCAAAACGAGTGTTTTGCAGAAGTCCTAATACTTGGCTTTTCGTTCTCTCTCCTCCTGCCTCGGTTTTCCTTGCACGGTTGCCTTGATGCGCCCCACATGCGACCTCGGCTTCGGCGGTTTTGCTTGCGGGGCGAATTCTGGCTTGATTGGCTCTGGGCCCCCACCTGTTGGCCCGGGGCATGCACAAAGCTCTCCTCCGGCGCCCTTCTGCACGTGCAACCGTTTTCTTCCGGCCGGCTTTCCCTCCCGAACAGAGCGACTTTGGGGTGAATGCTCCTGGCCTTGGTCTCCAGTGAAAAACGACCTTAAGACTTGCTTCCCCCCCCCCCCCTTCGCTACTGCTTTTCTAAGTTCCTCTAATTGCTTGGCTGCAGGCGAATGCTCTCTTCATAAGCCTTCCTGGCTCATTCTGCAGACAAAGAAACGGGTGGGCTACCTTCATTGTCCTAAAATGCCTCTTTGGGTCCAGCTGCCTGGACCTGACCCCTGTTGTCTGTTGGGTGAAGAGAAAAAAGGGGATTGGGGGGGGGGTGTCAGAGGAAGAAGGAAAGGGCAGAGGCCCTGTTTTGTTGGGGGGGGGGAGGTCTGGCATGCGGCCCAACTGGACATCCTTGGGGGATGTGACCCACCCCTCCGAAAACACTTCCCCTCGTATGAATTGTACTAGAAAGAGATGCTTCTTCTCAGGTGAGCATCATTAATTTTCATGGCGGATGCCTGGCTGCTTCTTAAAGTCACACTTTGCCCGCTTGAGCGGCTTGGGCACTGCTTTCCTTTGACAGGACTGTTGCTGCTTTTCGTATTCTTGCTACAAGTTTTGTTGTTGTTTTTGTCTGTATTTTGTTTATTATGTCTGCTGGTGGTTGTTTCAACTCTAGGGCAACTCTTTCCTTGGAGTTGCTGGAGATGGAAAGCCTGCCCTATGCTTGGATTTTTTTAAGAACTTGTGTTTGTGTGTGCGCGCGCGCATTCCCAGAAGGAATTCTTAGTATTCTGTTCCTGACTGTGGGCAGCCAGATAACTGGGGGAAGCCCACAAGCTCTTCCTTGCTGGTTGACCCTCCCCACCCAAATAGTGTCTGACCCCCCCCCCCCCCAAGTTTATTTCCGCTCTCATGGCTCATAGCTTTCCGTGGGCCTCCAAGAAAAAGCAACACGTTTGTGCTGGAATTGGGGTAATCTGAACATGTGTATTTGCATTCCTCGAGCAAGCAGGAGAGAGAGAGGGGCTTTAGGGGCTAGTTTTTCCTTCCTTCTTTTGGGGAAATCAAATTTGAAGAAGTGTCATAATGACTGCTTTCCCTTTAGGCCTTGTTTGGGGTATGGGGTGGCCAGAGGCAAAAGAAGCCAGACCAGCTGTAGTTTTAATTGGCGACACCTGCTGAAAGGGCGTCTCTGAGCCACCAATTAACTGATTAACTGGTCCTCCTCTGGAACTGGTCCGCCCTTTGCTTTGCATGCATAAAGGTCGTCCCCGCTCTCCCCATTTAGAAGTGGGTGGTATCACCATTATTCTTAAAAGTTTAAGATAGACAAAGCCCAGCATCCACAGCGTGGGTGATGGGAAAGACCTCTCTCTGAAACGGAGGAGAGCTACTGCCGACCAGTGTAGTCGAGAGAGGTGGGTGGACCAGTGCCCTGACTGGGGTGAAGGCCGATTCCCATGTTCCTCTTTCATGCATGATTTCCAAGCTGAGCAAAGGTCTTGGGGAACCATGTATATGCAGGAAGCGCAGGGAGCGTGTGCAGGGATTCGCGAGTTGGAAAAGCTGTCCGTGAACGAACGTTTGGTCTTGCTTCTTCCTAGTGTCAACATTTCGCAATTTCCTGATGTCTCGGGAGATGAAATTCGCATTCAACTCGGAGGTGGAGGAGGTAATGGCTCTTGGCTTGTCTTTTAAGTCATTGTCACGTTGGGTGTGGAACATGGGAGGGTATAAATTCAGATCCCAAGCTTTGGCTGCAAGGCACTCAAATCCCTACTCGGTCGCAAGCACTAATCCCCACTGGGAGGAGAGGGGAGCCCCTGGCGGCGCGTGCATTTGGGTTAATGCCATGCAGTATGTCACCGTAACACCGGATCACGCAGCGCTCTGTGCAAGAGTCGGGGCTTATTCAAAGAACCGTGGAAGAGCGGAGGTGGAAGGAGGATGGAAAGCCATCAGCTCCAGCCCTCTGTGATTGCGATATTCTCCGTACAGCCCACCACGAAACTTGGCGCGGGGAGAAGCTTCCTGTAGCCTGGTTTCATGCATCCGGCGTTGCTGGGGTGGGAAGGAGCACGGGACGGTGTCCAGGGGGTGGCCCTGCAGGGGCACGAGCACCGCCCACTTTCGACTTTGGCCCCGCCCTTGCTGAGCGCCCTCATCGCCCATTGCTGCACAGCAGGCGGTGGATGTTGTCCCCGTTCTCAAAGGGCGGGCTGCCTGATCATCACGGGATGAGAATTACTAATTTTAATACTAATGTTTAGCTGTGTTGTGGGGTGAGGGGGCTCAGGAACAGCTTGTGACCTGCCGCAAAGCTGCGTCATAAAGAGAAAGATCGATGCAATTTTAACTGGGAGGGCCTGTGCTTTTGGATGCACGTAAACTATTACCGTTGCTGCTATTTTGCACGTAGAGCCCACCTTCTCTCCTCTTGTGAGGAACTCAAAAGGCTTCCCTAGCTCTGCTTTATCCTCACAACAACAGCCCTGTGAGGTAGGTTGAACGCAGAGTGGGCGACTGGCCCAAAGCCACCAAGTGAGCTTCATGGCTGAGTGAGGGCTAGAACCTTGATCTCCTGGGTCCCCAGCCCAATGCTCCCACGACCAAACCACCCTGCCCCTCCGTAGAGGCATTTTTGAGATCCTGGCCAATGTGTGAAGAGAATCAAGCCCTTTCCCACAATGCATTTGGCCCTGCCTAGCTTCCCTCCTTGCATTCGTGGAAGAGGAGAGTTGGAAGGGGCCATGGGGCCCAGCGTCCTGCCCAGAGCAGGATTCCCCTCACCTGCATCTTGAGTGCCTCTAGTGTGGGAGAGCCCACAACCTAAGCCACCGGTTCCATTGTTGTGTTGCTTGAAGTTCTTCCGGATGAATTCTGGGTTCCTGTAACTTGAGTCTCTTTCCATATCCTGCATTCTGGGATCAGGACAAGATCCCAGCCCTTCTATGGGACAACCTTTCAGGTACGGAAAGAGTGCTGACAGATGTTCCCTCAGCCTTCTTTTCTCAACAAAACCTTGTCCCCGAGTCGTCTTGCCCTCCTCTGAACCCCGTTCAGCTTGTCTGCCTCTTTCTTCAACTGTGGTGCCCAGAACTGGATGCAGGGACTCCAGAGGAGGCCCAACCAGTGCTGACTGAATTCACTGAAGCGCAGCTTAAAACCACCATTAACTTGCTTAGCGGCTCACCTGCTTTTACTGTGGTCTTAAATTTGTAGTACTCCCCGATGTGGCTGAAGAAACCATTTCACCAAGCAGGGTGCGGACCATGAAGGATTTTGAAACTGTGAGTAAATGTGTGAGTCCAGCCGTTTGTGCATGGAGTAACCAGGCCAAGTTGCCTTGTGATGTGCTGGAGAAACAGCATCACAAACGTGTAGCTAAAAGAACAAAGTGAGGACCTGGGCTTGCGTTCTCCTACACACACACACACACACACAGACACACGCACACACAGACACACACAGAGTCCCCACTTGACCATGGAGCCAACTGGGTGACTCTGGGCCAGGCACAGACTCTCAGCCCAGCCTACCTCACAGGGTTGTTGTTGTGGGGATAAAATGGAGGAGGAGAATGAGGTAAGCTGCCTTGAGCCCTTTGTAGGAAAAAGGCAGGATACAAACAAACAGACAGGCACAGACAGACACAGACAGAGACACAGAGAGAGAGAGAGAGAGAGAGAGAGAGAGGTGGTGTTGGAGCATTCCCCCCGCGTTCAAAATAACCCACGAAATGCAGTCCTAGACATGTCCATTCAGGAGTAAGTCCCATTGAGTTCAGTGGCGCTGACTCCCAGGCGAATGGCCAGGGATTGCAGCCCTCAGTCTAGCGGGGTTGCTGGCGTTTTCCTACTTGCTTCCAACCCTTTCATTATGCAGAGGTTCGGGCATCAATATTTTATTAGCCACGTATTAGATTTCTCCATTTGGAAAGCATCTGGCAAGCTGAGGGGAGACGGGGCACTTGCTTTATTGGGATGAATGTTTCATACTAGTGCTCTTAAAAAATTTAACAGCCCTCTCTCTTCCCACTTACGCCGTTCTTTACTCTTTCACCTTCTTCGTGGGGGAAGGTTAAGTTGCGCACAGCAAAAGAGACCTGGGCTGGGAGTCATCCTGCTTTGAATTCATCCTGAGATTTCTGATGCGGCAATAGGGTGGGATGCCATTTCCAGGGGAAGAACTTAAGTTAGTGTGCATTGAAGAAGGGGCGCGTACTCTGAGAAATGATCCGATACGCTCATGTTTTCAGTGCATTTTTATGTAATTAGTGGTGAACACTTCATGCCTAGCTGAATAAAATGTAAAGTCTTTTTCCATGAACTGCATTGCTTACCATATGTCAGCTAAATTATACTATATATAATAAAAGTTGTCAGAGACTTTCAGTCAATACTGCGCTTTTAGTCTCCCCCCAGGCTTAATTTTCCTTCCTTCAAACTGTCCAGCTTCGGATGCAAAGGCGTCTTGCAAAAATTTAAGTAGATGCTTCTTTGGTGCATAAACTGAGCCCGTGGTCCGTTTCCCATATTGAAAATAAACCCACCGCAGGGGTCTGATAATGTGTGTGTTTAACTAGGAAGTTCAAAGTTTTCTCCTGTGCTGTTGATACTTCCTTGGCTTGAAATGGGTTCTCAGAACCAGGAAAGAAGGTGATTTTCTGCGACTTATCCTTAGCTGTCTAGGTCTTCCATAAAAACATTTTAATCCTCTTAAAACGAATTCTCATTTTAATGGGAGTCCCCAGACCCCGTACTTTAGAAGAAATCATTTTTCTGTCAAACTTGTTCTTCCTTTCCTTCATTTACAAAGTAAAATTCTGAACAAGCTGCAACTGCCTGTCTGTCTCATTAATATTGCTACTTTTAAAGTCATTGCGATGTTTGCTTTGTGTTTGGAAAAGGATAAGAAAAAGTTACATTTGTCTGGTCTCTAGCAGAGCAGTGAAAAAATGCTAGCTAAAGCGGCCATTATCCTCAAATGGCTGCCCCTTGCCAGATGTGTGACCCAAGAGGAGGGTCAAGTGAGACCAGAAATGCTAGGAGACTTAAGTGGGATTTTGCTGCAACCCCCCCCCACCCCATGCAAGTATTTAATGCATTTAAGTTAGCACTAAATAACTAACTTAAATACTCAAATACTCAGTATTTGAGACTTGCAAAATGTGTAGCAGACAGACATAAATTTGGCTTCACCCTCGATAGAATGTAGGCCATAGATAAGGATCAAAGATTTCCCCCGAGTTTAATTGTGTATCCCTCACCTGTAGCTTTCAGAACTTTTCAACAGAAAATCTTGCCTTGCTTTAGCTCTGGCGTGCAAAAGCTGCGCCGCGAGGCTTGCTTCCCACCGTGTGAGCGTGGCGTTAGGTCCACCTCCTAAGCAGGTCGTGTGCTCCTTTCTCTTCCGCCCCAGCAAATCACGGAGCTGCGCAAGGAGAACTTCAACCTGAAGCTGCGGATCTATTTCCTGGAGGAGCACATGCAGCAGAAATTCGACGGTCCCAACGAAGACATCTGTCGCGTTGTAGGTATTTTGAAAGAGCCGCAGACCTGCTGGCACAGTTTCGTGGGTGTTGGGCGTGTCGTGGGATGCCGTGCTTCCTGTAGCCTGGGCACCCCGTTCTTTTCGGAGCTTGATGTGCTAATGCCACGAGCATCGCTTGCCCCGGTCTGGATGTCACGGTGCCCCTAAAGGTGCGAGAGGAAACTGGGGTGCACAAGCGGAAGGGGAACAGGCAGGAAGAAGAAAAGGCTTCCTGGGTACCTCTTGAGGTTCCTCTTTCCAGTAGTAGCCAGCCAGGCGCCTTTTGGGGTGGTGGGGGCACCAGTCTGGCATGAATGTGGCCGCTTTCTCTACTGCTTGCCTCCTTCCCCTGAGCAATTTTGTCCAGCTACTCAGCCTCCAGGAGACGGGGCCGATCGCACTTGGAGGAAGTGCCAGATTTTCCTTCAGTCTGCCTACTCCTGTGCTGAAATCACACGGGTGCGAGTCTGTCGCTGCATCTTGTGGCTGTGAATTCTGCCTGCTAGGAATGGGCACAGCAAGTTTGTCCGGGGTCTGCTGACCCCAGGGCATTGCTGCCCACTCGGTATTTTCAAGTTGCTTTCTGGGGCCGGGTCCTGACAAAGCCACATGCAAAGACTTGCTGCACGGCACCATGTTAAATTGGTACAGATGCACCGGAAAGAGAACGGTTGTTCCCAGGCTGCAGGGGAAGGGAGTTTTAAGCACTTTTAAAGAGTTTTAAGTTTGAAGCAAGGCTGCACCGAAGGGCAGTCTAACCCCACTGGAGGTCCTTTTTCTGAGCTATGGAATTGTTCTACACTGCAAAATTTTATTCCTGTAGTCATTAAAAAACTCTCAGACGTTTCAGTCCAGCTTTTTCCAGCCTCATGGCCTCCAAGATGGGTTGGACTACACCTCCCTTCTGCTGCTCTGCTGGATGGGGATGATGGGAGCCGCAGAGTGGTCCAATAGAAAGAGCATCACTCTTCAGTCCAGTCCAGTCCATTCCATCGATCATCTTTTTTTGGAGATGAGCCGTGCACTTGAATTGAAGGGCCGCACCAGCCATCTTTTCTTCAATCCCTTTTCCAAATCTCAGTGTGGTTTTGGGTGTGCAGTTGTGGATGCTGACGGGGGCAGGAGGAGTGTTGAGCCCTTAGTGTCTCTGCAGGCGGTGTTGTATGTTTGCTCCTGGGATGGGACCACCATAGCTGTGATCCTCAAGATGCTTCTGTGGGGGTGAAGCCAGGGGGGACTTCCAGAATTTTATTTATTTATTTATTATTTAAAACATTTCTATGCCGCCCCATTTGCTGAAGCCTCAGGGCGGCTCACAACATAAATTAAAATATAATACATTAAAAATATAAAACAAATTAACAACATAAAATAAGTTAATTTATAGAATGGCACCCTGTGATCCTTTGCACACAATTTCTCCTCCTTCTGAGTCCTTGGAGGGCTTGAATGTAGTCTCTGAATGCTGGACACTTCAGTGATGGTGCGGACTGTACAGTAATGCGTAACTTGGTATGAGGGGTAGGATTACTCCTTAAATTCTACCATTTCAGGACTTAAAATAACACCATTGCACCAGAGAGAGGCCCAATCAAAGGCCTTCCTTCCGACTTAATCTCAGTGGCTTGTTCAGTTTGACTCTTATCAGAGAAACAAAGGCATTCAGAAATTACATTATAATCCTCTCACATCAAGCTAACTGTGTCAGGAAGACGATTCATGTTAATGTGAGCCGTGCTTGTCTTTTCTGTGTGCCGCTTTCGCTGTTTTGTTTTGTACCAGTGATACAGAGAAGATCAATTGAAACTTGGAGATAATATCTTTTTTTTTTTTAAGTCTACTTGTTGATTCCCCTGGGGAGAGTCCCATTTATGTGGCTGTTGATGCCTAGATTAAACCAACCGTATTTTCTGTTCTGGTGGAAACGTTAACTCACTGCAGGCATTGCACTGAGCCATGGTTTGTCCCACCCGTGATTTATTGATTATTTACATTTATTTATAGGCTGCCTATAATTGCCGAGGCCTTCCTAGGCCGCTTTAGCACCTATAACAGAGTGTGCCTTGCTAGCGACGCCGTGGGAAGACTTTGCTTTCAAGCACCTTGTCTGCTTTTGTTTTCCCTTGTTCTGAGACACCCCCTGCCCCCGCCATTCATAAATTTTCTTGCAAGCCGGTGCAGCAGCGTCTGATTAAGGAGTGCAAGCTGGGTTGCCCAAACTCGCTTCCTCAAACCATGGTTTTCCTATCCTGGCTTGCTGCCTAGTTGCAAACTGTGGCTTGTCAGTTTGGGCAGGATACTGAAGTGCAGTTACAAGTTTTTGAGCGTGGTTTTTTGTGTGGTCTGGACTGAACCTTTGAGACAAATGAATGTCCTTACTTCAGCTGAAAGGTTCGTACAAGGCTGACACAGATTTAATGGGAACCGTTGCCACTTGGAAGTACTCAAGATGCTCAACACTGTGAAGGTGTAACTGTTTTGTTTTTATTGTGATACACAAGTTGGGGAAACGCAAACTGGCACTTGGTTGGTTGGTTGGTTGCTCTGAGTCAATAGTCGGTAGAAGCAGTTTTGGCAGCCATTAAAGCTGCCGATCTTCTGGGGAAAGTCTGTCTGCTTTGCCCATCTGGATTCCTGCCCAACTTGCGTCAGTTCTATCAGGTTGGCTGGCAACTTGCAAGTCTTTGCATGGATGCTCAGTTGGTTTGTAGTCTGTGCTTGGGGCCGTTCTGTGACATTCTGGTTCTTGTTTGGAAGCCAGTCCAGTGTTACGCTGGTCGTGCTCTTCGGGCCCTTGTCCTGCCCAATCCTGGGTCCTTGCACACCGACACACATCTTCTCCCTGCCTTGGGCTCCATCCATCTTCCCCGAGTCCCAACCACTTTCCTAGTTGGGGTTGGTAAAAGTCTGATACCTTTCTTGGGTTTGGGAGCTGCCATGAGTCAGAAGTCCCTCTTACGGCTGGTTATGCAAATCTTCATGTGGTTTTGAGGATAAAACAAGGTTACCCACCTATAGTCTAGCAAAAATTTCAATGCTATTGCAGTTATGTAAGTAAAAAAAGCCTTAATATTTTAAAAACTGAAGATTAGGAGATAATAAGGATTGGTTTGTCACCTTGGCTGGAAACTCAGTTTGATTTTGGTGGATTCATGCGATTAAGACCACGGGTTGCTTCTAGTGAGCAAAGGATCCTAACGGTATTCCGACAGTTAAGGGCCGAGTGTGAGTTGTTGTTGAAACTTGGGTTGTTGTGAAACAGTGGTTACTGTGTTGTCTAAACCCAGCTGAGTTGGCAGACCATGGTGAACAAGCCATAGTTCAAAAGTTAGCAACAAACAGTGACTTTTTTTTATGGGTTGTGCATGGTGAACTAGCTGGGTTCAGGCAACACGCCAACCTGCATTTCCACAACAATCCCTGATTCAACAATAATCCACCCCCAACATTGTGTTGTCCGAACTCTGTCATTGTCTCAGTCAACAAGGGTATAAAACAGCATTGGAGCCTGGTCTTCCAGTGGCTCCATCCCCATCAGAGGATGGCAGTCGAGAATGGCTGCCAGTCAGAGCAGGCAGCACTGAAGTCAGTGGGCCAGCAATTCATTAGAAGGAAGCTGGCTCGTCTTCCAGCCACCTATCCCATTGCGTGGGGCTCGGGGCAGCACGGGAGCCTCGCCGAGCTCTGAGGCCTCTCCGTTTTGTCTTCCTTGGTGCCATCAGAACATCGAGCTCAAAGTTGAACTGGAAAGCCTGAAGCGAGAACTGCAGGAACGGGAGCGGCTGCTCGTCAAGGCTTCGTAAGTCTCGCCTCGTCGTGATGCATTTCCCCTTCAAGTTCTCTGGTTCATGGCTTCCCCTGCCTCCCGTTCCAGAGGATGCCTCTTAGTTCGGCTTCTGTCTCTGCGGTTCGCTAGAGCAATGCACTCTTTTTTTAGAAGAGGCCTCCTTTCCCCCTCTTCCAAGTGCAGCGGCACCGTGGAAGGGCAGCAGTGAGGCCTGGCATGGGGCTTGCCTTCTTCACAGCGGCTGGGCACTGGGCTGACCTTTGCAGTGTGTCATCCGTCAGCACCCCCGGATCCCGCTCTTGGCCGGTCCCCGCTAGCTCAGATCCCATCAGCCTGCACTCGAAGCGGAGACTTAACTGCCCCAACTTGCATCGCTCTACACTGGCTTAAACCGAACGGCATTTGCTAGTTTGCTGCCCGTTCGCCCAGCCTGGAGAGATCTTTTAAATGCCCTTCGCCGTCCCTTTTGGTTTTAAGCACCCCAAATAGCTTGGTGCCATCAGCACATTTAGCCAGTGCACTGTGCACTCCTTATTCCAGATCATTTATGAATAGGTTGCAAACTATTTCTCCTCGTTCTGATTCCTGTGGCTCCCCACGGGGAATCGGTTCGATTTGACTTGATTGTATTTATAGCTTTTATAGGCCGTCCCATTACTAGCGTCTCGGGACGGCTGAGAACAAATGCAGATAAAAACGGCACAGCATCCCGCGATTCGCAGTAAGATCACAATTAAAACCAATTAAACGGCAGACTCTTCTCCCTGCCCTGTTGCTTCCCTGGCCTGGTGCTGAGGTTCTGCCCGCTCAGCTCTGTGTTCTCCGAGCGGGGTAGGCAAGCTTTCGAGAGAGAGCACAGTCTCTGCGGCAGGTTGAAAGCGAGCCGTCGGCAGCTCGGTCGCTCACGTCCGCCGTGGAATCAACGCGGCGGATCCGCGCTCTTGTCCCTGCAGCAAAGCCGTGGAGAGCCTGGCGCAGGGGGGCGACGCCGAGGTGCAGGCGCTGAAGGAGGAGATGCAGAAGAAAGCCCAGCAGGTGGAGTGCCTGGCCAGCAGGATGAAGATTCTGGAGGAGGCGAGTTCAGCGCTGCTTTCTTCCTGCTTGCGCTGTGCCTCCCGCAGCGCTCATCGCCTTATGGGAGGCGTGTCCCCCGAAAACTGACATGTGCCGCTTCCTTGCCCTGGAGGCGGTCTGGCGGGCGGGTTCTGGGGCGCGGACGTGGTCCTGAGAGGCTGCGGCAGGCAGGATCGGGGTCCCGGGGCATGCTGGGGCCCAAGAAGCAGCTGAGGCTCCCCGGCCCGTTGCTGCCGGCCGCAGTGGCGACTGCGCAGCCCGAGCAGCTGTTTTCGTCCCCACTAAATATTTGTTGCCAACGGCTAATTAAAAACTGTCTGCATGATCCTCCCCACCTCCCTTGCCCTGTGTTTTGGGCAGTCCCTGTAGAACTTCTTGGCCGGCTGCGGGCCTCGCTCTTGAAGCCCTCTGTGAGCCAGTCACTTCCAGCCTTGTTGGGTGCCCTCTCCTTTCCGGGTCCCTGTTTTGAAGAAGGGGAAGGATCCTGCAAACTACATCTCCGCAGTGATGACCCTCTGCACAGTGTGGCGTCGTGGGCGAGGGTGCTTGACTGCCCGTGGGGAGGGGAGAGGCTGCTTGGGGAAGCGCCGTGTGTACTCCCGGCCGTGACAGCCTTTTCCTTCTGCTCCTGCCTCCGGAGAACAGGATCTCCGGGTGGCCCAGGAAGAAACAGGGAAGGCACTTGCAGTGACGGAGCAGGAGAGGGTTCTGAGACTAGCAGCTGAGCGGCAGCTGTCTCTGAGGGCCAGCGTGCCGCCGAAGGAAGCCGAAGTATTGACTGCACTGGAAGAGAAAGACAGGTGAGGCACTGGATTGTTTCTGAGTGGAGTTTCGTTTTCCTCTCTCCTGCTTATTTTTCAGTCTGTGCTCTGGTTCAGATGTAACGGGAGACCATGGCTTTCAGCATTAAGAGCAAGTCATGCCAAACCCTCGGCTTGTGTGTTCCTTCCTTCTCTTTTCTGTGCCAGAGTTGGTGATCAGAAGCCTCTGCTTCCAGTTGTAAACAAACTTCAGTGACTTCAAAACTTGGAATTGTGGTTTGTTTAACCTAGGAGAGAAAAAAACATGCCAGGGTCACAAGTGATGGTTTGATCCTGGCTTGTTTTCTCTGATTAGTTTAAACAAACCACAGTTTCCTGAGTTCAGAGGTCATGGGGAGCTGTGGTTAGGTTAAACTCTAAAGCTTCCAGTTGCCTCCTCCTGGAGTTTCCGATCCCATGGTTTGCTTTGGTTTGTTCACATCAGGAAATGTTGGTGTTCCATAACATTTAATATCTAACACCTTACCCAATACCTAACATTTAATCTCCTAATGCTGTTTTAAGTATTGGTTAAAGGAAGTTGTTTTGCATAGTAAAGCAGCTAGTTCTGACGGATGCTGCAGCGGCGTCTGCTATTTTGCAGATGTGACCAACAAAATGCTTTTCTCTCTGCTTTATAAAAATCTTCCGCTGGGGAAGAGGGGCTGCTGGTTAGGTCTGTATTTCAAGATAGTTCTAACATCAGTTGTTTTGTTCTGTATTACTACAGAGCTTTAGGGCTAATGGGGCAGGATACGCATCCCATACTGATATTAATATAATTAATAAATATTAATATGTCTCCTATATGCAGTGCCTGAGAGAAGGAGCTGGCTTTGCCACGTTCTTGTCCGGTTTCTCCTCTCGTTTTGTCTTCGTCCCCGCAGCCAGGCTTCCTGCGGGGTCGCAATAAGGCAAGAAGCACCATCAAATGGGTGTTTCAGGCTGCACCTCAGCCCGTTCTCTCCGCCAGTGTCACAACCTTTCCACGGTGTCATTTTAGACGCATCGAACAACTGAATCTGTCGCTGACGAGCAAGGAGGCTGTTATCCAGCGCTTGGAAGAGGCCGCATCCCAGAGAAGGTCTGTGGAGGAGACTCTGGTGGCAGAAAAAATCCAAGAGCACACAGCCGCTTTGATGCGCGAGAAAGAGAAGGAACTGGAGGTATGTGGAGGGGCTTCCGCGGAGCCCCCTGCTTGTCAGCTTTGCGCCTTTCCTTTTGGTGCGGGATATTCTAGTAGAAATCCAGGCACCTCAGGCTGGATTTGCCAAGTGGCTCTTCCTCTTAAAATCCCCTTTTAATGGGAGGCTGCTCAGGAATTGCCGCGAGCGGCAGGAAGAGAGATGCAGTGCGAAACAGGCTGGTTAGCACAAATCGGCCGTCTCTGTGGGCCTTGCATGCAGTTGGCTGCTGCCAGGGTTTGGCCCCATCACACAGGCAGTGCGGTGCAATGGTTAGAGCGTTGGGCTTGGACAACCAGGCCCCACACAGCCACGGACGTGCTAGATAAGGCGGGGCAGTCATCCTGTTTCACTCTGACCTACCTTACTGGGTTGTTGTGAGAACAAATGGGAGAGGGGCACCTTGCGTATCATTTTGAACTCCCGTGAGGAAGGGAGGCTAAAAATAGAAATCTCCAGAAGCTTGAAAGAAGTGTGTGTCCACAGTCCTTGATTAGGGGGGGCTTCTGGCATTGTGATCCGGCACTTCATTTATCGTATTCTTTTTCACCTACCCTCCTGTTGAGGGATGTGCAAAGCACATTCCAGAGACTCTAAAAGCGCCAAAGCAAATTAACACACAAGCATCTTAAGAAAAAAGCACGCCTCTCCCGTCTCCAAACCTTTCCAGCGATCCATGTCAGAGCGTGCCCAGAACACGAAGCGGCATTGCTTGAGTTGGACGCTGGTCCATCTAGCCTGGTAAAATTGGAGGGGGCTGGCATCACTCTCACAGTTTCGTTCGATGACGGTAGCACCCAAGAACTTCTGGATGGAAAGCCCGGGCCTCTTGCGCTGAGTCTCTCTCCTAGTCCACGTCCCCTTTCCCACGCCGTTTAGGTTCTCGAGAATCCCTGCATGTGGATAACCTGCTTTATCAATGTGGGAATCGCATGAGCAGGCACAGCTCCCCTTGCCTTTGATTCCTGAGACTGGCATTTTGAAAGTTCTAGTCCTCATGATGTCTCTTGCCGAGCGTTTCTTATGCTGTTGCCTGGGAATGCAGAAATCCCATGTGTGTCTGTCTGCAGTTCACGGTTTGTGTCCGAGTGGTAACGTGGGCTCTTGGGTTCTTGCAGGTGCTCAGAGCAGAATTTGGCAGTGAGAGGAACGACTTTGAAAAGAGAGTTCAGGTACGCTTTGAATCCTGCCTCCCCGTCTTTATTTGCTCTTCCTTGTCAGGGGGCTTCCGAAGCTCCTGCTTATAATTTTGGGACCACGTCGTAATGGAAGCACACTTTCCCTTTTGCTGTGTTGTGAGCAGAAGGCAGAGCTGAGTATTTATTAGATTTATATTCTGCTTTTTTCCCTAACAACTCAAAGTCCCTTTCCTCCTCCTCCTCTCAAACTTATCCCCACAACAACCACCCTGTGAGGTAGGCTGGGCTTGAGAGTCTGTGACCCAGCTGGCTCCGTGGTTGGATCATGGGCTGAGGGTATTGGCTGAATGTTGCTCACTACCAAATTCCCTGCACTTAGAAAGCTGGTAGGTAGGGGAGCAGCATTTCTCGGCTACCTTTCTCCCTCAAAGGCTAGCTTTCTATATTCAGGGATCCCCATGCCCCATGGGGGAAACATTACCTGTGAACCGGTTTCCCCCTCGCAGTGTGTGGCACATTCACCCACTCAGCATTCCCCTCTCCAATATTCAGTCACTCCAGGAGGAACTGCACCAACAGCAGCTGGAGTTTTCCGTCGAAAAGAGAAACGCACTGAAGCGCGACAAAACGATCCAAGGCTTGACGCTTGCCTTAAAAACCAAGGAGAAGGAGGTACCTGGATTCTGCAGGCAGGGGGTGCGACGAGGTCTTGGGAATCCGAGCTGCCGTGGGGGGCTGGAGTTGGAGGTTCGGGGCGCTCCTTTAATGATGCCCAAATACCCTACCAGGGTGGGAGCCGTAGCTTATACAGGCTGGCCTTTCTAGCTCTCCCTGGCGCACCCCAGCCGGGATGGTATTGGCCAATACATCTGGGGCTTACGAACACTGCGGGTTGTTGAGAAAGTGGATTGCTGGCCTCCGGATCCACCCAGGTGGCCGCTCAGAGCAGCCTTCTCAACATGGTGCACTCCAGAAGTTTTGGGGAGCTGCTCTCCGAGTCCCCGGGAGAGGGCAGCTTGCTCCGTGACACTCTCTTCCCGGTGGCGCTCCTTTTCGTGCCTCGCCACTGTCCCGTGTTGCTGGCATTCCTGTATCCGTGTTTTTTCTTTCTGTGTTCAGAACGAAGAGCTTAGTTCTGAAATCGAAGGCTTAAATGCATCCCTGATCAAGTGCAGAGAGGCCGTCCATACAGCACAGATGCAGAAATTCAGGGTAAGGCGCCTCCCGAACTATTCCCAGGCAGGAATTAAATCTGCTCCTGGCTGGCTTATGGGATGTATGATGCGAGTTGATAACTGCTGAATCCTGTCGCATGGCAGAGCCATGTTTGGAGGCAGTGTTATTCGCTCTGGAGGAGTGGTGAATTGCAAACCTTTTTGGAATCCTGCCATGTTTGGGGCTTGCCTCTTCCGCCGGTTTGCCTAGGGCAATTCTCGTGGCTTGACTCTTCCACGAGCCATAATTCGACCAAGTGGGGCTGACCTGCGCTCGCCCCACACAAGCTGCGTGTCATTGAAGAATTGGGAGAGGCAGAAAAAGCAAGCACACGGGAAATGTTTTTAATAAATAAGACGTGATTCGCACTCGTGCCATCCAAGCTCATTGCTTTTTCTTCCAGGGTGTTGAGGATTCCCAGGCCCTGCTGAGGGAAAAAGAGAGCATTCTGGCGGACTTGCATTCCGAAAACTTGAACAAAGATACGGAGAACCTTCGGCTCCAGAAGAAAATTAAGAGTGCTGAGCAAGAGCTCCATGATCTGCGTCTGGAGAGAGAGAAGTTGATGAAGGAGTTGGAGGAAGCCCAGTTGCAGAATAACAGGAGCGACAAAACTATTAATGTCAGTATTCCATTTTCTTCGATATTTAAGCGGCAGAGTTGCAAAGAGTGTGTGTGGTCTCGAACTTTCCAGAAATGAATATGAGTTTCCTCCTCCTCTACGTCTTATTTCCTACCAGATGCAGAGCCTGAGGGTGATCCGGGAGGAGGTGGGTAGCAGCCCCTTGATTGTGGTGTGGGGCCCAGAGCAGGGATGACAGGAAACGCGTTCCCACTGGATAGCCAAGCTCGGTTTTAGCTCCCTCTGGGGGACCAGGTGTGACGGGACCCCTGCATGTGTATCTCAGCGGGTGCCCGTGGCCTGCAAGGCAACACGGACGCCGCCTCCAAATCAAAGATGTGATTGGAGAAGGAGGGAAGTACGGATTTGAGGACTGCGGTGAGCGCCAGGGCTTTGGTCGCCTCCCTTGGCGGGGGGGAATGGAAAAGCAGGTTGCCGAACCGTTCCACTGACCCGCGGGACCCCCAAAGAGTATCTGCTGCTCCTCCCCTGTGTGAGGCTGTTCTCACTGTGTTCGGAACCTGTTCCGATACCGTCACGTTCTTGGGTTCCATCAGGCGTGAAACCGGCCCTCAGGTTTTGTGCGTCTTTTCCTGCTCCCCCATCTTAACACGGAAAGCCGCTCCTGAGCCAGATCCCGCATTTATTCTCTCCGGGCTTATGAAGTCCCCGCCTTCCATGCTGAGGGGAACAGGGGAACCGGGTGCAGAGCTGTGGCTGACTCCCTGACTGTTTCCAGGTTAGGACGCTAGAGGAAAATTGGGCTGGAATAGGAGGGATGCGGACCGTGTGGCCCTGCAGGTGCGTTTGAACTGTGTTTCCTATCAGCCCCAGCCAGCATAGCCCATGATGGGTGTTGCACTCCAGCGGCACCCGAAGGCCCACAGGTTTTCATCCCTGGATTTTGGCCATCGCGCAAAGCCCGTCGTGGTGATCGTTGAACTGGCCTCGCATGTAGCGATCCATGATGGGTTTGGGCCTTTCCTTCTCGCTGGGTTGCTTGCTCCTCTGGCAAACCTGGCAGACCGTGCTGGGATTCTTGTGCCTTCTCGCAAGAGCCATGCGGTCGTGTGTTGGGTGGAATCCATGCCAGCAGCCAAGCGGGGATGGGATTTCGGTTTCGAGGTGGCGGTGCGTGATGGGAACTGGACCCCCTCTCCCTTCCCTCTGCTCTGAGGGTCCTTTCCTTCCAGCCTCCCATAGCAAACGGCATCGTAGCTGTACAAGCGTTGGGCAGCAGACGATCGAGAAGTGTGGCTGGAGGGGGCTGGGCCCCCCGCTTTTCACAGTAAAATTAGCCACGTTGCCAGTCCTCTTTCCCAGGGCTGGAATGCGCTGTCGGCATCCCTCTGCTTGTTCCTCCTCCTCCTCCTCAAAGCGCCTTGCAATATTCCAGGGAGCCAGGAGGGGGACGTCTCCGTCTGCAGTTGAGCTGGTGGGAACCCTTGCCCTCCCCTGCGCATAATCCACTTAGGTCTGGCTGAATCAGATGCAGCGTCTTGTCCCTGCTGCTTGGCTGCATTTTTTCCCTGCGGGGCGAGCCTCGCAGGAACCGTGCAGACGGCCTCCGCTGTTAAGGCAGGTGTGGGTGACCGAGAAGAGCTTTTCATGGCCTGGAGCCTGTTTCCGTGTCTGTAATTACCGTAGTCCGCTTGTATGTTTTGTCTGCATAGCAGGCTGCGGACTACGGCTGGCTGGCTGGCTGGCTGGCTGGCTGGGTTGTGCAGAATCCATCTTTATTCTAACGCCGTTCCTCTTCAGCATGCAAAAGCTGTGGGCTCCCCCTTGGCTTGTGAACTAATGCGAGGAACTTTGAGCTGCCAGCTCTGCCTCGTCCTCTTTTTCTGAGGAACTTAGGCGCTGGTGACCTTCCCGCAGCAAACATGAGAGCTCCTGGAGCGTCTGGCCTGGAGTTGGCAAGCAAGGGCCGCCCGATCGTGCTTGCTCGGCTCTCCCTGCTCTCCTGCCCCTTCTCTGTCACTGGCACGCACGTGCTGGCATGTTGTGGGTGGAGCTGGGGGGGTCAGACTAGATGGCCCGGGAGGCCCCTTCTGACGTGCTCTGTTTCTCGAAGCTCAGCTCCAGGCTGGTTCATTAGCTAAACGGTCTGGTGCCCCTTAGTTTAGCCGCTCCTGCTCGCAGGGGGAACCAGGTTGCAACGATCGGACGAACGAGCGTTGCCTGTGCCTGGGTGAAAGCCAAGCTGCTGAGGAATTCTGGCCGAGCACGTCAAGGGCAGCCCATTTCTGCTAGGAGAGGCCCACGTCCTCGGCCCGTTGGTTTAGCTTTCCGGTTGCAGCCTCCTGAACAGAGATGCAGGGCTATGGAGAACAAGGAAGGGGATCTCGGAACTGTCGAGCTGTCGGGATGTCCCTGGGCATGCGGTGACGGCCGCTTTCCTCCGCACGCGTGCCTTCGGAGCCTTGGCCGATGGCAGTGGAGATGGAGGCCTCCTTCGGTGGATCCAAGATGCTCTTTGGTGCGTGGGTGGCGTCGCAGGCCAAACGGGGCTGCCTAGGTTGCAACAGCCGTTTGTGCTGTACTCCAGTCCTTGCTCATGGATGGCGGAAATAAGTAGCTTGAGTGGAGGAGTGAGCAGACAGACCCTCTGGGCGCAGGAGGCCAGAATTCCAGCTTTGCAGCGGCGGTCTTGGCAAATAAGGCAGTCTGTAAATGCTCAGAAAATAAATGGCAGGGCAGAGTAATGGCTCTTTCGTCCATGAATGGAACAGAGCATGCATAGGATTTTCGAGACGAAGCGGCCTCCCCTAGTCCGTCTCCCGCCAGGGATGCACATCACAGCGTCCTCCTCTGCTGGTGGCCGTCCATCCCCACCCGGGACGAACCAAGGAGCACGGGGCGGGTGAAGCCATCTCTCCTGCGCGGATCAGGCCACGGCACGTCGGGAAGGATCCCACCAGCTACTCAAAGGGCAGCTTTATTGAGCTGAGTTGATGAGGTCATCGCTAAGCTTGGACGCTCCCCTAAAATAGCAGCCCCCGATCAATTTTCGGCCGTCTTTTTACACGAGTGCCCTTTGTCGCAATTGGCATTTTGTGCGTTTCGGTGGCTTCACGTCTTGGTGCAGGGAAGAGGGTAGGAGGGGTGCCGGGAGCGAAGCTTAAAGAGCACTCCTGTTGGGGCTTGCGTCCTGCCTCTGCACTCTGGATGTCTAATTCAGTTCTATACTTTTCCGGGTGCCTATTTTTACAGCATTAAAGCAAGAGAGAGGCTCCAGTCCAATTTAAAAATAGCTTAAATGCTATAGCTGGGCATTCAGATTTAGCTCCCCTAAAGATTGCTTCATGGCATTAAGCATCTAAATCTACGGAAGGGTCTGACAACGCATCTTCAGGCATTTTCGCTAGAACCAGAGGCAGTGGCCAGTCTGGAGGGTCGTGGTGGGAAAGAAGAATTCCCGTACCCTATAGACTAGAGACACGGCCTCTTTGATGGTTGTGGGGGACGCTCCCTGTGCTGTGGTGCCCCATGGAAATGGCCTGCCCTTCTGAATATTTTGGAGAAAGGTCAGAGGAAAGGGCCATTGGTAACTCAGCCAGTGATGGGCTTTTCCTCCTGAGCGATGACAGGAGGACGGCTTGCGATGCCCTTGACACCAAGCGAGCACCAAAGCATGGTCTTCACGGTTGATCTGCATCCACATGTGACGGTGCATAATCTGGCTTGAAGCTGCAGTTCACGGATTTCACCTCTCCGGCATTTCAGTATTTTGTCGTGGCTCCGGATAGCCTTCACCAAGCTCCCAGGTATGAAATGCCCTAGGAGTCCAACCGCTGGCCGCACTGGCTGGGCCTGACAAGAGGTGAAGTCTAAATCAACTGGAGGACACCAGATTAGGAGTTGCCGACTTAGGTTGTCTGAGAAATAAATCTATCTTATTGTGATGGATGTGGGCTAGGGAGAAGGGAGAAGTCTCTCTTCCCTGCATTGTCTTAGTCATTGCAAGGATTTCCTGCAAGAGGTTGAGGCATTCTGGGGAGTATCCGAGTTCACAGGCAATGCCTCCCATAGTAAAAGATGGATGTTGGATTTTTAGCATGTGCAAGAAATAATCAGGGTTGATTTAGGTGGCAGGGTGATGGAGGTCTTTGCTTCTGGGGCTGGTGGGCAGGCCTATTTGCATACTTCCTGCGTGGAGCAATCAGGGTTGGACCTCTTCTGGTCCTGCAGGTGTTTTGGCCTACAGCAGAGCAAGTAGTGAAGACCAGAGAAGTTGTAGACGATTGCCTCCGATGGATCGTGTTTTAGAACAATGGCCTGAAGGCTGGCTGGCTTGTCCGTCAGTAGTCGCAGTCCAGAAGCATATCTGGAGGTCGCCAGGTTGGGGAGGCCTGGCCTCGCGAAGGACAGTGAGAGGGGCTTCATGGATTCCCACCCCTTAATCACTTGGGAAAGGGCCAAAGCTTAGATGGAGGAGTAGATGCATTGCATGAAGAAGGTCTCAGTTCTGCTCCTTGCGGCTTCAGTTGAGGGATCTCCAGCGGGAACACCAGGAAGGTCTCCTGCTTTCCGACATGCTTTCAGTCAAGAGTCCATGGCCCGATCCACGCGCACGTCTTTCCCGCTTCTCCCAAGGGTGACGGCACAAGAGAGCGGGGAGTTTCACAGGGTGGCCTTTGTCCCTTTGCCATTAGTTGGGCTCCTGGCTTCTCCCAGAGAGGTTTGCCCTCAAAGGGTGAGGGGCAGAATTCAGTCCAGAGCATCTCTTGCCAGTTGGAGTCACTCCTGGTCTTGCAGAGATGGGTCCACCGCCCCACGAGCCCTGGGTGGGGCATCGTTGCCCTTCGCACAGGCAGGGCGGGGGAAGCGCCTTGCAATGCTTTCTGCCTTGGGTACAGAGTGGGGCTGTGCTGTAGAATTGTCGTAAGCATGGTCAGCCGTCCCTCCACCCCAGGCACAGGGGTTTTCTTCACGGGAGCTGCGGGGCGGCCGCTCCACCAGGCTTCAGTCCATAAGTGGACACAATGAGCTGTCCATCCCGATTTTGCTTCTTTGCATCTGTTTCCAGAAATAGGGAGAGAGATAATCTGAGCTGCTGGCTGGGAAATTAAATGATCGTGAAAACAGAACTGGTGTCAGTGCGCAGCCGTTGCAGGAAGGTGGAGAGAGGACTGGCTTGAGGGGCTAGAACAGATGCAGAATCCTCCGGTTGCCTTTCCTGGGCAAACTGCTGAGAACAGGATGTCCCCTCCCCTCCCCTCCCCTCCATTCCCCCTTCTTATACCTTTGGTATGGCAGGTTCATAAGTGGCCAAGTTGAGCTCCGCAGATCCGAACCTGGGTTCCCCCTTTTCAAACCCAGAGGCATAATTAAAGCACCGCAGTGGCTTATTGGCTTTGCGGTATCTGCTTTCTTTCTTTCTCAGGGCAGGTTGGGAGACTGATCTGATGTCTCTCTGGGAAACTGAGCCAAAACAACCCTACACTGGATTCTAAAAACCAGCGGCTGGCATTCGGCCAGATGGAAATGCGTGTTTGGTGCCCAGGTCAGCCCGTTTGGTCGTGGCTACAGGGTTCCTCAGCTGCGTTCTGTGGACTCGACCTGGGGCTGAGCCTCCCCATTTCTCGGTCTGAACAGTGTATTTGAAGTTCTGTATATTTTTGATGGAGATTTAACAGCTGAGGGCTTTGGCTGGATTTATGAAATCCCGAGGGATTTTGGCCTCATGGATGCGACAGAGCTCACTGTCAAAAGGACCGAGTAAGAAACACGAGGGGGCCTTTTGTGTGGTTGGAGAGCTTTAGCTCCCCCGGTTCGAGAATTCTTCGAAGCTTCTTGAGTCTAACACCATTTCCAGCTATTTTACCTTGACCTAAATGCAGCCGATTTAATAAGGTGCATCTACCAGGAACCGTCATCTTTGATCAATTGTTGGGGAATAGAAGACAGTAAGTAATTGGGCTGGATCTATTTCGTGGGGGTTGTCCCACACCCCCACCCTGTCCCCAAATGGAAATGGAAATGGAAAGTAAGGGCTTGGAGCTTTATCTTTTAATTATTCATCCTTCCCTGCCCATTTCCATCTGGCCAGTGCGAAGGGCACCTGCTCTGACCTTCAGCTTGCATTTGTTTCCCATTCATTTTCTAAGTTCAATAGTTATTAATCACAGTGCAGTCCCTGGAGACCGTGGGGAGGGGCTCGGTGAGACGCTTCTCAGTTGCGTTGCGCAGGAGTGACAGAAGCTGGAGTGTGTTGTTTTCACCACTGTGTGGAGACCAATTGACTTTCTCACAAGTGCTCTTGTGATAGTTGTTGGTGCTCTGCAAGGAACTGGTCCGTGAAAAGCACGCCATGTTCAGCTAAAGTCTTGGTCAGAGGACAGACTCTGTAACCTCTCAGCTTGTGCAACCAAACACCGCCATTGATTAAGATTATTTCTCACATTCGTGTCTCACCTCTTTTCCATCATGGAGTTGCAGCGTGATGGGGAATCTTCAGACCCAGCACATCACAATTTCTCCATGGCTGGATGAACTTGCCTGTGGGTGAGGTAGGGGGAAGTCCAGATGAATTGAGTACAGCAGCCACAGCAAACTGAAGTCCCCTTGCGTAAAGGGCGGCTGCAACAGGACCATGGATATCTCCGAGTGAGCTTTGCTGGCTGGAGCGCCCTCCTGCTCAAAGCACAGGAGGACGTTTTCTCAGTACCAGACAGAAGCCCACTAAGCTTTAACGTCTGCATCCACTTCTGGGGGAGCTGGATACCTCAAAGGACCCCCACTTGCTTTTGTCACCCTGGCCCTTCCCAAGGCGGGGAAGCTGGAGGTTCTTCCCAGGGTACCTTTCCTGAGCCACAGGCTGAGTTTTACGGCTGATTTGAAGTGGGGCTGCTCATGGAACTGGCTGTCGTTTCCTTGGGAGAGCAGCTTGATGCCTGTCTTGCCCAGAATCTTCTCCTGTATCCAGAAAAGCCAGAAGATGACCGCTGGAGGCAGAGGTTCCTTCCCAGTTGTGAACCGGCTGGGCTTGGCTAGTGTAGAGACAAGACTTGTCGTACTTCTAGTAAGCCGACGATGTAGATGGGGGAGGGGGTACTGGCGATGAGGTTTTCCTTGCGTGGAAGCACCCAAAACTCAATTACTCCAAAACGTTGAGTTTGCTGAAGAAGAGTCCTCATATCATGTGCGAGACTGATTTTATTGGCCGCCCTGCTCCTTCCGGTGAAAGGAGAAGATGGTCCTCTGTGAACCAAAGAATGAACATTCAGCGAGAAGGCAAGGGGAAGCTGTTTGGGGTTCCCTTCCCGCCCCCTCTCAGTGGAACCCGGGGGCATCATGCCATGAATGGGCAATGCAAAGCAGAAGAAAGCAGGAAGGTCTTCCCACAGCACAGAGCCGGACGGTGGGATTCCTGCTTGCATTTTCCTCCCCGCAGTTGCTCCTCTTTTGACCCCGAGGCTCTTTTAGGGATCTGGCTTGCGGAAGCAAAGCAGTTGGAGCACGTTGGTTGTGAAGCTGCCTTCCAAACACGAGGTCCCTAAGATGCTCTTTTGGGGCACATTCCCCCTTCTGGTATCCTCCAGGTGTTTTGGATTTTAACTCCCATCAGCCCCAGCTAGCATGGCCAAAGGCCTGCTGGGTGGTATAGTTCAAAACATTCAGTGGACACCAAATTGGACAGAACGCTGCCCGACAGCTATAGGAATGTAAGCCTTAATCTTTACTTATGCCAGCAGCTGTTCGAAAAGAGATTCACCATTTTTCTTTGCATAGAATCATAGAGCAGCAGAGTTGGAAGGGGCCAGAGGGTCACCCGGTCCAGCGCCCTGCAGGGACGCTTAGTTAAACCGCCCCTCTCAGGTGGCCGCCCGTCGTCTTTTGCTTGGCTCACGTGCGTCACTCCCCGTTCTCATCCTCTTCTCTTCCCTTGGTTTAGGACCTTCGAAACCAGCTCGAGAAAACCCACGATGGGATGGCTGAGAAAGAGAAGGCGACGGAGCATCATTACGGCCTCCTCTTGAGCGAAAGCAATCAGAAATTGCAGAGCCAAGAATTAGTCATCACACGCCTAATGGACAATGTTGCTCAGAAGGATGAGTTGCTCCAGGTGGGCAGGCTTGAGCTGAAGTGAAGGGGAAAAATGCGGTGCGTGGGTGTCAACAGCATGTGTCCCCCCCCCCAACTCTGATTATGAGTCCAACACAGTGGAACTTTACTGGAGTTTTGGAAGGGGGGCGGTTGCCGGAAATATGAGAGGCATGAAGGCTCATTTCAAGTTCTGACTTCGGCAGGCTCCAAGAAGGTGACTCCTCGGAAGCCTGCTTGGAAGAACAGCTACATGTATTTATTTTTTTTGGTTTATAGCCTGCCTTTTTGCTATGAAGGGCTCAAGGCAGCTTACATCATTCTCCTCCTCTGTCTTATCCCCACAACAACAACCCTGTGAGGTGGGTTGCGCTGAGAGTCTGCGACTGGCCCAAAGTCACCCAGTTGGCTCCATGGCTGAGCGGGGACCAGAACCCGGATCGCCTGAGTCCCAGTTCTATGCTCTTCACCCCCACACCACACTGCCTCCCACTGTAAAAGGGCAGCTGTGGTGGGGGTGGGAACGGCGAGTTTTTGCCCCTCTCGGCCGTGGCTCTGGTTTGATCGCCCGGGTTCCTTCTTGGTGCTTTGCACGGCTCGGAAGTTCGGTTCTGTGCTTTGGGGAGACGGGGCACCCCAGAAGTGGGGAATGGGTGGACCGGTGCTGATCCGCAGATTTCCTGCCGGCCCGTGGGGGGCTGCAGGATTCCCAGTTGGCATTGCATTTGTGGGGAGGGGTGCAGGTGCCTTGGGGGGGGCAGGGAGGGGAGCCGGCTGGGAGACTCGCTGTGCCGATTCCGGTATTTTGTCTCTTGTTGGCACGTTTTGTTGCTCGGTTTCTGGTTGTTTTGGAGAATTTGCTTTGTGGTTGTGATATTGTTCTTGGAAACTAATGCACAGAAGACTGTACGGAGCTTTTTGTTTCTGCCGTGGCGGTGCCCGAGGTGGCTTTCCTGGTTTTGCTGGCCCCCAGCGGTGGCGAGGTTGAAACCCACTACTCTAGATGATGCTGGTCTGCAACTCCCATCGTCCCTCACCATTGGCTAGGCTGCCCAGGTCTCATGGGAATTGCAGTCCATCAATAGAAGTTACCCATCCCTGAAGCAGAGCATAAGATTTTCTTTATTTATTTAAAGTTTTTATATGCCTTCCAATACTAAAAGTCTCTGTGCAGCTTACAAAAAACAAAGCAACCATATACAACAAACCCACAGATTTGTGTACAGAAGATCCTTTGCTCAGTCCCCCCAGCATTTCCAGATTAGTTTTGACTTCCTGTAAGACAGCTTTTTATGTGTCATTGAGCTCTTTATTCCAGAACCATGAGGACTAGAATCTTACTTTTTTATTTTTTTTGTTTTGGTCAAGAGCGAGACTTCTGCAGATAGAGGGTCCCAGGAGGGCTGGGAAGGACCCCTGCCTGAAACTCTGGGAGAGCCAAATCGAAGAGGCTCCTTTTGGGTTATTGACTTTGAACTGGTTGCCACACCTGCACACAGTTCCAGGTGTTGGCCTCAACCTCGAAAGCCTTTCCTGGCTTGTGACTAGGATGCCTGAAGGACCACTGGCCTGCCCATGTGCTTGTCTGTCTGTCCCCGGAAAAAGCGGCAGCACTCCGAATTGCGATGGTCTCCTGAGACGTCACTTTGGCATCAGGGAAAGACAGTTCTCAATCCCCCAAGGTGTTCATTGTTTAACTAGGTCCACTTCCACCCCTCCTGAAGGCTGTACTCCCCCCCCCCCTTTTTAAAGTGCCATTTCTATTGTGTTGTTTCATGTAAGTATTTTTTAAAATGCTTGGACGATTTGGGAGCCTCTCCGGGGTCTTGCTTGACGGGCTGGGCGAAGTCTCTCTCTCTCTCTCTGATACGTGTTTTAGGTTTCCTTTTTTCCTTTCACTCAGAACCTTGATGGGGTGGTGAGAAGAAAGGATGTGGAGCTTCAGGAATGGTGTGCCAAATTCCACAGCCTTTTAAAAAATCAAGAGCTGCTTCAGCAGCAGAATGAAGATTTGCTCCAGGAGAAGCGAGTGGACCATTCACAGCAGCTGGTGGCCGAGACAGTCCAGGAATTACAGGTAGGTTTATTTATTTTTCCATTTATATCCTGCCTTTTCCTTATAAAAGGGCTCACGGCAGCTTACATCATTCTCCTCCTCCATCTTCTCCCCGCAACAACAACCCTGTGAGGTAGGCTGGGCTGAGAGTCTGTGACTGGCCCCAAGTCACCCAGTGGGCTCCATGGCTGAGCGGGGACCAGAACCCGGATCACCTGAGTCCCAGTCCCACGCTCTTCACCACCACACCCCACTGGCGCGCTCTCAAAAGGTTGGGTACTTTTTCTTAAATGCAGCAAATAAACACCCTAAAGTTGCATTTACCTTCTCTGCTGTAGGACGAGTCGAAGGCTAGCCTTCTCCAACCTGCAACCGCAAGACGTTTTGGGCCACAATTCCCACCTTCCTGACCATTGGCCATGCTGGCTGGGGCTGATGGGAACTGAAGCCCAAAACCTCTGTCCTGCACATGTTTGGCGAAGGCTGACTGGGGACTTGCAGGGGCTGTGCAGCTGTGTCCCCGTGTGCCAGCTGGCCCGGGAGTGCGGAAGCAGACTTTCCTCTTCTAAAAACGCTTTCTGCACGCTCCTTTTTGCACTAACGCACCGTGCAAAAGAGTGCAGGCAGCCGCCGCAGGGTTTCCGTCCCTTGGGAGGCGTGCGGACCCCGCGGGTGCGTTTGTGGACTTGCTTGGAGCCGTCGATGGACAACCCTGGAAGTGCATGCACAGAGGCAGGCAGGGTGCGAAATCGGCAAGGGCTGGTTTGCAAGGTTGCCCTTGGTGGGATCGAGGCAATGAGCGATGTGGAATGTCGGAGCCTGTTGGGCTGGATGCGGGAGTGGGAATCGGGGTGGCGAGGCTGGCGTCTCGGCCTCGGGGACATGATGCGGGGGGGGGGGGAACCCATCCGCAGCTTGCATTTCCCGTGCATCTTCAGCATTGCAGCTCTGAGGACCAAGGTTTCAACCTGTAGCCCGAGCCGGAGTGGCCACACTCCGCAACGCCGGGCGTCCTGGAGGCTGTGTGGGAGGGGGCGGCTGCTCTGCCTGGGCTGGATTTGCTGGCGTTTGATCTCGCGAGCGCCCGCCAGAGAAGCAGGTGCTGCGTTCTGGTCTTTGTGGTTGTGGTCCGGGATGCGCCTGGACCGAGGAGCAGCTGGCTCACCTCATGGGGGCAGCCGCACACAGGTCCGGCAGCCCCGGACAGGAATCTTTTGTAGGATTCCTTCAGATGTCCTTAAAACCTCTCCCTGAGTGGAGAAAGAGGCCAGAAGAATCTAGTGCAGTGGTTCTCGCTTTTTCGAAATTATACTGGCAATTCCGTCTTTTGCGAGGCAAGTTACCTGCATCTCCCTTTGACTCCCAAGAGTCTGAGAGTCATCGGAACTCCAGTGAGGGAGGGTTTGGGTCCTACAGTGCCCAGAAACCACTGTGCCACCGTCCACCCTCCCTGCTTGTGAGGGGCATTCTGAGGGCAAGGGCCTGGCCCTGGGAGCACCTCCGCCTTGCCGAATCTAGCGAGGAAAGGGGTCTCTACCCCGCAAATCAACCTTTCCCCAGATGAGCTCTCCCTGCCGGCTCCCCATTGCCCCCCCAGGGCTGAGGAGGTCATCCTGCATCTGTAGGCCTGCTGCGGTCTTCCAGCAGTTTTGCAAATGGGTGCCGCCGTTTGCATGGCACAGAAATCCTCTATTTGCCACTGGGGGAACGTGGCCGGGCCAAGCAAAAGCACGCACATGCATGCAGGATTTTGGGCTGGGAAGAGGGAAGACCATCTATTCCCATGCTGGTGTTGTGGGGGTTTCCCAGGGGTGACTCCGGGAGTGTCCCTTGGGTGATCCGAAGGGATGAGCATCCGTCCTGGGCCTGCCTAGCTGCAGTAGGAGCGTCGTCGTCAGTGCAGTGACGTTTATGGATGTGATGAGACCCTTGCTGCTGTGCCCCGCTCGCTCACAGATGTTCTGCCGCCGCCGCCGCTGCTGTGGTGGCGCTTCTGGCAAAGTTGCTGATCGGCCTCCCTGTGTGGGTGAAGCGCCGCCCCCCCACCTTCCAAGCACACCTTGCATTTTTTAAAATCGCCATCAGCACATATGCTGAAGATACGAATATCTGTAGAGGCATCTGTGGAGATGGGCTGTCCTTCCCGTATCTTGGCTGTGGGAGTGGAAGGGCTTTACGGGTTAGGACCAGCACTTTGAAGCTGGTATGGCTAACGAGGTGATCAAGTCCAAATGACAGTAGCCAAAGAGGAACTTAGGAGAACCAGCCCAGGGATCGACGGAGCAAAGAAGAGTGAGCAGCGAATAAAGAGTGCCATAAGCCCGGAGCCTTGGAAAGCATCGGCAGCTTGCCATTTCCAATGCTGCGAGTGGTTAAGGAATGAATCAAGTCACCTGTGATGGGGATGGACCCGTAGCTGCAAATCCAGCTGGCTTCCCAGTGGGAGCCCTTTGGCTGTGTGTGCAGCACCGCGGAAACGATCCCCACCACAGGGCCTGTTTGGAAAGATGCGACATTTGCTATTAATAACCCCAAAGCTGGCAAAGAGACCGCGGCATCATTTTTCCTCCTCCTGGACACGAGGATGAGCGATGGGGACGTCTCACGTCGCGTTATCTCAGAAGTAAATGATGGGGGGTGGCCTCCAGGAGTTCTCGATTTAATGGAGACATCCAACCTGTGCTTTACTGCCATTGGCAGCTCTCTCTGTGTGTGTCGTCTTGGGGTCTCATGTAAGAACGGATTCTCAGAAGCCTTGAGGGAGAACATAATTGTGTGTTTGTTTATTATCTTGTGCATTTAAAGCACTTGTGTCACACTTTGGCAGTCTCCAGGCCCCACCAGTTGGCTTAACAAGAGGAAAACCAAACCGTGAAGAACCTAGCGCAATAGATCTAAGAAGCAGGAGTCCAGGAATTGTGTCAGACCCAAGAAGATTTGTCATCTCAAGCGCCTTCTGATAGAGGGAGGCTATAACTTGCTGTCTGAGGAACCCAACTTCTGACCATTTCTTCAGCCTGAGAACATAGGAAGGGACTTTGCTGGATCGAAGCTCAGGGGCCTCCCTTGTCTCGCAGGCGGTTTCCCACAGTGAGACTAGGAAGCCCACAAAACAGTGTAAGGGAGAAGCCGCCTCCTGCGGCTCTTCTCCAGTAATTGTCCACCTTCCACCAAACTTACAGTAGATGCCGTAGATAGTTGCCACCACCAAGGCAGGTTTGGGAAGACAATGCCAGCCTGGCTTGGTTAGCGGATCTTCTGCTTTTCAGTTCGGGTCCCCAGCCTGGCGTAGAATATTTAAGCTTGAACAGTCACAATAAGAACCGCATCTTCAAATACCAAAGCCACGCCACGCAACCAGCCACGCTGCAGCAGAGCTTGGCTGCTGCTGTCAAGCGGCACATGGGAAGGACCATCACTCGGCCCCGTGGAGGCCCCGGGGAGCTCAGCTGGAGCCAGTTCGGGGGTTTCACTGCCGTTCTGCCTGCCCCGCCTCCTTTGCGTCAAAGAGCTGTCTTATTTGGGCAAAGCTGGGGGTCTCCGTTTGGGCTCAGGTCTGCCCTGTCGGATTCTCAGTCCTGCATTGCCACTCGGACGAGGAGATGGACTTGCCGTAGCCTTCACGTGACGGCAGGACCGTGGTTGAGGGCTCTGGAGTTGGGGGGTTTACAGCAAGTGGGCAGAGCGCTTTATGGCCGCTGAGCGTGCCGCTTGACGGCAGGGGGTGGGGGGGCAGGAGTGAGCATGGATTACCCTATTTTTGTGGGAAGGAGTTTTCCAGCCAGTCTTCTCCCGTTTCCCCCAGACATTCTTTCATTTTTTCTTAGAGAAAAAGATGGGCAAAGTCACCTTATAAGTGGCTGTCTTTTTTGCAAATGAGCCATTTTTCTAGGTATGCTTCTCAGAGATAATCAGTACGCTTATTTTTTTTTTCTTTTCAAGAAAAAAAGGGAATCTGAATACAGAGATCTGATTGAAGCCCTGAAACAACAGCACAACATGTTTTCAGCCCTAATCAAGTCCCTGAAAGACGCCGATGGGTGAGTGTCAAATTTTTGACTTTGAATGCAGAGGGAAGATGTCTTGGGGCGGGTGGCATCATGAATCTTCTGCTGACCTGAAATGGTGAGCCAGGACCGTAAAATACCTCGGGGCCAAACAGCCGTTGTGGCATTTGGTAGGCATTGGACCCGAAGTATATTAATCTTTAACAAAGGTGGGGAAGCGTCGAACAAGAACTGGAAAGGCTAACTTAGCGAGCTGGCTCAACCGTAATGCTAGCCCTTGATGGAATTGGGCTCATCCGTCCCCTCCTCTAGCAAAGAAGATTTCAAACGCTTTGGCTTCCATTTGAGACGAAGTACAGCTTTGCCCGGTTTGAACCTTACCACGGGGGATCCAGCTTAATCCTGATCCGTTGAAAGAAGCCGACTTCAACGCCTGTTTTAACAGGTTGGCTTCTTTCAACTGAGCGTATTTAAGGCGAACCTCTCTTCAGGGTTCCGGCATAATGCATGATCCGGAACAGAAGCTGGAGTGTTGCGACCTCTCCTTGTGGCCGTGTTGGTGGAGGAGCGCATGCCCCGGCGTGCGTGGCCCTCTTTGAATCCTGGCACCATGGCTGGGCATCCCACCCGACGCACTTCCTCAGTCAGAAATAAATCCCAGGTAGCAGATGCGCAGGGTGTGCTTTCAGTTTGCTCGGCTTGATCGGATGTTGGGGTTGGGTTTTAACCCAGGAGCTGGCACTGATCCCAGGAAGCAGGGGCCGCTTCCTCTTCTCGAAGGTGAAGAGGGGGGTCCCGTGGAGAAAGGTTCCTTTTATTAATCAATGCAGCAGCATCGCATTTCAAAAGAATTGCAAAGCATCGTTAGGGAAGGCTCTCCGCAGCTCTGCCAAATGGGCGCTGGACCCAGCGGATCCCGTATTTGTCATCTTCTCCCTGTTTGACTGCGGTTTACTTAGCTTTTCGGACTACCCGTTTCGTAGCCCTGTTTGCACGGAACGACAACCCCTGGATTGTTCAAACCATGGGCTCTCGGGGCTGAGCGTGTGCTGACACACGAGCGTCTGCAGTTGTGTGAACAAGACCATTTTGAGTGAGTCTTTTCTCATTTGCAGTTTGATTATCCTTTTCCTGGGTGGAGAGGATGCTCTTAAAATGTAGCCGCCAAGGGCAGCTGCTTGCTTTTTGTTTTGCCTGATTAAAGCTGGGCAGACCTCCGTGTCCCCAGGCCAACAACCCTTCCCCTTCCCCCTGCGCACTGCCCTGTTAGTCCTGCAAGTGCCAATAGCCACGGTGGCCATCGCAGTTTTATGTAGCGGCGCCATCTTGGAAGGCTTTGCAAATGGCGCCCTGAATTTCATTTGTAGTCAGGTGCCCGCCCACCTCGTTCCTCTGTAAGCAAGGAGATGGATTGTTAGCAGTGCAGAAGTTGTACTTTGGATAATTTACTCTTAGAGTAATGGATTTCTGCCCCAGTGTCACTGAAAACCCCCTGAGGTTGTATTTTAAGCAGCTCAAAACAACATTGGATATTCTTGTAACCGATTTGCATCCATCTGCTTTCTGTGTGTGTGAGAGGAATCTGAAGGTAGCCTGTTAAATATGTGGTGAAGGTTCCATGAGATGCTAGAATGAGGGCATACGAGTTTTCTTTTCTTCCTTTTTTTCCCGACTTCTGTAAAGATTTGTTTATGCTATGCGTCGAAGATGAGAGAACTGTATGATTTAAAGAGAGTTTAGTGCTTTCTGCCTTGCAGTGAATTCTTTTATAGAAGCCTTGATGTATAAAAGATGCCAGAGGTCCACAGCAAAATGTTTTCAAGTGTTTGATGAGCCCTGAGCTATGTCTTCTTACGAACCTCATCTATTTCTTTACCCCAAAAAATTAGCAAACACAGCTTGCAAGAAGAATTGAACCACATTTTCCTGTTGCGTAAGCAACTTGAAGATGACATCTTGGCCAACTGGAATTTGCGGAAAGTGCTGGAAGATCAGATCAAGGCTAACAGAAGGGAAGGTAAGGGAAACGGAGACCGGCAGGAGTGCGGTCTGCTGCGGCAGCAAAGGGGGACTTGAGCACTGGGTTCCGACACCGGCAATTTTAGGCTAGGCTGGGCGATGCGTAGGGCTGGGGCCGCAGCCCGTCGTTCAGGCCTGGCAGCACCGTCAAATTTAGTGACAGCAATTAGGGGAAAAATGGGGGAAGCAACATAGCGCTAGAAGGGTGAAACTGAGCTTGCTTGCAAACCGGGGTGGGGCCCGTTATCTCTGGATTTTGTTAGCCAATTGCAGTTATTTAAATCTGAACACAGATGTAAAGAACCGCAGGTGTAGTAACCCTTTGGGTGCCCAGCACATCGCCCTGTCCCTGCAGAAGTGAGAGTGAGTGAGTCCCGTGGGGGTGGTACCGGTCTCCCAGAGTAGCCCCCTCTTGGAGAGGCCCCTTATCAAGCGTTTTGGTCTCAGCCTCTGCCGTACTACAAATGGAACTCGGGTTCCGACAGCCCTGGGGATGAGATGCCAGAAATCGGGCATTTCCTGTTGGGCAAAGCCTTTCACGAGGTGGTGTTCTCCAGATGTTTGGGATGGCAACTCCTCAGGCTCCTGACTATAGGCCATGCTGGTTGGGGCTGATGGGAGTGGGTGTTCCAAGCATCTGGAGCATGCCGGGCTAGCTGGACAGTCCCTGCGTACTGGGGAGGCAATCAGGTGTGCGCTGCAGGAATCTACCGACGCGTGCAAGTCGGGTTGCTGGTTTCTCCCGCCCTTGGCTGGTGCTTGTATTAGCCTTGTGCTCCTTTAACCTGGGGCAGTTGTCTCCAAGTGGAACATCCTGCCAGATACAGGAAGTCCGGGGGATTCGGTAACTCCTGGGAGTTGGGCTAGGTAACTTGTCCCTCCACTCAGATGCCCATCATGCTGCTGAGTTTGGGAGCAGTGATGGCGATGACTTTTTGGTTTCCCTCAGAACCTACACACACACACACACACACACACACACACACACACACACACACACACACTTTGCCTCCAGAATGTGATAAGTTATACAATTAAACCACATAAGCAGCTCTGTTCTATTCCATTGCACCAACAGCTCAGATAAAAATTCTGCACTGCTATCTAGCCCCGCATTTCCTCCCCTGGGCACCCTGGACTCGTTTGCACAAACTCTCTGCAGTTCCTCTCTCTCCCCCTCACCTTCCTTTGCACCTGCCTGAAATTCTTTCAAAATTCAGTGCTGAATATGCAAATTATAATTCCGCATGAGATTCACAAAGCGTGCTGGTAGCTCGTGAAAAATCTAATATGTCTGTCGAAAAGGTACAAAAGAGTCTGAGGGTAGAAGTCCTTTTAATTAAAGAGAATGCTTTGTGTGGGATGGAAATAGCGTGGCAATTTCTTCCAGGTTTCACTGTCTGGTACATCGTTATAAATGTATCTCACATGTCGATGATGATCATCAGTATTAATGATCCGAACGCCATGCTAAGCATTCCGCCAAAGATCAAAGCAACATCCCCGCGGCCCCGGAGGGACCGTGCAGTGGCCAGAGTCAGGCAAAGGTTCCTTTCACCCGCCCGGTGCCTTCCTGATGCTCCGGGCTCTTGCCCGAGCCCGTCCAAGGCAGCCCTCTTTGCCAGGTTGGCCACTCCCAGCGGGCCACTTAACCCAAACCATGGGAAGACCCCAGTGGGTCCAGCAAGACTCGACACAAGCACAGGCTGCCGGCTGGGCTTCGGCTCCTCAAGGAGGCTCAGCGGCTGCACGGAAGACAACTTGAGAAAGAGCCTGAAACCGTTTTGCTTGTGAGTGGAATCCGAGTCGGCAGTGTGATGCGGCTGCAGAAAAAGCCCAGTGCTATTTTGGGCTGCGTCCACTGAAGGATCGTTTCCAAATCAAGTGACATTTGAGTTCCCCTCTACTCAGTGCTGGTCAGGCCTCATCTTGAGGCCGGTGTCCAGCTGGGGGGCAGCACAGTTGAAGAAAGATGCAGGCAAACTGGAGAAGGTCCAGAGGAGGGCAACACGGATGCTCTGGGGACTGAAAGAATGGGCAGGTTTAGCCTGGAGAAGGGAAAACTGAGGGGACATATGTCTAGTACTTGAAAGGCTGTCACAAAGAAGGCGGCCGGGATCTCTTCCTCATCATTCCAGAGTACAGGGCACACAACGACAGGCTCAAGATACAGGAAGCCAGATTCTGGCTGGATAGCAGGAAGAGCTTCCTAATTCTTCGCTCAGTGCCACAATGGTACCAAAGCCCTTGGGAGGTGGGGGGCTCTCCCATAATGGAGGCATTCACGATGCAGCTGGACTGCCATCTGTCAGGGGAGCTTGAGCTTGGGGTCCTGCACGGAGCCCTTCCAGCTCCACTCTTCTGTGATTCTGTAAACTCAGAGCAGCACGTGAGGGATGCTTTGCCCGTGATTGGCTGCCACCCAGCATGGGCTTGAGTGTCCTGCCCCTGGAGTGGTTGCCTCTAGCTCCACCCACTTAAGATGGCTCCCCGTGAAGAACATGGCTGGGCCACAGGCTTCAACTCTTTGACTTCCCAGCAGTCCGGGAAGCTGCCTGCGTGCGGGCCCTGGCTGTTGCTTGCTTGCTTGCATGGGACGACCTCCTGATCCACGGAGGCTTTCAAGGAAGAGGGGCCCTTCGCGATGAAGTAACCGGCCATGGCTGCGTCCACAGGTGGAGCAGGACCACCTGCTGCAGTTCCTCTGCGATGGAAGCCTCCACTAAGGCGGGCCTGCCTGGCTGCCCTCCTGTTCTCCAGCTCCCATGTTGCTCTCCAGCAGCAGTTTCAAAGAGAAGCTGGACCGCCCTCTGAGTGGGAGGGTGCAACGGGGTGTCCTGCAACCGCAGGGGGGTGGACCTGATGGCCTTCATGGGCCCTCCCAACTCGACTCTGCTGTGATTCTGTAACACAGCTCCAGCTTCCCCTTCACAGTGGGGGCCAGAGTCTTTGCGGCCGGGGCCTGTCTCCTCTCGCCTCCTCCACGCAGGATTTCTTCTTCCTGCTCGCACCCATAGCCGTTGCTACCCTTTGGCCAAGCCCAAAGCTCAGTCTTGCCCTTCCTAATCGCTCGGAGACGAGAGATCCTCTTTGGCACCAGCTCCTTTCTGGTATTTCATCAAGCGTTGCCAGTTCGGCGTTAAGCCTGCTCTTCATAAATATAACTCCTCAGCCATTTCCCTGATTGGGATAAAGATGCTGAATCCCCTCAATGCCAAGTTCTGTGCTTTTTTTGCTCATGAACAGAGTTAGAGTACGTGGATCTGGGGTCATGCGGATCCTCAAATGGTCCATGGAAAGAGTGTTAGTGGAAAATTGATTCTCTCTCTGGCTTTGGGGGGACGGAGGGATGTTTGGTGCAAGCAGGTTGGTTCTGAGAGAAAGTGACTACTTTCCTTTTATCGGTAGAAGAAAGTGTGTCGTCTTGGAGTGATCAGACGTCCTACATGAGCATCTGTTTAAGAGAGCAGAATTGTGTGGACGTGCAGATTGACCATCTGAGCCACGAGGAGCTGAAGAAAAAGGTATCGCTGCCTCGTTTCCTTTAGAGCGATCCAGGCGGCAGTTCCTGGGGAGTGGTTCCCCCCGAAGCCGATGGCTGTTGCTTATGCGGAAGCGTGCCTCAGGTTGCTCTCCTGCATGCCTCGGCCTTGGTAAGGAAAGGGAGCAAAGCAGCGGATCCACGCGAGATCCAAGGCCGAAGCCCTCAGAATTGAGCGTGAGCAGAATTCCAGGATGCAGAGGGCCAATCCGGGTAGTCCGTGTTTGCTTGTTTTAATGGGGACGGCCCCTGAGGCCTCCGCTTCAGCCTTTCCCCAGCTGCGTTCAATGACACCTTTTTGGGATGCCCAGAATCCAACCTGGACCTTCCTCCCTCAGCGTGGCTGATCTACCACTGATTTGTAACTTGCACGTCCATGTGTGTCCCCAAAGGTTTTCAGAGCCTTCACGTTGGCCCATAACCCCGCTTCATAAGCGAGCTGCTTCTGGAGGCCGGGCAGTGCAGACTCGCAATAAGTTGGCTGTTGAAACAGTCCGGAGGGAGCGAAGTGGCCAGAAGAGTATGCGTGTGTCCGGAGTCTCTGAGGCTTTCGTCTTGCTTTTTCAGGTGGTGGAACTCTGCACAGTGGTGAAGGAGCTGCATGTGGCAAACCAAGAACTGAGCAAGAAGCTGTTTGAATTCAGTGCGTTGGATCCCTTGGCCAAGGAGAGGTGGAAGGCATTGGAAAGCAGTGAGGTAAGGCTTGGCTCCCTCTGCGTTCGAAAGCTCGTGCGGCATAGGACTGTGATTTTTCTCATGTGATTCATTGATGGGCAGAAGCAGGGCAGGTGCCCATGTTTGAACTTGGGGTGTGTGAAGAATCTGAGTGCATGTGAGTGTGTGTGTGTGTGTGTGTGTGTGTGTAAGAGAGAATTTGGTGAATTGTTTTTGTGTGTGTGTGTTAAGAATAAAACTGAACAAAAGAAGAACTAAAAAATCATCAGTCATCAAAAACATCAGACCTACTGGGTCAGCCCCCCACACTTTTTCTTTTTATGTTAAACTATAAACATATTTAGATCTATGCCTAGTCCCATCTCTCTAGCCAATAATAAAAAGAGTCCCAGGTTAGATAGAAGTCTGCATCTTCTTTCTCCTTTAGAGACAAAGTCAGTCTGTCCATTTCGGCACAGTCCAAGATCATTTTTAGAATCAGTTCGTCGGTAGGTGGCTCTTCACTCTTCCAATGTTGGGCAAAATCTGGGGGATAGTCACGGTTTGGCCCAGCCGGATCGGTTAGCTCCGTGCTGGTGCAGGCATCCTCTTGTACAGGCCGTGTGAGCTTGTGGGCCTCCATCACTTAAAACAGGCCGCAGTGTGTGCGTTTTTTTAAGCATGCAAGTAATCTGCACAAATTGCACTGCACGCACAACCAGGAAGCCAAGGCCAGTGCATTTCTAGTGTGATTGGCACAATAGCGTGCGCTCAATAAAACGGCAGAAATTTTCTGAGGCTCTGCTCGGTGCATCGTTTTTAAAATGTAGTCTTGGAACCAGGCGTTTCCAGGCATGGCACTTCCAGCAAAGCATCCATCAAGGCCCTCGGGCTCAAAGGAGGGAGACTGCCAGTGCTAGCACTTCGCTGGCCTGAACCGATCCGGTGTGGAAGGGAGTCTGGTATGCAGGGTGGCTCGGGAGGGCAACACGTGAGATTCTAGCTTTCATTGACGGGTTGGAAGGAAACAGATCGTTGGGTCGGATGGTGTTCTGGCATTCTCGAATTAAACAACTCAGATGTGAAATTGCTTATTTTTGAATGGCGTGTCCCCAAAATTGGCCTCTGTACCAGAGGACAGGAAATTGGCTGCTGGTGCAGTGCCATGAAATGCAAAAACGAAAATAGGGGGGGCCAGGAAATTGCAGACTGGTTAGCTTAGCATCTGGTCTGGATGATTTGGTGGAAAGGATGAATAAATACGGTAACATGGTCAAGTGTATAAGCAGGAGGCGTCTCTCTGGAGAAGGCTATTGTCTTGTCTCAGTCGTTTGGGATTTTCCAGATTTTTTGGCATGCCCCTCCTAGAATAACAGGCCATTTGCCACGCTGCCTCAGCTCGCGATTTCCAGAGGGCACCGAGGGCAACCCAGGCTGACCGGCAGTGGGTCTCCAGGGCTTCATGCGGGTGTTCTCAGCCCCTCTGGGGGAGGCCATGGATTGAATCTGGGGCATCTCCAGGTGGGCTCTTCTCACTGAGCAAGGGTTTCTCCCCTCTGGCAGTTGGATCTGCCATGCTGCTTCCTGTCCTGTTTCTCTCCCCACCCTCATATCTTGCATTTAATCAGTGCTCTCATTCATCAGTTCAGTGGCAAACCTTGATCCCGCGGATTGCTGTTGTCTTAAGCGCGCTCTCGGGGTCTGGTCTTGTCGTCTTTGAATTCCCTTCTATGGTGCATGTGCAGCCGGAACTGGAGCGAAAGTCAAGCAGAGCCTGCTGCTGACTGACAGTTTCTATCTTGAGTCCTTAAATTGGTCTTCTGCCTCAAAGAACTGGAAAATGGAATGTTTGGAGAACCCGGTTTTTGTGTGTTTTCTAGCAGATTTAAGGCTGCCGGTACAGAGCGGCCACGATGCTTACACAGGTCCGACTGGGGCTCGTGCGTGGCGAATGCATGGCCGTGCCGAATGCCCGTGTGCCGGCTAAAGTGGGCTGTGAACTCGTGGTGGAGGCCCCTGCCCCATGCCGTGAGGGTCTTTGACCCTTTCCTTTGCAGAGATTAAGGCAGCTTGAGTCTGAGCTGCCACTTTAGAGTCATGGAAGGTCAAACCAGGGCAGCCCCCGATCACGGCGACGCCTTGGAGAAGTTCGTCCCACTCAGTTTTCCGAAAGTGGTTGGATCCGGCTGCACAGTCCCTTCCCTGTGATAGGCTAGGCGTGAACAGGGTGGGCACGGCTGTCAGGATTTGGAGGAGTGCGAGGCAAGCTGGGATGAGTTTTGGGGCCGCACGGGTGTTGAGCGCAGAAGCTCTTTCTGTGGTGGGCGTGAGTCCGTGCATGGTGTTTGCTAAACTTAGTACAGTGCTGACTTGCACCGAGACCCCCCATCAGCTCTGAAATTTTCTCCACACGACTGTAAAATTAGTGCTAGCAAAGATCTCCTTCTGGGACTGCTTTGTAATATCTTTAGTCTACAGCTGCAAGATGTAGGTGTTTCAGGGGTGTTAAGTGGTTCTCGTGCCGCAGCTCTGATTTCCGGAAAACAGGTGTGGGGTGAGGGGGCGGGCGGCTGCAGTTTGCGATGGTTTCTCTAGAGGGCAGTGTTCTCTTACAAACGCTGGCTGATCCATGATCAATAAGAATAGTAAGGCCCATAAGTAATACCAGCGATAACAAGTCCATGGCATTTATCTCACCCTATTGGGATTTCAATGGACTCGGTGCATGTTTTGTCGTGTTTTTCGAAAGACAGTGGCAACGACCAAAACATGCCTTAGAATGTGTGGGACTGTCATTTCCATCAGCCCCAGCCAGCTTGGGCAATGGGACTTGTAATCCAAGACTTCTAGAGGTTGGTTGAGGTGTTGGGTAAATTCACGTGAAGTCAACCTGTGCTGGCATTTGCATCTTTTATGGGATGCCTTGGGACTTTCCCTGAAGCCGAAAAGCTTGCGCCAGGGAGGAAAAAGCTTCCAGGCTGAACTGGGATGTTATTTCAGGAATGCTGCGTTTCGAACGGGGAGGCCACAACAGACATGCCGCTACTTCATGCTCGATTGTGCATCTCATTTTGCAACCCGCCCTCCCTTCTGTGGTGCTGCAGATTGCATCTGTTGGGCTTGCCCATCCTGCTTGCACAACGGCCCTGCGAGGTGGGAGAGGGGCCCCCAAGGATGCTTTGTGGCTGCGCTTGATTCGGGACCTAATGCTGCTGTCCGTTTTCACCGCTTCCATGCGTTCGAACGGAACCAGTGGCCGAAGTTCAACGCCACCGGCAACTTGTCTAGCCCACGCTAGGCAGCACATTTTCCCATTCAGCTATTCCCCTGCCCCGCTGAAGCGGCTGTTACTGCCGGGAACCGCCTGGATCAGCGTTTGGTAGGCAGAGGGCAAGCGACTCCAGTCGCGGATCTCGCCCACTCCGCCACGGTGACGTAGCTTGCCCCCCGTGCCGTGGGGGCACGCAGGGGGTTTACTCTGGTGTATTGCAGCCTGATGGACTGGGGGCTGCCCTGGAATTTGACAGTTCTCCCTTGATGAGTGCACGATCGCCTGCCCCGGACTTTCTCCCCACCGCTTTAAAATGCACCGCGTATCTTCCTTCTGCGATAAGGGCCGGCCTGGCTACCGGCTCAGCCTTTCCGTGGCGCCTCCCAGAGTCACGCCTCCCTTGGGCCCCAGCCTCTCGGAGCTGGCTGGGGTGGCTTCGGGCACCGAAGGAGAGATAAAGCCGGTCGTTTTTGTGCCGTCCTGAACATCTGCGTTCAGGCCGAGAAACTGTTGTGCCGAGTCCTGCCTGTGGGGCTCAGGGGATCTTTGCAAACCGAGCATATCAGCGATTCATTTCGGAGAAGCACATTCTCAAGGTTTTTGGTCGCCATGGGGAGATCTGAACGAGTCAGCTTTTATCCTCCGCAGACCTTCTCCTGGCCTTGAGCCACGTCGTTTGCATGTGATGTCTTTTTAAAGCCAGATTTAAAAGTCTGCTCCTCAGAGGAGCGCACGGTCTTTCCATCAGCCCGATGCTAATACCCAGTGTCTTATATGAGGCTATGTGGGTTTCTTTTGCTTCTTTGATCCGTGGAAATCAGCAGCATTTCAATTCACTCTGGACCTGCCTGGAAGAAAGATGTGAGGCATTATTAAGTGCCTAAGAAGCTGCCTTTTAGCAGGTTGGGCAGCTTGTCCATCTGAGCCGATATTGTTGACACCGACTGTCAGCAAAGGTTTGCCAGGGCTGTGGCCAAGATTTTACCCCCCCGGTCCTACGTGGGAATGTCCCAGAATGAAAACAAGCCCCTTCTGCGTGCAAAACAGGGGCCCTGACATGGTGTGACGGTTCTTTCTCAGCGGCGGAAGGTGTAGGATCCAGTTCAAGAAAAGCTTATTATCATGGTTGGGACTCATGCTTTTCGGTTGTTTCGTAAATAAACTAGAATTCCGGGAACCCTCCGTGAAAGATGTTAGGAGGCAAAGTACCCGGAGGAGGGCCTTCTCTGTGGTGGCGCCCCGCCTATGGAATGCGCTCCCCAGAGAGGTCCATCTGGCGCCATCGTTATATGTTTTTCAGCGCCAGGTTAAGACCTTTTTATTTCAGCAATATTTTAAAAAGTTTTAATTTCATGACTTGCATGTTTTTATTGCAGCTAGTGTGGGTCGATAATTTTATCTATGTTATATTTTATTGTATTTTATCTATGTGAGCCGCCCTGAGGGTTTTGCGACAGGATGGCATATAAATACTTTAAATAAATAAATAAGGAGTGAGGCGGTGAAGTTGGCTGGAGATAGCAAACTATTTAGAGTGCTCAAAACCAAAGGATTGCAAAGACTTCGAAAGAATCGTTCCAAATGGTGAGAATGAGCATCAGAATGGTAAATATATAACATGATGTACGTGAGGGCAAAACATCCATGGAACCAGATGGGATTTGAGCCAGTGGTGACTGAGCAAGAAAAAGATGCTTCGGTTTGGTGGGCGATGCGATGTCAGCCCAGCAGGAGGCTGCTGTTTTGTGAGCAGAGCTGGCCGGAGCCAGGGGTCAGACTAGATGGCCCCTAGGTGGGAATTTGGGGCATTTAAGCTGTGGTCCTTACGGAGTGCAAGTTCCCTCTCAGTTGCCTTGGATGCAAACCGCGGGCTGGTTTTGCCTTTCCATCCTGCTTTTGCAAGAGATGTGGGCCTCCAAGAGGCAACCAAGAGGAGCTCCGTCATTTCCCGTAACACCTTCTGTACGCCGCCCCGTTCTGCCCCTCCAGCAGCCCCGAGCTCACCATCTCTGTTACCGCAGCTGCTGGGGAAGCGAGGAAATGTTAGTTTTTCTTCCCTGTTACTTTCCACCTATCAAAACAAAGTGGGGAACATTTGGTGCCATCCTCGCCCTTGCTCCACGGCCCGATCCGAGAAGATGGAAGAAAGCAAGCTCCGGGGCAAGGACAGAAGCATCCCCTTGTGCCGTAGCTATACGGAACTGCCAGCAGGAGCATGAAATCTGTGAAGCACCGTCAGTGTAGGGTGGCCAGAAATTGCATGGAGCAGAAGCAGAAATGGCATTGTTCTAAACAGACTGAATTGTCACATCAGCTGTGAAACAGTCGAAGAATTGGTGACAGGGATGGCTTCTAAAAAAAACTATTTTATCGGCAAGTGAACCGAGGTCAACTCTGAACGGCGAGCATTCTCCAGGCTTCCTTCGCTGCAGGGGTTGCTTTTTATGGCGGTCGCTGGTGTGTGAGATTCTGTGCGGGTAAAATACATCAATCTCAGGGTTGTCTGTCAGCCTGCTGGGATGAAGACGGGCTCTGATATGTCCGTGGTCTCGCACCGTCCCTCTTTTGCAGAGGATGAGAGACGTGCTTTTGCGCCAGTGGCCACAATGCAGAGCCCTCCCTTAAGAAACCGAGAAGACCTGCCCACTCTGTCGACCCTTTTCGGATGCGATTCCGAGCCTTTTGGCACTCTTCAGTTGCTCTGGTCATCACTATTTTATTTTTTTCTGGCACTGAAGGAGGAGGCGGAGAGATGTGGCCCCAGGATAAACGATTCTTGGGGTCAAAATGATCGACTCTCCCAAGGTTTTCTGTCCCTGCAGTGCAGGACATAGCTGGGCCTGGGCGGTCAGAGTTCGACCTTCAAAGCCCTATACAGCTTGCCCGAACGCTGCCTATACCTGTGCCCATGTTTTAAGGCAGTGGTGGTGAACCTATGGCACACAGAGCCCTCTCTGTGGGTATGTGAGCCAAGTCGCCCCAGCAGCCGAGCATCGCATAACAGCGCGCATAGGGGCCATGCGCATGCTCAGAAAGGAGTAGCGGCGCCAGGCGATGATGCCACAAGCTGCGACTCATTAGCAATGACTCCTCCGAGCTTTCGCATGGCCGGTCAGTGTGCTGCCAAGGATATATATTTGCTTGGACTGGCTGCGAGTTGTTTTTTCTAAACGAAAACCTCAGTTTTCAGGGTTTTTTTGCAGTGTTGGCACTTTGCGATAAATCAGTGGGTTTTGGGTTGCGGTTTGGGCGCTCGGTCTCTGAAAGGTTCGCTATCACTGACCTGTACAGCTAGTTAGGTTGGCTGGGTGCTGCCTATACCTGCGCCCGTGCTTTCTGGCCCCTACCAAGAACAATGAGGTTGGCCGCCACTAGAGGTAAGGCCTTCTCAGGCCCGGACCCCGTCAAATCCCTTCCCAAGTTGAGGCCCCATTTATGACGGCTCTTAAAAGGGTCTTCAAAGCATCTGGCTTCTCCCTGGTTTCCCACCGAGAGCTTGAATGCCGCTTGACGCATTTTAAAATCCGACTTTATTGGAACTGATTCTGCCTAAAAGACTTCATATGTTACTTTATGGTCATGTTTATTGACAAGATTTGAGAGCTTGCTCATGAAAGGGAGGCTGAGACAGAGACGAAGGGAATTAAATTGGAAAAGGATGGGCAGCCCCATCCGTTATTCCTTCCCGGGGCTCTTGCTCGAGCCCTGTGGGGAATCCTCGAGAGAGCCGGACAGGCCTGAGAAGCCGCTGGTGGGTGGTGTCTGTCTTCATTATAGAGCCGAAGCCGAACGTCTGCAGAAAGAAAACTTCTAGAGAAGGACTTGCTCTCCTATTATTAAGGAAATGGGGAAACGGCTCTCTGGAGAATCGACTTGGCTTAAGCAGCACTTGGCCGAGATCGTCTTAATCCATAAACATTACAAGCTACAAGCCAGAAAGGGCACCCAGATAGTCTGCTGGAGCAAGTGCCAAAAGGACACCTCTGAGACCGGCAGATTTATCGTGGCCTCGGAAGCATGAAAATGGGCTGCCGTCTGTGCGGGGATGCCTTGCTCTATGGGGTGATCGGAGTGTCGGCGTCGGGCTCGCCCGGTCTGGTGCTGCCCGGAAGCGCTGGACTGCAGTTCAGCCCACGGGGAAGGGCAGCTGCAGCCGTTTTGCTCACGTGCTTAAAGCGGCTCGCCAAATGCCCGCCTTAAATCCCGGAGGAGCCCGTGGAGGCGGCGCTTGCACCCGTACGGCCCTTGCACATGACCTGCGGTGCGCTCGCAAGCATGCCCAGGTGGGCTTCAGTCCTCAAAGCACCCCTGGTGCACGTGTGGCCTGTTCTGAGCATCCAGCCTCTCGGACTGATGGTGCTTGCCGGAGCTTGCGGTTGCCGAAGACGTGGCTGGGACTCTTGGCAACCCTCGCTTTCCACCCTGGTGCGAATTCCCTCCCCTTCCCTCACCTGTTGGCAGCTGCTCAAACAGGGATGGCGCATGCAGGGAAGGCCTCCTCCTCCCCTTCCTCCCGTTCCTCCCCCCACTCCTGGACATGCTGCTGCGCAGTCCTGGAGGCGCAAATAGTCCAGGGGAATTCAGTGTTCCCAGGGCTCCTGCCGTTCACGGGCCTTGGGGAAAAGAGCGTTCCCAGGGCTCCTTCTGCCCAGCACGCTCGATGCAGGATGACACCGAGACCTGCCTGGCCTCCCTTCTCCACGCTTTCCACCGGTGGAGCAGCTACTGTGTCCACGTTTGGAGAGGGGGAAGGAGACAATGCGGGGGAACTGGGTGGGTGAGTTAGGATGAGATGCGTGATAGTTTCAGAATGGACCCGGATTGGCGCGGAATATTCAGAATGGATTTATTTATTTATTCCAACATTTTTATGCCGCCCCATTCGCCGAAGCCTCGCGGCGGCTTACAACGTTAAGTTAAAAAATAATTATAACATTAAATTAAAAAACACAAACATTAAGTTAAAATGCAAAAATAACAATATAAAATAAGTCGCCCTGGCCAGTTTTCCACTCTTCCATTGTGTGGGGCAGGAATCCTCTTGAAGCCCATGGGGCTTACATCCTTCCAGAACCGTGTGTGTTGTGTGTGGCTGGAAAGCAAGCGTCGCTTCCCCTCCTGCTCGTATCTTTCCGGATCCCTTCAAAGCCATTTAACCTCATGTTTGTTGCTCTGTTGCAGGCATTTTCCCGTTTCCTCCTTTCTTTTCAGACATGAGTTATTTGTACGTTTCATATCACCTGATTTTCATTGGCGAGCAGTACATTTTTCACACCATTCCATACTTTCATGTAGCTTCTGGAAAGAGCAGAAGAAAACCGCACATTGACGGATGCTTTCGAGGAAGAGATGAGCGTTCCAAGCCGCCCGTGCCCTGAAACCGTCACCGAGGTAGGGCTTGGTCGAGGTGCTTAGTTGGGCCGCTGGAGCCCCGAACCTCTAGCAGCCCTGGCACCTGCTGAATTAAGGTCCGGGGGCTCCAGTGTTCGTTGCTTTGACCCCCTGGATCAGCCGTCTCTTGGCTTGCCTGTGCTTAACCCTCTCTGGTCTCCCTTTTCCTGCAGTCTCTTCTTAGAAATACAGGTGCCCTTAGGAGACGGACGGATGGATGGGGTCCTTTCGAGACACACACACACAGATTTAAGAACAGCTGTGAATCTGCTTGTTTTTCGTTTTGTTCTCATGGGCCTGAGCCCCAGCCCCCTAGATCTGTAATCCTCACTTCATTGGCAAGACCCCAAAATACCCCAAGCAGTCCCGGGACCGACCCCAGAATAAACACGTAGCTACAGCCATCAGTTTGCACACTACAGATGGCTTATTGTCTCCTCCAAATTTATGCAGATTTTATCAATTAAACAGATTGGTCAGGGCAAGTTTGCTTTCACTGTGTGGCTGCCATGCTAGGAAGTCCCCGTTTGCTCAGGAGAAGCTTCTTCCGTGGATGTCGTAAAGGAAACCTCGTTGCTGCTTCCTCTGCACCCTCCTTTCTTCTTCTTCTGCAATGAGATAACCGTATCAAATGTTACCTTCTGTACTAATGAACAGTATGTGGAATATGGTTACCGAGGCTGTCTTTATAATGCAGATTAAGCAGTTTCAAGATGATAGTTACTTATTATGCAAAAGATCACAGTCCCCACAGCAGCAGAATACTGGCGTGTCTGTCTCGGGTTTTTTTTTTTGTCATCCCTTAAAAGATTCTTTGTGAAGTAACAATTTTCCCCCAGCAGGTAATTCCTTCAGACTATTTGGATAGACAATGTAAGAATCTAAATAAGTCTGTGTTTGAACATGAGGCGGCTGTCGAGAAATGCTGCGGCGGGAACACGGTGGGCGAAAATGGTGAAGCACAAGAGGAAGGTTCAGTCGTATCCCTTTTAAACAGAAATGGAGCAGCGGCGCCTGGATCTAGGTAAGCGGCCAGTGTGGACTCAGTGCTTTTGACAGCCGTTCAGCTGGAAAAAGGAACAAAGATATTGCATTTAAAGTAAATTTAGATAATGGAGCTCTCTAGTTTACCTGGGAGATTGGCAAGCCTGCTTTGGAACCGTTTCAGCCCATCATGCGATTAAGTAATTAGGAGAGGCAAAGACATCGGTGATTAGATGAGTTTCCTTTATGGCCGTGTGGCGACATATAGGGAGCGCGTCTATTGAAGGAGAGCTGTACCAGACGATACGGCAAGGCTGGCAAGAGGCTGCCTGGGCCGGGAAAGAGGGTGCATCGTAAAAGCCATGGGCTGGGGAGGCGGAGCGCGGCCGTGGTTTTCCCAGGAAAGCCAGATAGTAAAGGCGTAAGGCTTTACTGTCTGGTCAGTCGAGTTCGCTTCCCAACCTGGGCAAGTGGCTTCCCTCGTTTCTGCCTTTCGATCCACTCCAGTCGTGGCAGCTCCTCCTGCAGCTCTTCAACCCCGTTGGCATTGCTTTGTGTTGGGATGGCCCCCCCAGTCGGCCTGTATGTGTCTTTGCATATTCACCTGGGGGAGGGTGGTCTGGGACCCTCCGGAATGGAATTAGGGCAGGGGGATCTGAGAACGTTCCCCCCTTGATGCCTTGCAGGTCCCTCTTCTCTTCTTTGATCCGGCGTCTCCCACACCCAGCTGCAGCCTTGGTGTGGGGGACCTCCGAAGCGGTTCTCTGCAGCTCAGGGAGGGATCCAACCCAGCGCTCCCCCCAAGACCATTCCTGAAGTGTTCAAGGATAGGGTAGACATGCACACGGTGGGCGTGTCATGAGCAGAGCCGGGGGTCAGACTAGATGACCCCGGAGGTCCCTTCCGACTCGCTCTGTTTGTATGTTTCTATCTTGACAGGCTAACTCTTCCTGTAGGCAGATGTACCTGATGGCGGCCCTCCCCCATCAATATTCCAGCCCGCCAGGCCACATAATTGAATGTTAGTCACCACAGTATAATGTGGAGTGGCAGACAAGGAGAGAAGCTTAAAACCATGAATCTGGCCTTTGTTTCTCAATCTTACTTAAAAGTTTGCTAATGAGCCTCTCCCCTCCCCGTGCCTTTTAGCATGGCAACGAATAGTCCTTCCTCTCACGTCTTGCTGTAAATCCTCGCAGTTTGATTGGTGCCTAGGCAGTAGTGCTGGGTAACTTAATTCTCAGGAACGGCATTAGATGCCAGTGCGAAGGCATTAAAAACACACTTAGCGCTTCCTCTTTCAAATGCCAGCTTCCCAGGGTTGTATTTCAGATGGCACGAAGCATCTCTTTATTGATGTGCATGAAAATTAAGGAGAGGATTTGTTTTGGAGTGTAACATCCTTTATTTAGTTTCTTTTGGATTGTCAAATTGCTTTCCAAACTGTGGTCCGTGAGCCGTTAGCGGGATGCCGAGCCTTGGTCGGCAATTTGCAGGTTTGGCCGTCACCAGACAACCGGCTTCCGGGAGGTTTTCTGTCTGTCTTCTCTTCAAAGGCAGCTGAACCCGGCATTTCCCCATCGGATGCCCTCCAGAGGGTTTGGATTGCAACTCCCATCAGCCCAGAGCCGCATGGGTAGGACTCGGGGGTGATGGGAGTTGCACTCGACACCGTTTGGAGAAATCTGGCTGCAGGTGTTCAGGGGAGACTTGGCTGTGCTCCAGATGTAACTCAGGAGAGTTTGTGCTTCCATATTTGTCCTCTGGGAATGGCTGGCAGCTGTTCTTTGGGGCAGGCTTCCTCCTGCTGCGCTCCTGGTGCTTTGGATCATGTCCTCCTTCAGCCCTAGCCATCCTGGACACTTGTCTTTCTCAGGAGGTGGTGGTGGTGTTAGTTGCGAAGTCGTGCCTGACCCATCGCGACCCCATGGACAACATTCCTGCAGGCCCCCCTGTCCTCCACCTTCCCCCGGAGTCCACTCAAGCTCACGCCGACTGCTTCAGGGACTCCATCCAGCGACCTCATCCTCTGCCGTCCCCTTCTTCTTTTGCCATCAATCGTTCCCAGCATCAGGCTCTACTCCAGTGAGTCCTTCCTTCTCATTAGGTGGCCAAAGTATTTGAGTTTCATCCTCAGTATCTGGCCTTCTAAAGAGCAGTCAGGGTTGATCTCCTCGCGGACTGACCAGTTTGATCTCCTTGCGGTCCAAGGGACTTGCAGGAGTCTCCTCCAGCACCACAGTTCGAAGGCCTCAATTCTTCGTCACTCAGCCTTCCTTATGGTCCAGCTTTCACAGCCATACATTGCAACTGGGAAAACCATCGCCTTGACTATACGCACTTTTGTCGGCAGGGTGATGTCTCTGCTTTTTAGTATGAGGTGTCAGGGAGGGAACAAACAAGGTGTTTTACGGTGGACGTGGCCCTGAGATGCTCGCTTTATCTCCCTTTCCGAAATCATGAGAACATTTCCAACCTCAGAGAGAATTGTACTGTAGTCGCAAAGATGGAGCTTGCCTTAACGCTTCTCCGCAAATGGTGGGAAAAGGATTCCAGGAAAGAAGGGTGGCAAGAGCATGAAAGTCCCTTATGCTGCAGCCCCTCTCTGAAATTCAGTGGGTGGTCTCTCCCCCGCTCCTCCCCCTGCCCTGCAGCAAAAAAGTAATGATGCTGATCCGCCCTTTATGATTGGTGCAAACATGATGGTGAAATCGAGGTGTGTCGGACATTCTGAATACCCAGGAGTGACTCTGGACCCAGACTTTATCCCAAGAGCTCAGCGGGTTCGGGCCAAGCACCCACAGTTTCCGGGATGTTCTTTTGTGATACCTCCTGGAAGCCCCCCAAGGGGGCACCTGTGTTGGACGAAGGGCTTCTTTCCCTTTGAAAATCCCTGCCTTGGTTTTGCCCGCCAGCTCTGCGTTCCCCGTGACACTCTGCTTTGCTTCGGCGTGATTTCCGTGTGTGTGGGTGTGCGATTGTGCGCACACAATGCCCCCTTGTTGGGATTTCGGCTTGCAAAATAAGGAGAAGGTGGCTTGTGATGACGTAACCGACTTTGCTGCCTGGTAGGAGCTTCCTTTGAAATATCAACAGCAGCTCTTGAGAGGCTATTTTTGTCATTTGGGAGGAATGTACGACTTCTGTATCATGACCCTCATGGTCTTGAGGAAGGCAGTTCCAACTTTCTTGCAACTGCTAGTTGGATAACAAAAGAGAGATGGGGCAGAAAGAGAGAGAGACACACACTCCTTTGGCCCTTAAAACTGTAAATTCAAGGATGTTTTGTAACAGCTCCATTCCCATCCTCAACCCTCTTTCTCCTCCTCAAGTCTTAATCAGCAGCATTTTGAGACGGGCATTCTTTTGCAATTTGCTTTAGATCGCCGTGGCTCCTGGCTTCCTTTTTCTTGCCATTCCAGATAGTATTAAAGTAAAAATCCAGCACTAGTTTACGATGGCCGTAGGAATAATCTTGCAGAAGGTAATCTTGTTTTCTTATGGGTGCTGTTCTTTCTTCCCGTCTGTCTGTCTGTGTTCTTCTTTTCACCCGCTGTGTAAAAACAGACAGGAACAAATGAAAATCGCAAATCGGCTGTTAGATCATCTGAATGCTATTGGAGGAGACAGTTCTGGCGATGATCTTGAGAATAAAGATGAGAAGGCTCTCAAGCAACTGATTCTTCAGCTGAGGGCTGACCTAGGTAAAGCCCTCCAGCACCCAGTCACATCGAAATCCACTCTGGTGGAGAAGGAAGGGCCTGATTCTGAACCGGCAGTGCAGATTAAGGCCGAGACGGAAGCATCAAAGGGAAGTGTGAAAGATACAGCCACGCAGACCGTGGCGGGCAATGCCACGAGGCTGAAACCTGAAGGCCCGAGCGTGGCCACGGAAGACCAAGCGAAGTCCGCGAGGCTAAGTGGCAGGCGCCATCCGAAGAGGGCCTGCGTGAAGGGCCAAGAGCAGGAGAGCCTTCGGCATACGAGCAAAACGTACAAAGTGAGTGGATTTAAGGTTCTCAAGCGCGGACTGGGAAGATGGCGGACGAGTCCATGGCTAATAGGGCCACGCTGGTTTGGAACATCTGGAAGAGCTGGATGCCAAAGCTGTGCAAATTACTTCCACATCTGTTTTCAAGCTGCAGCATTCCACCGGCCGGTTTTCTGGGCTGGGCTGGGCTACAGGCGGAGAAATGCTGGAGAGACCCTTTCCCCTCTGTCCCAGCACCTCCTGTCCTTACTGGGCTCCTGCCTATTCCTCCAGCTCCTCTTCAGCTGCCATTGTGGGGGTCCTCCCAGGCAGTTGTAGCTGAAGCTGTTAAGTTTTGTCCTTCCCTTCCCATGCAAAGCTGTAGAGGCGGTCCAGCCAGCTGGCCAGCTTTGCTGACCTCAAGGGCAGTCTCTGGCCGTGTCCAAGCTCTAGCTCCGGAGGGCTGTGGGAGGCACCCTTGCCGTGCTGTTGATGCTTTCGGGCCACCAGCCTCGCCCACGCTCCCTGAGGAATGCTCCCGTGGGAGACCAGCTGTCTCCGGGACCGGCCTTTCCTCGGAAGGAGATCTGTGGTGGCGTCCACTGCAGAAAATGCCTCCTTCCCTCCCTCCCATTCCGCCTCATACGCACCCTTTCCTGTTTCCCTGCCTGAGTTATTCCAGGGGCCGGAGGATGCCCAGTCCAGCGCTTGAGAGATGGTAGCCTGCTGCAGCGAGGAGATCATTGTTGGCCATCAGGATGATTTGTCCTCTGGAGATAGAGCTGGCTTTCTTTGCCATTAATGACGACTCAACCACTGATAGTTTCCATGACGCCAAAATTGGTGTTCAGGGGCAATCACAGGAATTCATAAGCTGACAGTGCTCCTTTTCCTTGTTAACTGAGTGTGAACTGGCCAGAGTTTCTGGAAGGACAAACCTAGAATAAGGATTTCCTTTTTAAAACCTATAGAAATCCAGCTTGTTAAGTCTACTGTTCAAAGTCCTGCTAGGAAAACGGGGTGATTCTCCTAACATTCAGTTTAGCTTTGCCTTCACTGAACATGCTTAGAAGTGTGGTCCTTCCTCTTGCCTCAGGTTATTCCCTGTTTCACTGATAAATAGGGAAGGGCTAAATTTCGTTGGGTGCTTTTTACATGTCCACTGAGTAGCAGAGGCCAATGTGTTCTCCCAATTTTGGCTTCGTTTCCCTGTCTTACTCGATTTCATAGCCCCGGTTAGTGTTTTCTCGCTAGGTGGATTTAGCAAGCTGGCTTGGGGGCACCGCTGGAGTTGGCTCTGTGGCATCGCAAAGCCAAAACTTCCCGCAGGGGAAAATCTTTTTGTCCTGTTCCCCAACTTGCCCGGGAACAGTTGCTGCAGCTGAATTGGTGGTCAGGAGACTCTTAGGTGATTGCATATTTTCCACAAAACCCCCCCTTTTCGTTCCAGCTCCCTTAGCAAAATTCGCGTGGCTGGACAGATCACCCATTTTAGCTTCCTGGCCTCTTTGCTTACGCCTCTTTCGTTGTGTCTCGCCCAGAGCGATCCTTGTTACCAGTTCAGGAAATCTCGCCTGCCCATTCCGCTGAAATCGTCAAGGTCAGCCGGAAGCACCTCCTTCGGGGGCGCCTTGCAAAAGACGGACCAGCACCTTCAGCACCGTGTGTTCACCCTGGATGAAGGTCTGAAAGGAAGGCGCCTGCAGCCCGAGCCCCTTAGCGATGAGTTGCTGCCCAGCAAACCTGAGACTGGGAGACCCGATCGGGAAGGAGGTAAGGTAACATGGCTGAAAACGCCAGCAGAAGGCATCTGTCGCTTGCTGTCGGCTCCCTTTTGATATGCCTATCCTTGCTTCTGAGTCGGCAGAACCGTCGGCCAGATTTATAAGATAAACCATCTGCACCCATATATACCTACCCTTCTCTTAGATCAGCTCTGGGGGCCCTTCTGCAAGAACCACCCTCGGGGAGATGTGAGGGGTGGCAACCGGGCGACGGGCCTTTTCCGCTGCCGCTTTCCATCTTTGGAACTCCCTCCCTGGGGAAATTCGCCTGGCGCCATCTCTCCTTTCCTTCCGGCACCTGGCAAAGACATATCTCTTTCGGAAACATCTTAAAGTTTAGCCTGCATGCTGTGGCCCTTTTTAATTGCTTTGACAGATGTTTAATTCATCATGTTTTCATTGGTCGTAATGTGTTTTTACTCTGTCCTCGTGCTTTAGGCATTGTGTGAAGGCCTTGGCAATTATAGGCCAATTATATTTATACAATTACATGTATAAATGCATGTAAATAAATAAATAGGCTGCGCCAGAGCCCAAAGGACTCTCTGGGCAGCTTACAGTAAAAGCAACAACGGCGATAGAGACAATAAGGTGAAACAGTGTTGGCCAGTGTCTGAGCAAACAGGGCTGGCCGAAGCAGCGCTTCCGCACCCTTTGCTGCTGACGCCACCAAGCCATGCCGCCTGGACCAGCTGGACATTTCCCACCCTGGGACGTCCAACTGTAGCTCAGCAGCTTCCTGATCGGGGGTACAGGGAGGGCTGGCAGATTCCCACGGGGACGGGAATCAGCTGGCGAGGTCTTGGACCACAGGCCTTGTGGCGCTGCCTGCTAGCACACTGCTGCCCGTTCGTTGGCCGCGATGTTTTGAGGCGCCCACTGTCCAGCTCCTCTGCTGAGCCAGACACGATGGAGGCTGGGCCCACAAAACGAAGGCATCCACAGCTGCTGCCCACGCCAGCTCGGACCCGTTACCTAGCCCAGTCTCAGCCGGTCCGACGTGCATCTCTCCAGGGTCTCAGACAGAGGCCTTTCCATTGCCCGATGCTTTTTTTGTTTTACGTGAGATTCCGGAGCATCTGGCCCCTTCTCCACACCACAGATGGGCACAAATCTTCTTGCTGGTGCCAGAGTGCAGGACACAGAGTAATCAACGCAAGTTGCGACAACCCAGATTCAGGCTGGGCATCAGGAGAAGCTTCCTCGCTGTCAGAGCAAAACAACAGTGGGACCAGCTGCCTGGAGAGGTGGGGGGCTCTCCCACACTGGAGGCATTCAAGGAGAAACTGATCAGCCATCGGAGTGGGATGGTGTGAATGGGTGTCCTGCAACAGCAGGGGGTGGACTCTAGGACCTTCATGGCCCCTTCCAACTCTACTGTTCCATGATTCTACGAAATGTGTGACTTTCCTAGTAGCTCCTCCAGATTCTGGAAGGGGTGGCTGTTGGTTGCTTGTTTTTGCTTTCTCCTGGATCTGGACACCCAGAGTGCCAGAATAGCAGGGAGAATTCCAGTCAAGTTCTCCCGCATCGCCTGTGTTGCACCTTTGCAGGACAATTCCCTGACTAAGCACTTAGACTGAGCGTCACAAGAAAGAGAAATCGGTCCAAGGCAGAAATGGGCTTGTGCAGAACATATATCTATACCTGGAAGGGCCGCCAGCAAAGGTTGCTTGGGCTGTAAATTCGCCTAATGGCCCGCAGAGGAACTCAGCGAAGCTGACAAGCCCACAGCAGTGCGGCGGATCCCTACAGCCAGCCAAGAGTTAAAAAAATGGCATCTGAACCACCTGTAGCGCAATCCCAAATGCTTCCTTGTGCACACCAGCTGCATTTCCTCAAACAAAGTGAGACATTCAGTGCTGCCCCCTACCTCGGCCCCCACCATGTTAAAATAATCTACGCTCCCTGTCTCCAAACGAGCAAGGGTCTCCGTAAAGATTTTTAGTGCTCTCCACCCTCTTCCTCATTCTGCTTATTCTCTCATATGCCACTTGCTCCGCACGGAGCCACATCAGGAAACCTGAGATAATGTGCCTCGTAAATACAGTGCAGGCATTAGCGTTCCGTGCTGCTGTTTGAGAGCAGAGGCGTAGGAACGGAGAGCTGTCCGTGGCGCCCAGCGGGGGAAGAGGGTAGCCCAGGGGGCTCGGCAGAAAGACCTGGTGGTGCTGTCGGCCCCTTCTGTGTGCATGAGAACAGCCTGGTTGGATCGGGAAAGACGCCCGTGCAGGCTGGCACCTTGGTGCTCGCACCGCCCAGGCAGAGGCTCTTGGGACTCCCAGGCTCAGGTTAGGAGCACAGCGGTCCGCTCTCGCTGGTGTCTCCCGCAAGGGCGGAGGCCACCGTTCATATTCTGCGCATGGCCTGATAGCCACGTCCGAGCGTCTCCTAGGAGCAGCGTGGGTGGCCAGCACGGTGCTGTTCTGACTCGGCTCTTCTGTAAGCGTGGGAAGCGGCAGCGGGGCGTTTGTCCCACTGCCCCACGAGCCAGTCCCCTCTCCAGGGCCATCTGCCACGGTGCATCATGCTCAGAGCACCATGGGTGGCTTTTGGATGCATGTGCCCATTGGGTAGGACATCTGTGCGCGCATAACTAGGGACCAAGGCAGGGACACGCCGTGGTCAGGAAGAGCCACCCCCCCCCCCCTCATAAGGGGTTTAAAAAAAAAAGATAACCCCCCACCCCCCCAGTCCTGTCCCCATGGCCTTTGCCTCCCCCCACCAGCACTGGAAGGGGAGCCTCTGGACCTCAATTCAGCCTCTGGGCCGGAAGACATCCCCCAGTCCAGCTTGCCTTTGAAAGGAGCAATTGCTGCCAGCTGGTGATTCAGGCAAGCAATAACCCTTCTCTTCCCAAGAGATGAGTTTCCTTCATTCCGATTCCCTATTTTATTCCTGGCATCCCTGAAATGCAGCCAGCCTGCCTTCTCTCCCCCTTTTCTCTAGCCGATTCCTTCATCCAGCTGGACAGCTCCGAAATGGACTCGAGTTTGCTCACCGTGGAGAGCAAAGGAGAAACGGAGCAGGACCGGAGCACCAGCCAAGGTATGGAGGAGAGGTGCAGCAATGCCTGCAGGGGGGGAGGAAACCTTGCTATAAAAGCATCTAACCTTTATGCAATTAATTGCCTGTTTTCCCCGCATCCCTAGCTTTTAAACACGGCTTATTTAATTAGTCCAGAAGCCTAGCTCTAGGAGGTTACGCTCCAGTTTACTCTGGATTACACTTTTGGGCTGTTCATGGGATTTATTGGAGGGCGGTTTCGAATACAGAGGGGCCGAGGGAGGCTAGAAATGGCCAACGGTGCTTTTCCCTTTCAATTGGTGTTTGCTTTCCTGGCCTCTTAAATGCGTATTAGCTCTCCTCCCCTGCTCTGCCCTCAGGCACCTCTCCTCTAGCCGAGTCGATGAAACTGGATGGCTCCGAAGTCGAAATCAGCTTGATCGGTGTTGAAAGCGAAGGCGAAACGGGCAAGGGACAGAACACCAGCCAAGGTATCTAAGAGACGCGCCGCAGTGTGGGGAGGAGATGGGGCCAGTCAGACTGGCTGGCCAGTTTGTTACTTGAGTGTATAATTGCAAGTGTGGCTAGTTCATTCGCATGGATTTGCCCCCCCCTTTTCCCTTCCATTTGTCGCTTTTAAATATTGTCCTAATTCCCCCAGAGTTGCAGCCCTTGCGAATCATCTCTTCAGGGGCAGAATTGGAAGGGCCTCTCAGATTTATGGGGGTGCTTTCTGATCAAAATGGGGAGATGTGGGCTCAGCTCCCCGTCAGCTCTGCGTTTCCCTGTCCTGACCTGTAAAGTAAAAGCATCGAAGACATTTCGGAAGCTGCTGCCAGTCAGTGTAGGCCAGCATGGGCAGAGAGCAGTCTTGAGACGTTTTAGAGTTCAGTTTCCAGAAGCCTCTGCCAGCCATGGCTGGAGGTCAGGAGTGCTGGGCCTTGAAGTCCAAAACACATGGATGCCTAGTTTTGGGCCCCTCCTGATGCAGACCACACTGAACTAAATGCACCGTGGTGTGGCTCTGTCCAGGACTACATCTTATGTTACTAATTCAGCCCTTCCCTCAGAACAATAAGGACTAGAACCTTACTTCTGGTTTTAGGTGGTAGAGCACATCATTTGCAGGCGGAAAGTCCCCACAGCATCTACAGGCAGAGATGCCGGCCTGGGTACACAAGTCCTGAGCTGGACATACCCACATAACTTTGTATAATGCAGCTTCCTGGGACAAGGAATCTCCTCGGCCAAATAACTGTGCGCCGATTTGTTTTCAGAAACGGACACTCACACCCTGGAGGCAGGAAGAAATCAAGGATCTGATTTCCCGGAGAAGCAGGGTGCCGATGCGGCGTCCCTCTACTCGGCTTCCAAGAGCTTGCTGTCTCTCCGGCTGAGTGGGACCAGCACCCACGCCTTGGACAGCGAAGCCGTCCTCAGTGCGGACGATCTGAGGGCACACATCAAGGCCCTGAAGTCCAAACTGGAAGAGTATGAGACGCTCCTGAGCCAGTTCGAGCCGGCCAAGGAGGGCCCTGCCGCCGAAGTGGCTCTGGGCGAAGCCGAAACCAAGGAGCCGACTCTTGGCGGCCGCCTTCTCTCGCCGGCCGCCTCCGTCCTGCAGCGGCCAGCGGAGTCTCAGATCCACGCCCAGGATCCCGTCTCCCCCGCGCCGGAGCTCGGGCGGGAAGAAACGGTGCACAGGCTCAAGGAGCTTCTGTCGGAAAACGAGGCCGAGCTGGAGAGAGAGCAGATAGCCAACATGCAGCTGCTGGACAAGGTCTGCCGTCTGCAGAGCAAGCTGAGGAGCGTCCCCCCGGAGTGGTGAGTCGGTGCACAGAGCGTCTCCGGGGAAGGAGATGGCCTGGCTGGGGAACGCTGAGAACGTTTCAGGAACGGCCGGGCGGCCTTGTGGGCCGGCTCCTTCCAGGCGTCATAACCAGACGGCTTGTGGGAGATTCCCTCTCCCCCTCCAAGCACGCGAAATGCCTTGTTCTGCCGTAAAGCCGCTTCTACGAATCCTCTTCGTTCTTCGGCAGTATTTTGCCTTTTGCATCTTTCGGTTTGGGAGCATCTGATTTTGATCAGAACATGTCAGGTTCACGGCATGCATGAAGCGCAGAGCAAAACAGAACGCATCCCCCGTAAATGATAGCCGAAATTTGCAAATGGGAACGGCGATGAAAAATATCTCATGGAAACGCAACGTGAATGAAACCTTGCTCTGTTTATTTCTTCGTTTAAAGCAGGGAGAGCAGTAAAAACAGACAAATTGGGTTCATTTCAGGACAGCTGCTCTGGGAAGCGAAATTGGTTCTGAATCTCTTGCCAGTTCTGGCTCCTGAGTCCCCTCCATCTCTGAATAACCAAAACAGCTAAGGAAAATATTGAAGGCGAACATTAGCATTATTAATTGAAGGGAATTTTAGTGCTGCAAAGTTGTTTGTCTTTTGTTTAAATCATCCGCCCCGCAATTTGTCACCACAATTAATCTATATTCTGTGTTCACCAGAACTGACACACATTTCATACTTGGTGTGTTGAATCCAAGTATTCCTTTCCAAAGACCGACTTTCAAAGGATTTTAAATAAATACATAGCATCATTTATTTCTTTAAAACATCCTTTGCGCAAGCCTCAGGAAGGCTTCCAAAGATTAAAAAATCATATAAAATACAATTAAAAACATTTGAGAATAACAACTCTCAAAACTAACAATAATAATTCAAAACTAAAAGAGAGGAAGAAAATGTGACTGTGAAAAATGTTATTAATTTTTTTAACATTATTAATTTAATTATTAAAATGATGGGCAAATAGAAAGGTCTTTACCTGGCGCCGGAAAGAGTAGAGTCGATGCCAGGCGGACCTCCCTGGGGAGCATATTCCATAGTCTGGGTGCCACCGCAGAGAAGGCCTTCCTCCGAGTAGATACCCTCCGAACCTCCTCCAAAGAGGATTCCCGGAGGAAGGCCTCCCCTGCCGATCTTAAGGGGCGTGAGGGCATGCAGGGAAAGCAGCAACCTCTGGCTTCGATCGAGCGATGGTCGCTGGAGTAGAAGGTGTAGGGGTTACGGCCATTTCTCCTTTGTTGGTCCCTTGGGCTCTCTGTAACTGGGATGCCAAGACTGGGGGAGCCAGAGATAAGCCAGCTGGTAGCTGAGGGTCACGCGCTCCAGAAGGCCAAGTCAACCTGCTCATGTGGAGTAGGGAAGGTCGGCCGTGGCCCGTCCGCGGGCCCGGTGGCAGCCAGAGAGGGCAGGCCAGCCGAGAAGTGCCAGGCGCTCCGGACAACTGGCCCTGAGCCAAGAGCACCTGTGCTGATCGCGTGTGCGGGCAATTTGAGCTTGGAAGGGAGAAAGGGGATCCGTTTGGAGTCTGCGTCTTGGCAACAGGTCAGACTTCCTGAATAACTCGCGCTCTGGGTCAGTGTGTTTCTTTTGTTGCTGACTTCTGCAATATGCTTCATTCGAGTCTGGTGGACTTGCACCAATGAGTAGAGCATTGCGAAACTCTGCCGCAGACCTGGAGGGCAGGGCCCTGTCGAAAGGAGGGAGAATCGATGCTGCTCGTTCCCGCGGGAGCAGAATCGGCTTCCTTGCAAGAGGCTCACTGTATCAGAGACCCTTGGTTCCTGCCGGAAAGTTGGGCCTTGTGCAAAACTCTAGCCCCAGAGCGGCATGATTGGCCCCTTTCTCAAGAGCTGGGTGCGCCTCGTCACCAACGGGGACGTTGCTTTTGCAGGCTTGACTCCCCAGTCCACTCGACGATGCGCGAGGATTCCTTCCTGCGCCAGCAGATCCAGGAGGGCCACAGCATCTGTGCCACCTACCGGCAGCACCTGACCAACCTCATCCGAGCCTTTGAGGAGCTGCTGCAGGCCAGCGAGGTGGAGTATTACGCTGCCGAGAGCTTCCGGGAGCTGCTCAATCGAAGCGCCCAGCTCTTCGAGAGGCTGGAGCAGCAGTGTCTGTACGGTGGGTGCTTTGGCTTCTTCTCCCGTCTGCGGATCCGCACGGCCGAGGCGCACGACCTGGTCTGGCCTCCCCTCGTGTTGCCTCGGCCCCCACAAGGCAGAGCAAAGTTGTTCTCGCCTTCCGATTCACCCCCACCCCATAATTTGCAGATCACATGAAGTCGGGGCCTCTGTGAGCCCTTTGGACAGGAGCGGGCCGAATTTGGGGTGCTGGATCTCAGCTCCGCAGGACAGCTCTGTCCACGAGGGGCCCCACTTTGCCGCTCTTCGGGTGCCCACCCTCTGCCTCCCTTGACCCTGTCCCGGACTGCTAATTGTGGGGTGCTTTGCTAGCTGTGGCCCCATTTCCCCCATGGAAGACTCTGCCACTAAGAACCTGGAGCTAAGGATGTTGGGATCCTGAGAACCTCTTGGAAATGGGCTTCATCCTAGGGGCTGAAAGAATTCGGAGGCCTGGCCCTAGACTTTGGGGCTTTTCCCCTCTGTGCCCCGCTTCACTCTCCGAAGCATCGCCTCGCGGGCCCATGTTTCACAGGCTGATGTCATTCTGGCTGTGGATGCTGGGAGATTTTAATGTAAGCAGCGCTCTCATGTCTTGTGTGTCCTCAACAGGCTTGAGTGCGTTCTATTATCATATATCAAATTCTTTGCATTGGAAATAAGTTTCTCCACGAATAAACATTAAAATGCCTTTCCGTTCAAATCAGCAGATGGTATCATATATACTAATGAAGTTGCTGACAACGGAGACAATTCAATATATCTTTGCACAACAGGGTTGCATTGAATCACCAGTTAAAAATAAAAATGAGGGGTGGAACGGAATGCACAAGTGTGCGGAGGATCCGATGGTACGGGAGGAGGCGCCGCCGTTCCGGGCACAGATCTGGCCGGGCATCCCTCTCCCCGCCGCCGAAGGAGCCTGCCTTTAAGCACGCATCGTCTTTCTCAACAAGGAGATAATTCTTAATTTCGTTCTGCCCTTTCCCGCAAGGAGTCCAAGTCTCTTGGGATGGCTTAATAAGCCCATCCCTCTTGATAGCCTATGGAGAGAAGTTGTTGAGGTGTGGGGCACTCTTCCGCATCTCGCTGGTCTTTTATTCATTCATTTATTTATTTATTTAAACAACTTATATGCCGCCCCATCGCATGAGCCTCAGGGCGGCTTACAATCATTAAAATTCCATATAAAATACAAAAAAATCATCAAATCAATAAAATACAAAAAATAAAAAAAAATAGTGGATCCAGCGCTGCTCTTCCCATTGCGTGCCCCCGTCTCCCATCCTCGGAGCTCCGTACCGAAGCCCCCCCAGCTCAGGAAAAGCGCCCGCGTGCCCTGCCGGGAGCACTGGGCATCGGTCCTCAGCGATGCCTCATTTCTGCACACCACCTCCTATCGGCAGGTGTCCATATTACAGAGCGGACCTTGGAGTCCGTCCCCGGAGGATGATCTCAGCAAGCGTTTGGTCTTCCCCATCAGACTTCCTCGATCTGGGCTGTCTCGCAAATCGTTCTTTTCTAGCCCCTTCGCGAAAGTTTCCTGAACAAAGTGACCAAGAAATGCGATCTTGTCAGCTTTGTTTTAAAGAGCCTCTTCCTTTCCTTCCTCGGCAGGAGAGTCCATAGATGAGGATATGACTAAACTTCACGGCCTGACACACAAGTAAGTTTACCCTTTTGTTGTCCCATTTTCTTGAAGTCCGAGGTGGGGTTGTAGCGGTTTCCCATTTTTAAAGCATCCAGCTGGGCACCCAGAGTCCAACGTGCCGTAGGTCAAGGCAGCTGGTTGCTCTCCAGATGTGGTGGCCTAGCCAGTGGTGGTTGCACCATCAAGAATATGAGTTCCTTGATTCAGAGATGACTCGGTGAACTCCGAAGCAACCTTGGGACACATTTGCTACTTCTCCCACGTCAAGAAACCCATCCAGACGTTGAGTACTGATGTGACTACATTGGCTTTTACAAACATGTTACTCCTTTGAGCGGGATTCATGGAGTGGCTGTCCCCAGAACCCCCTTCCTTCGAAGGTACCCATAAAGAGAATGGCCATGTCTCCGGTCCCGATTCAGCTTCTTCTGCCCGATGCCTTCCAGGTGTGCTGGGCTGCAGCTCCTGTCCCCCTGACTGCTGGCCACAGTGGCCAGAGCTGAAGGGGGTTGCGGTCCAGCACAGCTGTCCCATCTGGAGGATAGCAGACCGGGGAGGGCCTTCCGAAGGGAAGCCGCTCGCCGAGAAGGTCACCCTCCTTGACATTGTCTAGTGTTGATGGAAATCGCATCACCCGCCCCTGCTTCTTTCCACAGCCTGTCCAACTTCGAGCTGTCACAGAAATCCTCCTCCGTGGAGTTACCTGGGCACAAAACGGAACAATTGGAGGGTGAGCCGGAGAGACTGGAAGACGTTCCAGCCAAGTTTCCCGAAGGTAAGGAGCCACGGATCGGGCCTCGTTTCAGTGGGGATGCTGCTAATGCAGAAGGCACTCCAAAAACGAAGGGTATTTCTAATATCCGTAGAGGGCGCATGCTTTATTCATACACTGCGTAACAACACGTAGGAAATGCATCCTTTTCCCAGTCTGTTGCGGTGTGTGGATCTACAGGTTTTCCTCTTCTTCCCTGCAGGCTGTGGGATTGCATTGCCATGAGAGATTCTGCCCGAGGGGCTTTTTCCCCTTTTCCACTGCAGGGACCTTTTGGGGGGTCCCGGCCAGTGCGCCACCCTCCTCCCCGGCTCTTTCCTTCGGACGGCTTTGGTTTTCCCTTTTGGCTTTTCTTTCCCCCTCCTCTTCGTTGCTGTTGAAAGGCGATGGCCTGCATCACGTGTTTTCTGGTCTCATGAAAACCAGGGTCGTGTTTCCTCGGGATTCAGGGCGGCTGAATAATTGATCGGGGGCGGAGGGATGACCTGGAAATGCACACCAGGCTGCCAGGTTGCTTCTCTGGAGGCGTTGCTGAGGGCAGGTTGCAGTCGCTGTCTTTACGGTGCAGCAGCAAAGTGGAGGTTGTGTGTGTGTGTGTGTGTGTGTGTGTGTGTGTGAGAGAGAGAGAGAGAGAGAGAATGTTTCACTAGCTGGACTGTTGAATGGAATGGGTGAAGCATCGATGAATTCATGACAGATGCGGAAATGTTCAGCAGGTGGAGGCGGAGCTGTAGATCCATGCGGCAAACCATCAAAGGTACTGACTGTAGGTAGAAAAGGTGGATCCTTCATCTCTCGCCACGCGGTGGGTGAACGGAGCCTCTCGTCTCGTCTCCACGTGCTCTGCTTTGGCGTGTCCCCTGAGCTCTCGTTGCTTCCTGAAGCAGCACGTGTGAACCGGGCGGGTCCTTCCCCCTGCGCGTTTCCACCGAGGCTTCTCCGGGGACGTAGGGCACGGATGTCAGAGCTTCGTTCGCTTGCGGGGTCTGCTCGGTGGTGGGGCTGCTTGGCAGAATTAAGGGCGATGTCCCCCACCCAGGAGACCACCGCGATCCTTGCTTTAGTGCACCGGGTTGGCTGAGGGACAGGCGTATGGGTGATGCGGAAGGCAAGGCGGGATGCCCGTCCCTCCGCCGTGCGAGGAAAAAGCGCACTCGATTTGTACGGATCTGCGGTGCTTCCCGTGCCTTCCTGGCCCTGGGCCAATGTTGCGCTTCTCCCAACGGTTCCCAGAGCTGCTGATGGAGCATCTCCAGGAGATCGGGCGGCTGAGGCACCAGCTGGAGGAGTCCATCCGGACCAACGACCGCTTGAGGAAGCAGCTGGAGCAGCAGGGGCCGGGCGCTCCCCTGGACCGAGGTAAAAGCGGCCGGAGCCGAGGCCCGCACCGTCTCCCGGCCCGCATGCAGCCGGTGACTCGCACGGGATGGGGGGCCCTGTTTGCCCAGGCGAGCAGCCCTGCTCCCCGCTTTGCAGGCAAAAGGGAGGAACGCACCGATCCTTGTGCAATCCCCGCTACCCATTTCCCGACCCGGCAAGCCAAAATATTACCTGGCGGCAGGCAGACATGCTCCTGGAGGAAGCAACGCCTGGCATGCTCGTTCTTTAATCGAGTACGTTTTTCTCCCTCGAGACTACAATCCCTAGTTTCCCCAGCAGCAAACCCAGGCTCTGTGCATCTTTTTGCCTGAATATTCTGGGACTTGCAGTCGTGGGGGAGGAGATGCAGCTTTGGCGACGGGCTGTGCCTTCCCGGCTTTCCTTGCTCTCCCTGCTTGCCCCAAGCCTTTTCCAGGCTTGTGGATGGAGCACCCCAAAAGCTCTGGTCCCTTTTTGGGGCCAGCCGGACGGGCGACTGCACTGGGCACGGAAATCACTGGGGCATATGCTGGGCATCTTGCAGAGATGTCGGCACGCTGTGGGAGCAAAGGAGCTGAGCTGAATTTCCAGAAGCTCCCTGACCCGGCTCAGCCCCGGGTCCCTTTTAGATGCCTCCTGGAGTTTTGTGGGGGAAGGTTGAAACCTCACTGCTTGCCCACGTGCAAAGTCTCCCTTTCTGTGATACTCAAGCTGCGCGGACTAGCGACCGTGTCTGGTCTTGGAAACTGGTCGTTCTTTCTCCTAGCCAGTGGTCATCTGTAAAAGTCTCCCTGAACATACGCAGAGCGTGTCTTCCTTTCCCCGGGGCCACTGCAACCCTGCGCTTTCCCCTCCCATACAGAACTCAGGAGAGTTGCTGGTGGGACGGATGGCCGTGCGCGCGTCTCTGTTTTGGAGATGAAAAACTGTTCCCAGGGCTCTGGTGGTTACTGCACATTTAGCAAGCGAATATAGACTCCCTTGCCCAGAATTCCAGTCCAGGATTTCTTCCGCGCCCATGCATCCCCGCTTCACCATTAAATACTTCCCTGTTCTCCATCAGTCGCTGCAGGCGGGCGCTGGATTCTCTGCACTGGCTCCAGCACAGCCCAGAGGACCTGCGAGCCAAGGCTCCTGTTCAGCCCCTCGCCAAGCGGCTCTTGGCATTTCCCTCTGCAGGATCCGCCGCCACCTCTGCCTGCAGCTGCTGCAAAGGAAGCCCTTGCCCACCCACTCCGTGGCTCCTCCTGCCACTGGGTTAACACCTGAGTCTGGCAAGCTTGGGAGGTTTGGGTTCTGATGCAAAGCGATGCCTTTTCATGACACCTGTCCGTCCGTCCGTCCCTCCCTCTCTCCGAGACCACTTCACACAGGGCAGGGTACAAACCACAGCTGCTTCGAGCGCCTTGCAAGCTTAGAACTGCCTTCCTTGGCTGTTCCTCCAACGCCAAGGAAGGATCGGTTTTCAAACCTGCCTGTACAAGAAGACCTAAAACAATGAGCATGGAAACACACCTCGCTGTTCTGTTCCTTTTAGCCCTCTTCCTCCTCCTCTTTCTTTGGGCCCTAGCTAGAGAGCTAACTCCTCGTCGGTATCCTCTGGTCCTCCATTTTTCCGTTCCAAATGGAAAGTGTTCTCTGCGAATGGCAGCTTCTCCCGGGAGTAATTTACGCTGATGGAAAAGCATACGTAACTGCCCCCCGATTTTCTTGCTGAAGTATTTACATGCAGCGGGAGAGGAAGGCCATTCTTGCGTAATGGCCACACCTGAAATCGTTCCAGGTCTTTTATGGCTTCATAAAGATTCAGTGGGGGGGGAAGGACATCTGTTAATGTAGGAGGTATATATTATCTTAACACCTTCCCATCCGTTGCTTGAGCAAATGCATCCCTGGACAATGGTGGGGGAGGGAATAGAGGAGAAGGAAGGGAGCTGGGCGTATCAGGCTCCCCCCATCGGCTGCCTTCTAGATGTGTTGGACTACAGCCCCCATTGTCCCCAGCTGGCAGGAATCTCTCCTCCCCTGTCCCACTGCGGGTCTGATCCAGGGATGTCGGAGCTGCTTTTAGGGTCATAAACCTGTGGATCACTCTGGAGACAAAGACCCGCTCGATTCGTAGGTTAGAGTCGCAGGGCCTTTCCTCGTGTGAGCGGAAGTTGCTGCGGGACGTTCCCACACGCTGCGCTCCAGCACTAGCTTTCCCCCCCTGCTGCTATTTAATTAAAAGCAAAGCAAGCCCTTTAAATGTATGGCTGCTTCTGTTGTTAATATAATTATTAAGATTTCAAGCCCGTGTTCCAGGGTGCTGTGCCGTCACGAGGGGCTGCAGAAGACGAGCACGGTTACGAGGCCGTCGTGCCTTCAGCAGATGCTCTCGTCCCAGGGAGAAGCAGAGGCCCAGGTGCTCTGAATTCCACCTCAGCCGCACCCCTGGCCCGTATTGCAAGCATGCAAATCCAAGCGCGATAGGTGGAGAGATTAACGGAGGGTTAATGATCCCATTCCAGGGCCATTCCAGGGCCATCTTGATCTCGGGCACTTTGCGTTAAACGAACTGGCAAAAACCTGCAAGGCACAAGTCACCCTCTCTTCCGCCTTACCATTTATCATTGCGATCTTCATCCTCGCCCTCGTCCGTTTCATTTCTAGACTGCTGCATAGCCAAAGCGCTCTGGGTGGATTACAGCAATTTGCTTATTCAGTTTGCATCAAGGACCAGCTTCCAGTCCCTCTGAAGTGCAACCCTCTGCTCTAGTGCTGTGTGATCTTCTCGAAACCGTGACACCGGAAGTAAACTGGCCCAGAGAGCCTTGGCTATGGGGTAGTGTAGAAATGAGATGAATAAAAAATAATAATTAGGTGACTTCCAGATTCTTTGGAAGTGCAGCAGATTAATTATTATTATTATTATAACATTTCTATGCTGCCCCTTGCCGAAGCCTCGGGGCGGCTTACAACACAATAAGATACATTGAAATACAATAGACCATAATAAATTACCAATAAATACAAAAATACAAAAAATACACTGAGTTACAATAATATAACATTAAATTAAAATTAAAAAATCCGCTGGTCCTTATTTCCCCTGCTCTTCCTTATTTATTTAACACTTTTGGACACTACTGCAATAGCTTCATGGCTCTCTGGATGGTTTACATAATACAAACATAACAAAATGTAAAAGCGACATAAATAAAACAATTAAAACATCAATACTAGTAAACCATCAAACATAAAACAACCCCAACACAGCAGGGGCACCAAGTAATAGCATATATTAACATAACAGATTGAATAAATCTGAAAAGATTGCTATTAAAATACCAAATTTACTAGTTAAAATGACAGTCAGATTGCTTCTTGTATCTGGACTTTGCACGGCCTCCAAACTTCCTGCATTCCCTTCTCTCCTCTCCATCGCCCTTGGTGTTCCAGGTGTGGATGCCACTGCCTTCATCCCAGTGCCGGCAGATTCCCAGCACAGAGGAACTAACCTTCCAGACAGTGAGATCTGAAGCGGTCGTCTTTGCCACGGTTCCTGGCCTGAACCTCTCTTGCTTCCCCGCACGGCTTTGCCAAGCAACCCGTGTATGATGCGAGTCTTAGTTCATTGGCATCCTAGCAGGGGCCTCCATGAAAGAAGCCGCCTGCGTTTCGATTTTTTGATTCCCCGTGCCGGTTGACCACCCCAAATTCAGTTTCTTTTCGTACCTGTTAGTGAGCATTTAGAATAGAATAGTTGTGGACTTGGAAGGAGCCTACAGGTCCCTTGAGTCTGCCCAGCTGCTCATCTTCCACGTGTGGTCACCCATCCCGTGGCAGGCTCACACCTGTCCAGCGAGCAAAGGTGGGTTGGCTTGCCAGCTCGATGCGGGCAGGACTGGTGGAGAATGTGGGCTCCAGCTGAGCGCGGGGCCCAAGAGGAGAGGTCTCGGCCACCGAGGGCCAGATCTGGCACAAGCGAAAGACCCGAGGGAAGGCGGCAGCGTGGAGGCTAGGAAAGGAAATAGGCCGTTTCTGTTGGATGGGTTTGCGCTGGGTTTCAGTAGGATCTGAGAACTGGGCGGACGATTTCATGGGGAAAGGACCCAGAGCGCCTGCTTCCCATATAACTGGGAAACAGTTTAATAAAGCACAGTATGGGGGCCGAGCCCGACACGTGAAGCAGCGCAACACTCGCCCTTCGCTTAAGAAAAGACCGTTCATCATGCAGGGATGCTTCAGTCTGAACCGATCTGCTCTCAGTTCAGACCCCGTATCATTTTGCAGAAAAGGAAGCCTCCAGGAGAGCCAGTTTGGTAGGAATGTGGGACCGGGACTCGGTAGGTCTGAGCCCCACATAGCTAGGAAGCCTCCCCGGTGACTTAGGACCAGGCACAAACTCTCAGCCTCAGCTACCTTACAGGGTTGTTGTTAGGATAAGATTGTGAGTGTGAAGAAGAGGATGATGAAGTCACCTTGGGTTCCTAGAAAGGAACAAAGGTGGGATTTGCATATAACGATCCAAACACAGCCTGTCGTTGAAGCCTTTACGTTTTCCTGATTTTGGGCCACGGAGAGAAACACGCATTTAAAAAATTCGTATGTTTGAAAATTGGGCATAAACACTCTTGAATCAATAGGAGCGAAATGTGTCCCATTAGAACTGTGCCCAGCGGATGCACCGGTGTATAAAATGCACATGCAAACCGGCACACGGTTTTGCATGAAAAGGAAGAAAGTGAAACTTCCGCTCTGCAGCACTGGAGCCGCGTATGGAGCAGGAAGTAAAAGGGGGAGGCATTCCAGGCCGCACTCTGCCTGGTGCTGCCCCACCTGGGGCTCAGTGAGAAGCCCCTGGCCTCCAAGTCCTTGAGAAACTGGAACGAGGCTCTTAGGTTCAAGGGCTTTGTCTGGCAGCCAAAGCCCCGCTTCGCAAGTGGTCTTTGCCCATGTTGGAACCCGGGCCCAGGGACCCCTGGCGTGCAAAATCAGCCTTCCCTGCAGAGGCGGTCTCGGTCGGGCCGAGAGCAAATCCAGCACTCACCGAGCACAAATTTAAGCCGCCTTCTTTTAAAATGTGGCAATTTACCAGGCCGTTGGAAATGACTGCAAATTTGTCTTCTCACAATCTCTGGCTGGAGGCCCAAGATAAGCCTGGCAGTGTTTGTACCCACTGCCATTATCTGCCAGGGATAATTTGCAATTTTTGCTGATATTCACCCAGCATCAGAAGTGTTGCTGAGATGAGTTGCTCGGAGTCCACCTGAATTACCTTTGGCTCTGTAGCGGTGATAACCTTCAGAATATGTAGGGCATAAATAGCTTTCGTAGTGGGTCTATTTCCCCCCTCCCTGCATTGTTTAAATTGTTCTTGTCTGGAAAAGTTTAATCTTTACTGACCTAGAGATGGCTCATAAATCATTTTTATGTATATATTTATAGGTTCTGCAAGCGTCTGTGTCTGTGCCTCAGAGCAACATAATTCCCTGACTTCTGAAATTCATTTCCTGAGGAAGCAAAATCAGGCACTGAATGTAATGCTGGCAAAAGGATCCCGAGGTGAGATAAGGAACTGGGTGTAAAAGTGCGGGATGAAAGAAGGGAAGGGGGCATTGTTTCTTTTGCCATTGGAGAGCAGAAAATGGGTAGGACAATATTTCCATTTGTGTTTTGGCACCGTACCTGCCCGGGAACATTTTAAATGCCAGGTTATAGTTGGCCTGCTAAAGATCGCTGAAAATGCTGCTTTAAAACACAAACGCAGGTTACTAATTCTCATTGTTTTATCTAATGTCTTTATTCAGGTATGTGTATATGCGTTAGACCTTCCCAAGGGCGCCTCACTGTCTGAATGAAATAATCAGCAATTAAACCACAAATAAAACCTGTTATTTATTTGGGAGGGAAGCAGCTTTTGAACCTGGAGGTTCTGTTTAGTTCTCATGGCTTGCCGGCTTGTAATATTTATTTATTTGTTACCTTTATATGCAACCCTGTAGCCCGCAGGCTCCCCAGGCAGTATGCAAATTTTTAAATCATAAACTAACAATTTAACCCCTGTCCCCTGACTTGGCAACAAATAATAAACAATATTTAAAACTGCCTCAGCAGATAATAAAACACGAGAAGAAGCTTGGTCCTGATGTCAGACGACTAATAACACACATCTCCAAATTGTGCAGTACAGTTCTTGGCCCCAGAAATGCATATTTTGTTTTTTTGGGAGATAATGTACACAAAATGTGTAGTTTAGAGAAAACCACAAGTGTGTGTGTGTAAAACCCACATAAACAGGCTAGATTAATGAGTAAGCCCACGCAAAACTGCCATGGATTGGAAACAGATTGTTCTATCCATCTCTCTGCACCTGGAAATAGAAAAAAAGAAGATTTCTTTTTTCTCTTTTGCTCTCTCCTTACCGTATAACCTCTTCTACATCTGAAGGAGTGTAAGGGTTGCGTGTTTGTTTTTCTTTTAAATAATTGTTCCCTTCCAGTGCCGCAGAAGAAAATTGAGGTGCTAAAACGGTAAACACCAGATGAGCATCTCATCTTGGTTATTACTTCTGCGGCGCGTGTGCACGTGTTTTACGTTAAAAAAAAAAATTAATCTTGACTTCCCCGTGCTGTTTGGCTGGAAGGGAGCGGTGGGTATTACAAGGCCTTGAGCTTTGTCTCCCTGCAGACAAGCAAAAAGAAAACGAAAAGTTGCGAGAATCCCTTTCCAGAAAGGATCTCGCCCTCCAGAGCCTCCAGAAGGATTTGGAATGTCTTGGGAAGGAGAACGAGAAGCTGCAGAAGCAGGTGAAGAAGCGAGAGGATGAGAACGGGCACCTGAGCCAGGAAGTTCACAACGCCAGGAATGAATTGAACAGGTAGTAAGCCTGGCCTTGGCTCAGAGTAACCCTGTCATCGTAAAGCCAAGGGGCTGTGCGGGGGTGTGTGTGCCAGTGCGGTTGTCCTCCTTCTCCTTGGCAGCAGAACGAAGAGCGGGATTCCACGCTTCAAGCCATGAGTCCAGCGGGTCTTGTGGTCGCAGTTTGGCAGGGCTCAGAGTTGTCGGTTGCGGGTGGGAGCTGGTTGCAGACTCTGATGGGGTCCTTCCCAGAGTTCGGGACAAGCCGGATTTCCCAGGCCGGAGGGCAGCGGAGAGCTCGAAGAGCTTCTGGAAGCCACAGACGCTGGTCTAGGTGCCGGTGCGAGCAGGAGCAGGCCTGGCTTGCACCTCACTGAGGTCTTGGGCCTCCCAGGCATCGTGCGGAGCTCCACATGGAGCCCAGCGCCGAGGACCACGGAGCGTGGTGGCAGCTTCGGCACCAGCATCCTTGTAGCCTTTTGATGACCAGTTTAACTCCTGTGGAAGCTGGGGCGCTGGTCCCACAGGATCCTGGGGCTGAGGGCCCCGGAAGTGAGAGGGGCACTCCTGCTCCCCCATCGTCGCCTTCTGTGTCGGGCTGCTCCTCTTGAGCAGGGGGGGATTGGGGCCCCGAGTCACGATGGGGGCTTGGCCCCGCGTTCCAAGAACGGGAGCACATCGAGGGCACATGCCTGCCGTTGATGTACAGTCCGTCCCAAGCAGAGGCAATTAGTGTTTGTGTGCGCTTGACACTGTTTCCCCCATCATTCTGATTGAAGGCCCCTGACTTGGCTTTCTCTGGTGGCTGGAGAGCGCTCCAGCGCCCATCTGCCCTGCAAAGACCCAGAGCTGCAGGGTGGGGATTCGAGAAGAAAGCACATTACAATTGGGGAGCTGTATTATTCACCGCAAAGCTCAAAGAGAAGTGATTAAGGCGATCTCTTGGAGTGGCCGGAAACGCAGCAACCCACACCTGGGAATTATCATGGCTTTGTGTGTCTATCCCAGTCTTCTTCCTCTTGCCCAAAGCAGCTCGCTTGGCTCCACTTTCTTCTCACAACAACAACCCTGGGAGGTTGGGCAGAGACTCGGTGGCTGGCCCCAGGTCACCCTGCGAGCTGCACAGCCCAGTGGGGGCCAAGCCCCCCTCTCCGGGGTCCCCCGCCCAGCCACACTGGCAGCAAACACGGCGTGGCCGCAGCCGGGCGGTGCCGGCACGTGAGCCCCTGCTGACCGGTTCGATCGGCCCGTTGCAGGCTGCAGGCCGAGGTGGACGCCAAGCAACACCAGCTGTCTGAGAACGACCGCCTGCTGCGCTCGCTGCGGCTGGAGCTCACAGTCTTCGAGAAGCTGGACGAGACCCTCCGAAGCCAAAAAGGTACAAGATGACGCCTCCCTGCCCCTCGTCTTCCTTGGCAGCCGTCCCGTCGGACCGTGGGCTGTGAGCTGCTCCCGAACGTTGCTGCAGAAGTTTGGGACTGCTACCCCGTTTATCGACTCAGCCAGTCGGACTTAGTCTATGCAGGGGATTAACTGGGAGCTGGCTTCCCCCAAGGGGAAACCAGGTGTACCCCTTCCCACATTCTGACATTCACTGTGCCCACTTCCTCCTCCTGCATCATCAGCAAGACTTCAGTATTTCCAGCCCTGACCCGAAGCTCAGTCTCAAGCCCAACCCCAATTAAGGGCTCTATTCCTCATACCAGAGTGTATATTTTCAAAATATCAGCTTTGTGGGGGGTTTTCTGCACAGCTCCGTCTCTTTCCATGCTAAGCACTTTCCAGCCCTCCTCCGCTTCAGTGGCACCCTAGTTTTTTCTAACCCTAACCCCAGTCTGAAGCTTTTTCCTAACCAAGGGTTCCTTCCCAGTATTTGAAAATCCCCCCGTGGTTCCTTCATAGTCTGTGGAAAGACTCCCATTTCAGCTGTGTTTTGCCTCCAGCAGATTTCACAAGGAAACCTGGAGGCTTGGGAGAAGCTTGGAGCGCCCGTTTTAGAGCCGTAAAAATGGGTCTGTGCGTAGGTGGTGCCAAGGGGGAGGGGTTCGTCCAGCCAGAAGCCCACCTAACTGAGCACGGATGGGGTCGAGGTTCTGCATCCAAGCCCAGGGATGCAGGCTCTGTTGTCCAGACTGATTCATTCAGGCCTGAGGGACAGAATATCATGGCGTATTCAGTTTTCCCTTCTAGCACGATGAATGCGAGACGGGAAAAGTGTCCCTAGAAAACTGTGATCCATGCCGGGACCACAAATATAACTCAATCTGCTCCGGAGGCCAAAATGCACCATCTTTCTGCTGAGTTAAGAACATTTGGGGTTCTCGCATGATCCCCGGTTTTCTAGCGAAGCAGCAGCCCTCATTCGCAGGATCCATGTGCTGCCAGCCCCTTAACATCCCGATGCTCATGTTGTAATTGTGAACATCCATTCTGCTATCCCGAAAATTCCTTCCTTATCCATGCCTTTCTTTTCTTTTTCCAGCCACACTTCCAAACGCCCTTCAGAATTTATAAATCTTTTTCATTCCAGTCTCTTAATATACATAATTTTGCCTTGGGTATGCAACATTAGCTTTTATGGACAAAATGAAAAATATTTTTGGCTGTTATTAAATCTTTGGAGGGTAGAAGCAATTAAAACTAGAGGATTGTGTGTGTGTGTGTGTGTGTGTGTGTGTGTGAGAGAGAGAGAGATTTTTCTCCTGCTAAATCATTATCTACCTACTGTTTGTACTTAGCTCTTAATATCTGTCTCAGATGCACTAATTCAGCATTTTAATAATGGCTATTTTAATTGTTTGCAATGGTAATTAACCCCTCCTCCCATATTCACAGATCACAGATCAGACGAACGCTGGAAAGATCAAACTCACCCACTTGGCCTGCATGGGCTGCTGACTGAAATGCAGAACTTGAGAACGCAGCTTGAGCGAAGCATCAAGGCGAACAAGATTTTGCACGAGAAATTAGAAGAGCAGCTTTCGAGAGGAAAGAGAGAGAGGGCTGCCTTGGGGTCGACCCGGAATATCCAGTACCTTCTCGACCCTGAGTGGGAGCACTTTCGGGGGGGAAACGGTATGCAATGCCATGCATGTCTCGGTTTGAGGAGCCCTGCTCAGGCGCAACGTGGCAGATGCGCATGGCGGAGTGAGCGTGTCCGTCGGTCGTGTTTGGGGTGGGGGTCCCCACTCATCCTTTACTGCGGGCAGCTGGAGGGAGGAGCTCCCCCGGCTGCCATTTTGAATTAGATCCAACCCCTTTTGAGCGGACCCTGGCTTGTCATTGGGATGACACCTGGATCTTTCGGTCTTTTGTTCATTCGTTACCCGAGGCCTCAGGACAGTTTAGCAATAAAGCAGTGTGAAATAAAACACAGCATCCTAAAAAATTCCAACCAACAATAAAACCCCAATTAAAACAATCGGATCTTAAAACATTGGGAAAATTTCCCCTTTGCCCAGAAAGGTTCGCTTGGCACCGACGTTCTGTTCTTTTCGGTGTCAGGCAAAACCTCTTTTATTTTCCCACTCTTTTAATGTTTAATTGATTTTAACTGGGGTTTTAGTATATTAATGGTCAGATGCTGTGGGTTTTTTTTAAATTTTACTTATTTAATGAAGACTTGAAGACTTGGCAATGAGAGTTTTGGGAACTTGGGGAGAGGGGGAACCCTCGAAGGACCCTCAGGGTGGCTGCCCACAAGTTCCCAGGTTGACCAGGTGTGCTTTGGAAGCGATGGAGGCATCCAAGATGGGGAGAGGGGAGCATCTTTGCCTTGCCGGGTCCCTGACCCCGTGACGAGGCACTGGGAGAGAGAGCTGCCCATTAAAGGCCTTGCAGAGGTCTCGTCAGCTAGCCCTTCCCCAGCGGGAGCCCAGAGTTACTTGTGGAGGTTCCTAGTTCGCGTTCTGCTCTCTTCACATGAGCAGGGGCTAAGCTTCCAGGGCTTTTAGAGCTACTTTGCCTTGTCTAAGGGCAAGAAGGGAAGGTTCAAGCTCCAGGATCCTGGAATGTTTCCCGTTAAGGGGCAGCCTTCTAGAGGTTCTCTTTTGCAGTTGTGCGACCCCCTCCACCCATTAAAATCCTCTCCTTCCGCCTGTTCCCTTCCCCAAGCAAGTGCCCTCGGCTCAAGGAGGCAGCAGATATGACTGGAAGGTGCCTGCATTCAACATTCCCCAAAAACGCCCTTCACCTGTCCCGGGCAGGTCAGCATTCCAAGCCCCGCTTGGCGGCTTTCCGACTTGGCAACCTGCAGCCATTAGCTCTGTTTGCTTAAGCAAGGCGGAGAAGGCCGTTTTCCGTCCGCGACGGTTGCGTTTGGTTTCCGAGCTCCTTTGCGCGCCCGAATGGCCTGTTTTAAGGCACGAGGCTTTTCCGCAGGCAGTCGGCAGTGCTGGGGAATGATCAATATGTGCTTTGGGTGGTCTGGGAATAAATCACAGGAATAAATTCTTGCTCTCTGGAGGAATATTTTCCCCCTCTGCATTTGTGTCGCTGTTAAATAAAGGGCTCTATCAATTTAGAGCTTAAGGGGAGACGGAAGTATCACACGCCGCGCAAATCCAAACGGCGTGGGCAGTGCATTGCTGTTGAACTTAGCGAATGCCGGAAGGCTGTGGAGCAGATATTGCCGTTCTCTTGGCTGGTTCAATGTGATGCTTGTGACCTTGTTGAACCGAGCTCGATAAAGCAAAGGTAGGCGAATCGTGCTGTAGGAATGTATACGTAAGCGGGTTTGTGCGTTCCAAGTTTGGTGTCTGCCGCAAACTTAATTTTGCGGCACAGCTTCAGTTTCGTTTGCAAGGAGGGCCTCGAAATGGCTTCGAGGACCTCGGGACTCCGTTTCCCTCGTGTGCTCACGTGTGTGGGCACCCTGGTTTGAAGGGCACCTTTTCCGTTTGAAGTGCTTGTGTCTTTCAGCACGGCGTGGTTCCTTGCCGTTTATCTTCCATACTGTTTGGTTTGTCTTTTGAAACTTCTCCATTTTTTTCTGGGGTGCTGTTAGCCATTTTGGGGCTCCTTTTGGAGGAAAAGGCAGGCTATGAATCTGACGGGATTAAACTAATAGGGAAAATCTCTTTCTTTATTCCACAAAGGAGCTGATCGCCCTTTTGGAAGTCCTGTTGATCAATACCTTGCCTTGCTGCTTTACTGATCAGTTAATTATCCAATTCTCTGCAACACAGCAGTTTCAATAAACTTGCCTGATCTTGAACAATTGGGAATTCTCAATTGCATGGCACATAATCCAACCATAGTTAAGCCCTTTATAGAATCGGAGACTTCTGCAGCAGGACTTTCGGTGTATCACTGGTCTCATCCATCGCAACGGAGTTTAAATTGGCTAGCTATCATTGGCACGGGCGTTTTCTGCCTCTGTTCCTTCTTGGTACAGGGAATTTTAGCCGAGAGGTCTGTGGGGTAGCTGCTTGGAGTCCTTTCCCCATCCCTTTCAGGAGAAGGGCTAAGTTTGGCAAGTCTTTGGGCAGGTACATCAGAAGTCCCGTTGATTCTGGAGGAACCTGTCTTGCAGCTTCTTGTGACAGCCTTGGATTACCGTGCTTGTCTGCTATTTCACCCGCCTTTTTCAACCTTTTCTTCTGAGCCCATGAAAGCTAGTCAGCTTCTTTAAAATAACGATGTTTTTAAAAAATGGAAAGCAGAGAGACTCAGGAAAGGCCAGTTCGGTGGCAGATAATTAATTTTGTTGTGTTTTCAACCCTATCAGGGAAGAATGGGAGACATGTAGTGACACAGCCACCTTGCTGACCCTCTGCTCCTCTTTCAATAACTAGAGCTGAAGTTCTGTTCCACTGACGGCGGTGTCCTTGAACTGCAGCCGAAGCAAGAATGCGACACAGAAGCACTGAAAGCAGGTACTGTAATGAACAGTGAGTCGGGAGCATGTTTGCGTTTGTGTGCTGGGATGCTGAGGATCTGAGATTTAATGATTCTGTGCACCATTTAAAAAAACATACGTACATATTGCCGCTGAACCTGAGGTCTCATGGAACCATCACGATGCCTGGTAAACACGGAGGGTCTTACCCTCATAAATGCGTCTACGGTGTTTGGGGACTTTGCCTGAGAGTTGGGCGATGCAGGCTCTTCCATGCTGGGGCCATCCTAGGTATGGATGGGTTGTCTTCTGTTAGGGAAGGCGAACGAGGCAGATAGAAATCTAATGACTAATAAACAAGCACACAAATGAATGCTTGGACTTGGAGGTGCTGTTTGGGGCAGGGGGCTGGCCCTGATGACCTCCTGGGCCCCTCCCAGCTCTGTGATTCCACCGCCCAATAACTGAAGCTCTCCAGGCCGTTCTCAGCCATTTGATCCTAAGTGTAATTGTCCCCATGGACAGAACTGTTCAAGGAGACTCGGTCATTCCACTCCCGCAGATGCAGAGCTGGCCCTGGACAACGCGGACGGCTGTTCCCGAGGCAGCTCTTCGGCTAGCAAGTCCGACGAGTCGTTCCCCGTTGCCAGCCATTTCGTGTGGGCGGACAAGAACGGGCGGCACATCCTTGGCTTGATTGAAGACTATAACTCTTTACAGAAGCAAATCTCCGAGGGGCAGAAATGGTTGTCTGAACTGCAGCTGCTTCTGAAGGACGCAGAAACTCAGGGGCCTGGAGTGATGGTAAGAAGCGTGGCTTGGCGGGGCTTCAGTCCTTAATTTGGGGAGGGAAGGAGCCCGAATTTAAGAAAGGCGGAGGACTGAGCCGGTTGGCAGAGACAGAGCCACTGCTAACTAGAGATCGAGGGCTAGCGATCTGTGTGCGGGACCCATTTCTCCTGTAGGTGCTGGGTACAGAGAGAGATACCGCATTAGGACTGTCACCCAATTAAAGAATCCTTAGCTGATTAATCCTGTGATTTTTAATTGGTGAATCAATTAAATCTGCATGCATTTGTCTGTGAGGTGCCACAATCATTCTTTTTGGAAAAGTACTATATTTTTAGATGAAAACACCTGTTCTTGAATGTTCTTTAAAGGTCTTGGAACCAGGGGCCTGGGAAAAGTCGCAAGCTTCAAACTTGGGCGGGCCTTTCGCTGCCTTTGCGGCCGGCAAATGCCTTGAGCGGTTAAACTCTTGCTGTTAATAACAGTGTGGATGATGCGGAGGCTAAACGGCTTCTGCGAACCTGCCCCCAGAAATGCATCTTTGCAGATCTGCCTCCCCCCTGGAGCTGCTTTTTCCTTTCCAGTGGGGCCAGGCCCCGAAACGGCCTTGTTGTCCCTCCTCTTTCCACGGAGCATGTGCAGAGGAATCCCACTGTTCATGGTTCGATTCAAGTTGTCCCCCATCCCAAATCGCATCTTTCTGACGGGTCTCCAGGGTGTGAAGACTTCCAGATGGTTTCCTGGCATAAGTGGGAGAAAGAGCCACCATGTCCACACGGGGAAAGGGTGTCATGGGGGACTTGGGAAGGCACGGGAGCAGAAGGGGATGCTGGGAGCTGCTTTGAAGTGTGGTTGGCAGGGGCTGGTGGGCAGAGGAAGGATCTGGTGCCAGAGTGTAAGACACTCAAGCTGTGACAACGTAAGTGCAGGCTGGACCCCAGGAGAAGCTTCCTCACGGTCAGAGCAATGGGACTGTGGAACCGGCTGCCTGGAGAGGCGGTGGGCTCTCCCACACTGGAGACATTCAGGAGGAAACTGGGCAGCCACCTGAGAGGGATGGTGTGACTTGGTCTCCTGCAAGAGCGGCGGGTTGGACCTCATGGCCTTCATGGCCCCTTCCAGCTCTACCATTCTGTGATTCTATGAGCCCTCTCCTCCTCCTCCCACCCGAAGCAGTTGGGGTCACCCAGCAAAGTCTGGGAATGAATCCTTTTATTTTCTCCCATAGAAGTGCATGGCCACCGCTGGAGGGGACCCTCTGGCAGAAGGCCTGAGGAACGGCCCTTCTCTGGAGCGACACCGAAGGACTAACTGGTGGTTGGATCTGAGCAGACTGTGGTGGTGGTGGTGGTGGGGGGCAAGTAGGCCTCCCGTGTGGCTCCCCTCCCCGGCTGGCGGGGTGGACGGGTCCCCGCTGCTGCCATACACTTCCCAGAAGGCACGGGGCGCAGAAGGCCCCATCATCCTCCTGCAGCGTCTCCTGCCAAAACCATCTCGGAAGCACAGCTTGCCTTTTTTCCGGGGCAGCGGAGGCAGAATCGGCCCTGGGAGTTGCCGTTCTTCAGTGGCATCTCTCCATTTGTCGTCAAGTGTCTCGTTTTCGGCAGGGCGCACCTCCCTCTCTCTCAGCCCCCCTCCTGTCTCCCATCTCCCCTCGCTCGGCTCCGTGTTGCTTCTGCCGCATCCCTCCAATTCGTCATCCTGGCAGCTCTTTCCATTTGTTTCCCCGCTGCCTGCACAAGAAAATATTTTGCATTGCCCCCCAATAGTTGGGTTCCCATTAAATGGAGCGGTTTAAAAGGGTTTGCTAAGGGAGAAACATCTATATTGCCTAAATTAATGTCGGGAGTCATTTGACTTTCAAATAGGATGCCATGAAATGCAGAGAGGGAAAGGTAAAGTATTTTCCAAGAGCCGTGGCAAGTGTAGTAAATGTGACCCATTATTAATTACTCTTATCGATTGGGCTCCATCCCCGTTCCCTCCGCAACCCCTTCTTGAATAATGCATATTGCAGCTACCTTTTTAACCTAATAAATTAGTTTGCCTGGCACACAATACACTTGCTCATCAACCCGCAACTGGAATTCGTAGCAAATTGGATTTATGCTGTTCATTAAAGCTTTCGTTTTCCTAATCTTTTAAGAATAAAATAGAAAACTCCTCCTCCTCCTCCTAGGAGCTGCACCGGGTTCCTTGGAGCGGCCTTCCGAAAACTCTCCAGGCCACCCAGCTCAACCTTGAGGAAGCCGCACGCCTGTTGAAGCGTCTCTGGAGGGTCTCCGTGCCCATGAAAGTGGTCCACAGCGCCGCTTACTCGCTCCAGGTAAGGGGTGGTCGTACGGGATTTGTCCTGGTTTAGAAAAGCTGGATGTGCCCAGAACTGCTTTTGGCCGCCGAGGGGGAGGGGGGTTTACTTCATTAGCTCTGATGCTGGAATCACAGCAGAGAGCGTCGTAGCCGCTCAGGTGAATGGGGAGAGCGGGGCAGAGAGAGGAGGCAGTGAACAGGTCTTGTGTGACCAGGTTGCTGGATGTGGAAGACTTTGTTCCAGTCCACCAGGGCTATTATTTATTTATTGAGCAAATTTGCATGCCGCCCCATTCGCCAAAGCCTCGGGGCGGCTTGCAAACAAGAATACATCACCAATACAATTAATGTCCTCAGGTTCAGTAGCCCGAGTTATCCCGGCTGCCAAAGAGTTCTGTTATTCCGCTCGATATCCAAAGCAAAAGCGGCTCCAGTGAAACTGGAATTCTGTGCCTGTGCGGCCATGTGCAAGCAGCACTCTTGCCTTGCTTTTATTTTTATTTATTTAAAACTTTTCTAAAGCGTCCCATTACCGAAGTCTCGGGACGGTTTAACAGTACAAAATGTAAAAAAAAAATAATTAAACACCGCTTCCTAATAATTCAGCTGATAATAAAACCCCAGCTAAAACTGTCAGGTCTTAAAACATTGGGAAAATGGAAAGGTCTGGTCTGGTGCTGAAAAGAATAGAGCGACAGCACCAGGCGAGCCTTCCTGGGGAGCGAATTGCACAAGCAGGGTGCCACCGCAGAGAAGGCCCTTCTCTGGGTAGCCACCCTCCTAATCTCCTTCAGGGAGGGCAGTCGGAGAAGGGCGTCTGCCCCAGATCTTATGGGGCAGGCAGGCACACAGGGAGGGAGATGCTCCTTCAGGTCACCAGACCCTAAGCTGTTGAGGGCTTTATAAGCTATCACCAGCAGCTTAAATTGGGGCTGGCCTTCAACTGGAAGCCAGTGTGGGTGGAAAAGGCCTGGCGTTATGTGTTCGTCCCTCCCGGTCCCTGCTAACAACTCGATGCAGAAGAGAAGTGCAGGAGCCTTTTCTGGCATTCGCCTCCTGCAGGAGGAAGGCTTGAAGGCGGAGCTGCGCCGGCTGCGTCGGAAGCTGGCCGAGCAAGAAAAGAAGCTGCACGGCACGGTGAGGTGCTTGCATGCCGCCAACCAGACGAAGGAGAACATGGAGAAAGTCATCATCGATCAGCGTGAGTGAGCTTGCTGCCTTTCCCTGCCCACGGGTTCGTCTCCTGTAGCGGGCGCCCCTTCGGCCGCCCCTCCTTGCGTCCGATCACTCGGCAAGTCAGATTGCTTGGCTCCTTCATGCAGGTGTGGAGGCCATTGGGCTCCTGCCTGGATGCGCACACACACACACACACACACGGCTCTGGCAGCGCTCACTTACCCAGACGGCAGGGCGGAAAACTTGGCAGCCGTTTCTAAAACACACGCAGACATGGGTTCGTGGAGGTAGGAATGTGTCCCTTCGGAAAATATGGGGAAACTGTAGGGCTTTCTTCCTATTTAACCCGAAATGAAGAAACAGACAGAACTGGCATGAAATGGGTGTAGAATTTGGGCGCAGCGCCTCCTGGGCAGACGTGCCGTTACTTGTCCCCTGGTTCCAGCTGGGTCACTGCGGTACGTGCCCTCCGGGGTCCCCTTGGTGGCTCTCGCAGAACTTGTGCAGCGGGCCCTGGTGCAACACGTGGCCTTCGAGCCGTTTGCCCATCAGGGAGAGATGATGGGGGTTGTCGGCCTGAACATCTAGTTGCCCGCCCCTGCTTGACAAATCAAGGGGTTGTGTTGTGTGCCGTGCGTGCGTGCACACGCGCATTTCCTGCTCCTCCATTTCGCAGATGGACCCCTGGTCCAGAGACCGCCTTAGCCCGCCTGGCGGCCTGCAGACTTGCCCTGTTGGACTCCCCCTTGCCTGGCCCCCAGAGGCACCGGGTTCCAGCTTTTGCCGGCTCGTGTGACCCCGGGGCCTGGGATGATAGGAGCTGCAGTCAGGTAGAGCTGGAAGGCGCCGGGGTGGGGGAGGCTGGTCAGTGCCAGGGGACGGGGTGGGGGCAAGCTGCCGCTCCCCACTTGCCACAACCTGGCCCCCTCCAGCCGCTGTGGACCACCGCCATCAGCCTTCCGGACCTTGCCCCCTGCGAGCCGGGGCCTGTCTGACGCAGCCGGAGGCACCGAACTGGGAAGGCTGGTCGGTGCCGTCCACGAAGCTGCAAACCTTATTGTGTTGTAAGCCGCCCCGAGGCTTTGGCAAGGGGCGGCATAGAAATGTAATAATAATAATAATAATAATAATAATAATAATAATAATAATAATAATAAAACCCTCCATTGCGCCACCCTTGCGCTGTGGGGAGAACAGCCCCTTGGGATCGGGCCATCGCTCCACTGAGCCCAGCTTCCTGTTGCTGACAGTGGCCAGCGGGCCTCCCCCAGCAGGATATCGAGGCATCCGGCCGTATTGCGGGAGCAGACTTTGAACGGATCGTCCGGCCCCCCTTGGCCCGTTCGCTGCCAGGATCAAGTTACGGACTCTTGTCTGTATCGACAGGGTGTGGGCCCTCAGCTGCCCTTCAGCATAGGCGCCTGCTTCCGTGCTTTGGGAGTGGGGCATTGTTCTCCTCCCGCAGCATCGGGATGGAGGCACCAGCTGACTCCCTGAACTGGTCCAGCCGCCGTTCCTTACATAATGGCATAATTAATCGGGCACTGAAAATGCCAGATTAGCTCTCTTTCCGCCCCCTTCATGGAAAGGTGCGAGAAATAGACCTGCATAAATGTCACAAATTCCTCAAACTACCGGAATAAATGCCTTTGCTTCTGATTTCAATTATTAGATTCAAACTCCTCACAAATATACTTTTTTTTTTTAAAGGTTAACACACATCCCTTTTCCACTGGCTCCTCATTTATCGCTTATTTTTTTAAAAAAGAATTTATCTATTAATGAACAGCGCAGGAAATGTGTCACTGGCTCGATCTCCTGCAGCCCCTTGTCGTTTCGGGAAAGGCGCTGGCCGGATGGTTTCATTTGTGCAAGTCCTGCGTTTCCTGAAAGGAGCAGGGCTTCGGTCTTGCTTCAGCGTGCAATTTTGGGCATGTCTCCTTGGAAGTAAGACCCATTGCATTCTGTGGGACTTACTCCCAGGGAAGTGTGTACGGAATCGGAGGCTGCGCCCTGGCAAGAGGCCGGAGCAGGAATTCAGGGTCATCCCTGTTTAGATTGCAAGGAATTCCTCCCAGGAACTTGTTCTGCTATAAATCTGTAGAGATGGCCACCCAGCATAACGAGGGTTTCAAACCCTTTCCGTGGAAAACGGATCTTTCCATGCCTCACATTCTTGGCAAGTCTCCACCCAGAGGTCCAGGGTCAACTCCACCTTGCCACCACGGCGCTGTCCCAGGAACTGGAGTGCTGAGTGGATTTCGGGGCGTGAGCTGGAGATGGGGCCGAGACCCCGGCTCTGCAAGTCCCGGGCAGGTGCAAGTTCCTGCTTGGCACCCTTCGCTGGCGATGGATGGGAGGAGTGGTCAGCAGGAAGCGGTCCTCATTTCGGTTGCCTTCCAGCTAATCCAACAAATAGCCTCGGGGGCACTAAGCTTATGCGCAGGGCATCTTCGGTGCATGCCCTCTGTGTGCCCCCGTGCCTGTTTCCCAGAGCTCCTCCTGAGACCTCCAGCACCCTTTTCTCTCTCCCTCCCAGGAAAACACCCTCCTCAGACTGTCACCTCAGCTCAGCCTCAGTCTAAAGGCTTGCTTCTCCCTCATCCCTGAGAAAACTGAACGGCCGAGGGGCCGCGAGCACCGTCTGTCTGTCTGTCTGTCTCTGTCTGTCTGTCTGATTCTTGGGAGAAGCAGCTTTCCTTATGTTGAGCGAGATCTGCCCCTCCCCTCTGTGTGTGTGTGTGTGTGTGTGTAGCACTTTGCTTCTGGCCAATGGGCAATATTTCATTCAATCGCTTCGTTTCTTATAATAATCCATTTCAAGCCACTTCTATTAATATCCCGCTTTTTTCCTGCAAGGAACCCCCAGCAGCTTCCACCCCGCTCTCCGTTTTATCCCGACAGGCCTCAAGCTGCCCAGCATCTTCCTGGCCAAGTGGGGAGTCGAACCCAGATCCCCCGGGTCCCAGCCCATCCCTTGCCACACTGAGCTCTCATCCTTATAACTATTAACCATACAAAGGGAAATTCATCGGGAATGCGATGCACTTGGTTTCTTGCTCCAAACCACAGTAAACGGCCAATGTTCACATACCCCGTTTATGCCATTTCAATACTATTTTTTTTAAGTGCAGGCCCACAGCCAGCATGCCCAGGGCTGTCCCCTGGCAGATCTTAAAACGTGAAGCATTTCAGCCACAAATGCGGGTTGCAAGAGTGAGACCGCCCAAGGGCTCCAAGATTCGGGGGACCCAGAATGGCTTCCCCACCGCCAGCGGGTCCCCACCGCCGTTCCCCACCTTCGTCACCCCTGGGAGCCGTTCTTGCTCTGTTCGTATGCAGCTTTTCCTGCTGGCTTCGCTCACAACTGAACCAGCCTGGCCAATGGCAAATAAGTCTTCTCTGTGCTCACTTTAGTAACTTTGACAGGGAGGGGGATTAACAGAGAGAACAAATTTATCGGCGCTGTCATTTATTAGCAGAGAGCACGCACCTACACAGAGAGCCCCAGACGCAATTGAGCTGGCGTCTCATCCGATTATGAGAATTGCAGATGTCTCTCCCTTTTAGAACTGCGTTTCTCCCGCCAACTCCACCCCCAGAAGCGCCAGTGGCATCTTGCTCGGCACAGCAGAAGAGCACCCCTTGTGGGGAGATGTTGTGCCTTGTGTGTCTCTAGTTCGGGGGTGCGGTTTTCTCTGGCCGAAAGGGTCTTTTGCTTCTTCGGTCTTTTGCTCACTGCCATTCACTTCCAGCAGCCAGGTTCTTCCGTTCGGGCTTGACTGTTTCAGCCCTGTTGCGGCAGGTGAAGTAGAGGGGCCAGCAACTCAGAGCAGCCTCCAGCTGGCTTTACTGCAGCTCCCATCATCCCTGACCATTGGCCATGTTGGCTGGTGCCAGTGGGAATTCTAATTCAGGTTGCTTCCTGCAGAACCCCTAAGGACACTGATTTGTAGATAATAAATAACTGTGGTTGTGAAGGAAGCAAATTGGGCAGGCCTGGAGTGTGGCTGCTGGAACCTGGAATGGGGCCGAAGGTCTCGGCAGGCCTCCCCTTCTCTCCCCTCATCTGACGCTCTTCCTGGATTTTGGAATTCCAAATTACCTGGCCTTCTCTTCAAAGTGGAGGATTTGGAACTCTCCGTTTCTGGCTTTTGCATAGAACAGCCACCTGCACACCGCTTGCTGTGGGCCTTGACCTGTTTGTGTCTTTTGCTTGCCCTCACAGTCGCGATGCTCCTGCGAGTCCGGCTTAGCAAAGCTCTCTCGGGATGAGCGTTCTGGGAGTCCGCATTCAGCCCGGGTCCGCGCGTCCGACTGTTTGCTCATAGAAAGCAAGAAGCAAATATGCACATGGTGGGCAGGCATGTTGTGAGTGGAGCCGGCTGGAGCCGGGGGTCAGACTAGATGGCCCGGGAGACCCCTTTCGACTCGCTCTGTTTCTCCGTTTCTAAATATCCTCAGCCTGCAGAAATCTAGCATGTCCAGAGAAAGATGCGAGCTTAGAAATCACACAGACCAAGGGGAGGGCTGAACGTGCCTCTTTCTCTTCGTCGTGCTACCGGAACAGTGGAGACATCTCCTGTTCGACTCGAGGAGCTGTGGAACATGGGACGCGATGAGCCCAAGGGACAGTGAAGGGATGGGCAGAGGGAGAGTTGCCCTCTCGCCCCGAAGCAGTGGAGGTGTTGTCTGGCTGGACGCGGGCCTGGGGGAGCTCCGGGCAGGGATGAGGTCGCTGGGGGAGCCAGTCCAAATCTTCCCAGCGGCTTCCCTTGGAGGAGGCTCTCAGCACCCAGGACCCTGGCAGGCCAAGCTTGCAGGCACCTACTCACATGACTCCTTTCTCCTCGCAGTGGCGCTGACACACGATGTTTTGAAGAAGGCACGAGGAAACCTGGAAGTAAGCACGACCCCTCCCGAGGACACTCCTGCCTGTCCCCCCCCGCCCCCGCTCCCCATTTGTGCATTTCCATCTGCCGCATACACTTCCTTGTTTGCACGCCTGCTTGTGCTTGCCCCCGGCACGACGGGCAAGGGCGACGGGGTCATTTCTCCATGCTGGACACGGGGTAAACCTGCGCCTGTGTTTATTATCTGAACTGCCCCTTCCAGCTGCCCATGAGGGCAAACGGGCCTTCGATTCCTAGCGCCCCCACCTCCCTCGCTGGAGTCTGACTCTGTGCCCTTTCTCCCCAGCCCAGCAGGAGGTCAGCCAAATTTTGGGGGCATCTGGTGCGGACTTCCACGGCCACGACTGGTTTCTACTAATCGCCAATCTCGGCTTCTTTCCCAGGTTCACCCAGCTGAGAACAAAGCATCCGCCTGCAGCCTCAGCAGAAGGAGGGTTTTGTGAAGGCCACGCGCCCCTGAATAAAGACGTCTCTCTTTTTTTTCCTGCCACGATTCTTCTTTGAACTCTTCCTCCACCCTGAAGGCCTTAACATTTCTTGTTCTTTCTAAGAGGTCGCTTTGGAACGGCTTTCGCCAACTGTTGTCCTGCAGATGTGCTGGACTACAATTCCTGTCACCCACGGCCAGCGTTCGTAGGCGTTGGGAGTTGTAGTCCAGCATCGCTGAAGGGGCGCCAAGTTCTGTGTGGTGTCTTGTGTCTGGCTAGGAAACGGAGAACCTCGGAAAGGTTCTTTGCGTGCAGCAAATTGGGATTTGGATGTTGATCGTGACCACTGTGTGGGAGTGGTGTGACGGCACGAGGACTCCCCCCCGCACCCCTGATGTGCTGTTTTAAAAAGCACACACTTCTACTTTTCTAAACAATGGTACTCTGTTTGTGTGGTACTAAGCTGGAACTCGCCAATCCAACGGGCAAAAGTTTCCATGCTGTGAAGAGGCAGCTGAGTTTGGCTACCAGAAACTTAATTTAGGTACGTTGTGCCCCGTGGTTTTTTTTGGCATTTGGCGAAACCCTCAGTGATAATATGTTTAAATGTTGTACTTACTGGCTCGGAAGGTGGTTGGATTGAATGGCCTGACATGGCACGGATGTTTCCCATCACAGCAATCGGATGGCCCTCGCTCCAGATCAAGATGTTTCTTTCCCAAGGTGCACCTTCCCTCTAAAAGGTTACCTTTCCTGCGATTTGTACTCTTCAGGAATTGGCTGGGCTCGCTGACCTTTGAGCAGACCCAGGAAGTCTCCCGTGGTGTTGACCTCCCCTCCCCTCCCCTCCCCTCCACCCCAAAAAGCGCTCGCTTTCCTGCCAGTGTTCGTTTTGCTTCTGTGCTCTCCATGCTAAGTCTGCATGTTCATGTCTGTCCATGGTACTAAGCCGGGCAGGCAACATACTGGCCGAAACATGGGGAGGGCTGCAATTCCCATGATGTTGGGCTACGTTGGCTAGGGCGGCTGGATTTTCAGAGCAGGCATCTGGAGAATTGTGCTCTTCCTATTCCTTCCTCGCTTAAGGGAATAAGGACTCCCCCACCATCCCTTGTTGCTGGAGAAGCTTCATATTGGAAGCAAACTGGAAGTACCCCCTCTGCACAGATCAGCCCGAGACCTTTCCTCCCCCCATGGGCCTTCCTGTCCTTCAACATTTGGAAGAGTTGTGCATTTCCTGGCAGCAACACCAGCAGTGCCCCATGTCAAGGGCCCTTTGCTCGGAAGGCCTCTTCTCCTGCAGGCTCCTGATGCGACGGGCACCTCTCTTCTCGGGCCTTCTTTTCGTATCAAGGCACTTTAGAAATGCCAGTGGCGGTGCTGGCTTTAGGGAGCGCTTTCCCAGGACCTGCAGAAATGCATGGGCCACGTATATGACGTTTGGGGGATGCTTTGCCGCTCTCCGTCTCTGTCTCTCTTCACCCAGAGCCAGTGGAAATGTGCGTGAAGCGCTTAGAGGGTTTCAACCACCGGTCGGGGCGCACGCTGCTGTGCCAGAGTGCAGGGGGCTCCTGCCAGTCCATGGGGGGCTGCGTCCTGCTTGCTGCGGACCGCGTGGGGGCTGGCTGTGTGCTCACTGCCTGTTCCTCGGATGGCGTCACGAGCACGGAGAGAGGACTCGGCGGGGGTCGATTTGTCTTTCGTTCTTTCATTGGCATTTTTGTTGCTCAGTTTCTGGTGGTTTGGAGAGTTTTCTTTCTTTTTTCTTTTTCTGGCATTGCGTTTGGAAACTAATACGCAGGATACTGTGCTGTGTGTATGGTGCTTTTTGTTTCTGCCTCGACGGCCCCCGAGGCAGCTTTCCTGCTTTTGCCGGTCCCCAGCTGTGGAAAGGTTGAAACCCACTGGCTTAGACCTCCAAACATGGTTCAGCGATTGTCCAGTTAAAGGAAGTCCAACTAAAACCAAAAGAATTTAAGCATTCAGACAAGGCCAAGGTGTTTTTAATGGCAGTGACAAAAACTAGCTTCTCGTTCTGGGAACATTGCTTTGGATGGTCAGCCAGGGAGTGGGGTGAGGAAGCCACGGCCACCCAAATGCTGGACTGCAGCACCCATCATCCCTGGCCATTGGCCATGCTGACTGGGGCTGATGGGACAGAGGCTCCTCAGCTGTTCTAGATTAACCCTAGACCTGCACCAGGGAGGCAATGTACAACTTCGGTATTTTGTGGGCAGGGGGAGTCTCCCCCTCTGTTCAGAACAGAATTGCTTGATGGATCGTCTCTTAAGAGACAAAGAGGCTACAAAATAAGCATCCAGGTTAAAAGGCATTGATTGCTGTGATTGTGAGTGTCCCTAAGTGTTTTGGATAAATGGAGATGCAGAAATAAGTGTTCAGCAGAATCAGCTGCGCTAGGTGCTCGGCAGGCATCCAGGAATTGCTGTCTCTTTCTCTGCGAGAACTTAATTTTTGGTGCTCTGCGTCTGGACGTGGGCTCATTCTTTAAATTTCTGCACTGTCCAATAGCCACAGCTCTCTGGATTAAAATCTTAAAAGCACATTATAAAACTCCCAGGGGTACTCATAATACAAACATACAGCAGACAGAGACCCACAGATGAAACAACGGTTGTTTGCAAGAAAAATTCAAGACATTGTTAATTACAGGGTACGCAAAATCCTGCACAGGCAGAAAACGGTGGTGATGGCAGAAAAGTGTGTGTTGTTTGTTACTGTATATGACAACGTGTGATAGCGGTGATAGGAAGCTGTCCGAACTGAGTTGAGCGATGAGATGTTTCTAATCCGAATTACCGGTTCATTAAACGGATCCTTTTGTTTTAAAGACATCGTCTATGTTCTTTCAACAGATTGTGCACAGAAATGGGCACTCCCAGATTTTGCAGTGTCCCTGCAGCCGCCGGTCATGCTGGGTCATCAGTGACTTGCTGTTCTCTAGCCGGGCCTGGATAACGCTACAAATTATGCCTATATGCAGATTTTGGGGTCTAGGAGGGGTGCAGCCCCTCTAGAAGCCACATCTGTCCATCATGGCCACCCCCTTGCCCACAAGCACCAGTTGTTCTCAGGAGTGCCACTACTCTCACCCATGTTCCCCAGCAACTGGTGTTCATAGACCTCTGATCCTGGAAGGTGGTGTGTGGCTTCTGGGGCCGGAAGCCATTGGTTGTGGTGTTACTCAGTTCACACCCTTTTCGAGCCGTCCAAAATGGCGGCCATCATGCGGAAGTAAGCTTTGCTGTTGCTAGTCGCGAAGTCGCGTCTGGCCCATCGCAGCCCCATGGACAGCATTCCTCCAGGCCTTTGTGTTCTCCACCGTCCCCCGGAGTCCACTTAAGCTCACAGAAAGTAAGCTAGGGATGCATTAATCTGTCAGGATTGGTTTCTGATGCTTTCTCTTGGTTGTGTCCGTAAGCTGTCTTATCGAATTCCTGTTTCGCTGTGCATAGTTTTCTTCTGTGCAAAAACTGTGTGTGCATTTTCTTCCTAAGATGCAGGACTGCCTAATATGTGGATTTCTGGCCAGCACTTTTCACAATGGAAAGCAATTCACTATGTTTTTACATTCCTGTATATTAGTTTTGCAAAATATTTATCTTACCTTCCCCCAGTGCAGAATTCTTTGTGCAAACACATCAAAGGATAATGCTGTGATCCAGTTAGCATATCGCTTTGGAAAGGGTAAAAGGTAGGGCCATATTTAAATGCAAACCTGACAAATTTTTGTCCTGCACCTTTTTGCAAAGCAAGCTGGCGGGTGTTTTTTTTTTTTTTTAATAGCCAAATTGAAGTTTGATTTTAGAGGTAAGCTAATCAAAGGGAGAAAGCAGTCAATGTCATGTTCCATATTCCGTACACATTGTCTTTCCACCTCATAAGAAACATCAAGTTAATTTTTACTAAGTACCTAAATTATAGACACTCAGAGGTAATCAGGAATGATGTAAATTCCAACTTTCAGAATTAATCACACGGTGCTTGTTGTTTTTAAAAAAAGGATTTTGCAGCACCTGAAAGCTGTATCCCTATATATAGAGCGCCACATCTCTGGTGGCCTTGGTGCACTCTTTATTCCTAGCATCTGCATTTCACGTAACTGTCTTGATTTTTCAGAAGTTGAACAATATTTTCAGTTAACACACTTTTCTGCCAGGTTTCCGATACCCTTGGCTTCAGGTCCAGGGCGGGAGTGAGGCAGAATTGGTTTAATGGCTGCAATTAGGTCAGGAGGAGAGAGAGTCATTCTCGTTCGATTCCTGCCTTTTGAAAGAGAACAAAGTAAAGCTCCGAAGAGGAAACTTTCAACGAACTGAACCTTTTTAAATGAATGGCCAATAAGAAAAGGAACTTGCAGATGGAATCGCTGGTGTAAGAGGAGTACTTTCCACTCCCCAGCAAAACTTGGAGCTAATTAGTTTAAATAGTGCTTTAAAAAGGCACATAATTAGAGCTCTATGCAAAAACGAAAGAATAGCAGGATCTGAGAAGAACATAACGTTTAATGAGCACTAACCTCGAATCAGTGGATGTTCAGAGAATCCGGGGATGGAGTCAGTGGGTCACACGTGGAACTGGAATGAAAACTCGTTTCGTCACCCGGAGTCTCCTGCTTGGTTATGTGGCAAGCTCGCCACTGCTCTGCCACCAGCTAATGCTTCCCGGGTAGGTAAGACACCAAGGTCTAGAAATCAAATGATTAAGAAGAAATGATGAATGAGTATTAACAACAGCAGGAAACTAGCGATCCTTATCATTGGAATGAAGCGGCACCAGCAAATGTCAGGCGTTCCGCGCTGGAACGGGAGGTGTGCGGAAGGTGCAAAACGCAGCTTCTGGGTTGTTGAGTTCTGAGGCATGCAGGGTTTTACTCAGTGCTTTTTTTGTAAGAAAAAAGGTGCCGGGATTCATGAAATTATTAATCTTTCGCATGTAGTCAATCACTGTACACACACCCACACACGTCCGTTGTGTAGCGAAACATAACGGTCACTGTCCGCAGTAAGCACTCGGCACGCGACCACACGACCCGTCACGAGCCGAGCAGCACCATCGCAGCCAGTGTGGATGAAGTGCGCACGCATCGGACTCGACGCGCAAGCAGCCCGCGTGCACCGTTTCAATGATTTTGCCGCCAACCTGCTACGCTCGACAGGGCGATTCAAATCCACGTGGCCCAGACATCAAGTTTTCAAAAGTTACTTTTAGAACTTGAAAAATCTGTCCAAAAAAGGTGCCGGAACTCCGTTCAGGTGCGTTCTATGACCAAAAAAAAAAAAAAAAAAAAGCACTGGTTTTACTTACAGGCATTTTGAGCGGTGCCTGGGAAGGCGCTGGTAGCTGCTGAATGACGTTGAGGTGTATCCCCTCGTATCCTGTGCCAGCTGGGCTATTCAGTGCAACTTCTGGGGAGTTTGCAAAGTTTTCCCGCAGAAGGAATGGCGGTAGCGGCCTGTTTGCAGAGCGTCCCGTGTGGTTTCTGCAGAGAGAGCTCTTGGTACCCACCAGCTTCCCTTGCCATCAAGAATTTCTATTTTATTCCTTATAATTGACCCCCCTCCAATTATTTTTACTTTAAGAAGGCCAGCATTCCTTCAGGTGAAGACTTGCCCTCCAGCAACGTTCAAAGGGACAGTTTTGTGTAATGTTGTCCAAGCTTCACCTTCTGGGAAATGAGCCTTCCAGGACTAACCGTGCTCCCGGAGGCTACCAGTTTCCAAACGGGCAAGCCACCCGGTTTTTGTGAGGGCTTGCATGGCTCCACCTCACGATGCAGCTGTGCTGCTCCTTCCAAGTGCTCCTGCCAAATCCAGCCTGTATTTCTGTCGAGGGACGGACTGTGGAAAAGTGCCCACTTTGGGCTTCTCGAACCTGGCGATTGGCAGCAAAAACCAAAGGATCAAGCTGCACTGCCATTCTGTTGGCTTGCTTGATGCATGGGCGGAAGGCTCCAGCGTTGGCTGGTTGCAAAGCCATCTTTTTGCAAAATCTCCTTTCTGTGCTCGTAGCTTGAGCACAGCTTGAGCTTCCCCTACAGCTTTTCTGCTCCTTTTTCGGCACAGCAAGCTGGCAATTTCGCCTGCAAATGCCTGCGAACCAGATAAACTCCCTCCTCTTTCAGGCAACCCTTGTCTGAGCCTCTTGGCTGGCTGCTGGCCTGATCCTTTCCTTACGCCCTTCGTCCCCCTGCTGCATTCTCTGTAAATTCCTTTCCCTTTGGAGCTGACGTTAAGGGGGAAACTCTCTCCCCGGCTTCTGCTATGGAGCGAGCCAGGGAAAAGCCACTTGGCAGTCGCCAAGCGCTCTGCTTTTTGAGAAGTGCCCAATGGTTGGCACAACCGGGCCGAAGAGCTTGGGAAGGGGGCTGCTCGGCCCCCAGCCCGCGTTTTGTCCTTCAGCCACTAGATGGCACTGAAAGGCTGTCCTTTGTGGATGCGAGCGCGTCGCATCCGTGGGGTGGGCTTGGTCCATGCGCGCCGCGACTGCCACTGTACAATGTTGGCTCCCCACCCCACCCCACCCTGTTCCCACCTTGGTGCCTTCCAGACGTTCTGGACTTTAACCCCTCCACCCCGGACAGGAATGCCGGTGGTGGCAGCCCCGGTTGGGGAAGAACCGAGAGCTGTTCCAGCGAAGAGACAGGCTAGAAATCCTAAATAAACACACTATGCTCTTGCTCATGGGTTGCACTGGTTTTCTCAAATTCAACCCTCGGATAGGCTGGAGAGGCTGGGCCCGGATTCTTCTCCCTGCTTCGCTGACCCCTTTCAACCATTTGCTTCCCTTCTCACAAGCAGTGCCTAATTTTTCCAAAATGGAAACATTCAGCTTTTGCCAGGGACGCCACCTTCTTGGCACCCGGACAGGCTGTTCGTTCATCTAGGCCAGCATTTATTCCTTCGTTGCCTTTTTGAAATCCCATTTATTCAGTCCTTTACTAGGTTTTCTACCACCCGATATCCAACGTGCTCTGGGTGATTTACAAAGATCAGTGATGAAAGTACAGCAGACAAGGTGTAGAATCCATTCCCACACAAACGTATAAATAGACAGCTCAGATATCAAGAACAAGCTTAAATAACGAACCGTAAATCCCGGACCTGATTAAAACCCCACGACATTCTGCTAAATGCTGGAGAGAGCGTGGAGCTTGAAGGCATATTAATGCTGGTGCCAGGTGGACCTCCATGGGGAGACCATGCCGTATTTCGACCCACTGTTGAGAAGGACGTCTCCTTTGATGGACCCACCTGAATTTCTCCTTTGCTGAACGGTAGGAATAGTGTTGGTGTCAAGGGAGGTGCCGTGTCAGATTCTGTGGTCCAATTTATGTCGCCACCACCTTAGTTCTGGCCTGGAAACCTAAAGACAGCCAGCAAAAGTGGGCTGGAATTGGTGCTGCGTGTCCAGAACTTTCTGCCCTGGTGGTCACTCTGGCCACATGAGATGCTGAACGTAAGAACCATCTCCAAAAGCAGGCCCAGTGCAGAAATCTAGCTAGACGGTGGACCACCACGTAGACAGCAGAAGCCGGACCATTCCTGGCCAGAGAGGGCGAAGCCGGGCCACCAGGTGAAGGCGGGAGAGGATGCTCTGAGCCTCAAGCATCAGCGAAGCCCTCGGGAGAACCTCAAGCTTGGGAGCTGCTCCTTCCAGGGGAGTGCGGCACTGTCTGGAACCGCCTCGTGCTCTCCCGTTTAGCCCTGGTCTCCCAGAGCGGCTCTCATCGGTAAGGAGCAAGAGGAAGTCAGTGGCTTGTCCACCGACAAGGAAAAAGCAGCATGGGATGAGGACCATCTCCTGGAACAAGGTGGTTGAGCGCTAAGCAG